GGGGGGGTACCATCTGTCGATGGGGGCGCTGTTCAAAACCGACGATTATGCACACTAACGGACTATATATGGTGCTTCTAACGGTGATACATGTGCGAAATTAACAAAAAAAGGCACCCGCAACGGCCGATGGCACCAAAAAGCCCACCACATACTTTTATAAAGGACACTTGTTCAGAAAAAAAGGGCACTTGTTAAAAAAAAGGGCACTCTTTAAAAAAAATTGGGGGGAGGGGTAAGCGCTGGTGAAAAAAAGGGCATTTGAAAAGAAAAGGGCAGTCTTTGCAAAATATTTGGGGGTAAATATCTAAAAAAAAAAAAAAAAAAATTATAAATATTGTTTGTCGTCAAAGCTGAGGCGGGGGGAGGGGGGTTGTGGCGGGGGACTGACGACGAACGTGACTTGACGTCACCACCCTATGCAATCGGAGGTTTATACATTTGCATATTATATTATAAATTCCCGGTTTGGTAAGTGCGAGCCGGTAGCCCAGTCGGTAAATTTTCTCAGATCATCAATGGTGTTGGCGGTTCGAGCCCCAGGTTGTCACCAGCGACATTTTTTTTTTCGTCAGAGCTGAGGGGGGGGGGGTGGGAGGGGGGGTTGGCCGTGGGGGACTGACGACGAGACGTGACTTCATCATATTGATGAAGTAGCAACAAAAATTTCAAAGAACATTGGAATAATGAACCGTTTGAAATATTACCTTCCGAGTAAGATTTTACTAACATTGTATAATTCATTTGTTTTACCATACTTAAATTACTCAATTTTGACCTGGGGTAGTTTGCCATCTAAGTGTAACAAATTACTTTACAGAAACGAGCAGTTCGTGTAATTTCGAATGCTGGCTATCGTGATCATTCTGCTCCATTATTTGCTAAATTAAATGTATTACAATGTAATGACTTACATTACCTTAATTTAGGAAAACTAATGTATAAATTTATGCATAATTTACTTCCGTCATGTTTTAATTCTTGTTTTACCTTAGCATCTAACGTTCGTGTATATAATACTCGAAGTAGTGCTAGGGGAAATTTGTTTGTCCAATTTAACAGAACGTCAATGTCAAAAAATAGTGTTATTCACCGAGGTACTTTTTACTGGAATAGTTTAGACGATTCTCTTAAATCGTTACCTTCACTATCTGTCTTTGTCAAAAATTTAAAAACTCATTTTCTCGAATCATATTCATAAATTTAAATTCCATTATTTTGTGTATTAATATTTAGGCCTTGTCTCACGCTTGTCCTGTCTGTCTCACGTATTGTTTTGTTTGTCCTTTGGTCGTATGTTTGTCCATAGGTAAGGGCACAAAAGCGTTCTGCTTAACCTTATACCTAAATGTTGTCATTTAATTTCAAACTTCATAACTAATCACTGTGTACATAACTATCAAATATTATACTAGTGACTTTTTTCTAATGTATACATGTTTGTACATAATTGTAATGAATGACATCATTGAAAAAAATGTTACTACTACTATAATAAAAACGAATTATGATCCGTGTACTTTTGACGTCACCACATCGATGTCACGAAATTAATTTTTTTCACCAGAGCGAAGGGGTGGGTGGGGGACTTACGACGACACGTGACTTTTGACGTCAGCACCTTTGCATGACTGGAGGTTTATAATGTATTAATTATAAAGTCCCGGCTTGGTATAAGTGCGAGCCGGTAGGTATATCCCAGTCGGTGTAGAGTGCAGTTCTCAGATCATCAATCCTGGTTGGCGACATTTATTTTTCTTTCGTCGGGTGGAGGGGGGGGGGCAGTCAACGACACGTGACTTTTGACGTCACCGCCAAGTTGCAACCGGAAGTTTATTTTTTTTGAATTCCCGACTTGGTTTGCGAACCGGCAGTCTATAGTGCACTTCTCAGATTATCAATCTTGGGGTTGGAGGTTCGAGCCCCAGGTTCACCAACTACCTTTTATTTTGTTTTTTTCGTCGGAGCGGATGGGGGTTGGATGGGTTACTGACTACGACACGTGATTGACGTCACTCCACCCTTTGCAACCGGAGGTTTATATGTATTTTAAATTTCATGATAAGTGCGAGTAGGTAGTGCCGTTTCAGATCATCAATTTTGGGTTTGGAGGTTCGAGCCCCAGGTAATCGTCATCAACGACAGCGTTGAGCTCACTGTGTCACGGCCAGTAGGCCTGTTTGCAGGCTATATCGGCGCTTGTATTTTTGAAGGACGTTGCCTTCCTCTTTTTGCTCTTTTTCCCCTGCCCCCCCCCTTTTTTTGTGGTCTCAATTTGACGGAGAAAGATTTGGCTCCGTGGATAACGGGTGATACTCAGACTAGTGCCCCCCGCGGCCTACCCCTCGATCTGCGCCTGGACTTTTCCCATAGCAACTTACGGGACCGGGAGCGATAATACTAGGCCTACATTATTTTTGTAAGTTCGTTTATTTTTGTTGAGTTGTTCTTTCCATGAAATGCATGATAAATTGGCACGTCATGCTTGTGCGTACACATACGGTAGTCAGATTCCCAGACCAAAAGATTCCGACTATTCCTGATGAATCTTAGGTCCTGTCAACCTCGTCACCAGGGTGTCGAGCAGTACGCGCCCATCACTACCTGCTCTCTCACCCCCTTTTATTGGATCATTTGCATGTGCAAGATTTTTGAACACGTATGCAAATGAGGAACAGTCTGGTGCCTGGATATGCGTTACACATTAGCGTTTGTTTTTGCGGTGTCTGGGGTAAGAGTCAATTCGTAGCAGCGCGAGCACGGCGTGAGTTACGAAAACACGATTTTTGAAATCAAACTGTTACGATCTTATCGAGACAACACGCAGTACTATCATATTTCATATTAATATGAGCAAATTGGAAAGGAAAGAAGGCGTAGACGAATGATCGCGAAAACACATACTGCACGTTGTGAATAATAGCACCAAGTACACGATAAAAATCCATTACTAGCCAATTGCGGTATCCAATCAGGATACAGGAAGAAAGTTTCCTATCCAGGGTTTACTATTGGAAACCGTGTTGGAAATAAAGTAAGCACTGGGGACGAGGTTGAGGTCCGGTAGCCTCCGGTACAGTAATACAATGTATTACAATTTACGTCACGTGACTAAGACGGGAGGAATTCCTCCTTTTTCCGAAAATTTCCGAAGTTTGCCGAAGTTGTTTCGTCGACAATCGGATAGCGCCCGAGTATTTCCGAGTATATAATATAGGTTTAATTAACTGCTAATTGCTTTTTAATTTTATTTTAAATGAGTTGATAATTAATATTCATTGTTTTCATTTAGAAAACTTGAAATTCAGCGACGATTTTGTGCATCAAATATACTCGGATCGTACGGGCGAACTTTTTGCTGCGTCATGTACAATTTTGAATTTGACGACCGTTACCGAGATTTTCCAAAACTCGGTCTTCATTCGGCTCCGCCTGCTAACAGTGCTATTTGGTTCCCTAATTTTGAAGATTTTAGATCAACATTACTCAATGTTATCTTACAAAAACATCAAACTGTATTATCATAACTGTATGATATTACAGTGATAAAGTGATAGAGTGATAAAGTGATAAAGTGATAAAGTGATAAAGTGATAAAGTGATAAAGTGATAAATTGATAAAGCGAAATCGGAAACGAAGCCGCGCTTTGAAAAAGGGCCATTAATGTCGTTTTTTAGCTACGGAGGCTGCCGCCTGACCTACAATTTAAGATGTGAGCGTCGGGAATAATTGTCAGGTCTGGGAACCAGACTAACACATACCCTGACTTCCTACATGTAGCAGACCAGTAAATAAACTTCCATACACCCCAATGGTAAATGCTCCCACTTCAAAAATTCGGGAAAAATACTCACAACTCTCCAAGGTGTTCGAGACGCACATCAAATTAAAGCTTATTTCATCATCTTTCATTTTCTTTTCAATTTTTGGGGGGTCAACTGATGACTTTTAGGAGAAATTTCCATATGAAGATGATCACCCCTGAAAATAGTCCTGAAGCCCATCGCCATTTTGAAAAACGATGCCTACACTCCATTGCAAAATAGAGCGCTTTTAGGGTCCAAATTACATCCAAATTACACAGAACTGCAAGCTCCCAGTCCTGTGCACGGCTTCCACCCATATTTTTTACAAACTCTCAAGTTCATGGCCCACAGCATGCCCAAATACCGAAGATTTTGAGGGCATGCAAATCGTGATTTGGTCGGCGCAGGCAATTTCGGACCGATTTACTGGTCTGCACCCTTCAGCTATACCAATGACTATTTGGTGTGACATCATTGGTACCAGGCTATTTGTCTTTATTTTTCAGTTTTTGTTTTGCTTTAGACTTCCGGTTTGTGCTCACTGTCATGTGTGTAAATGTAACAAACCAAGCTATTGTGAAGCTTTCTGTGATTTTGTTTTACTTTATTCCATCGATTCATTGGTGATTTCGTGTTTGCCACTCGACTGCTGTGGAAAATCCAATAACGCTTGAACGTACGGTCATCATCCTGCTAAGATAGGCCTAATCTGCTAATTTTTGTTGAATTAGAACTTTCTTGAACCATGTGAACACTGTTGAAGTAGGCGTACAACTTAAGTTAAGTAGGCGGTTTACTGAACTTATTGTGATTCGGCTTAGTTATTTCGAAGTGGCTATTGTTACGGCAGTCGTTGTTTAGCGCCCTCTACGATACTTTTTTGATACGCACGCAGGTATATAATTATTTGTTTCCACACCTTTTAGCGAGCAGTGCGACAGCTCAGTCGATAGAGGGTAGGATTTTGCACCGCGAGGTTGCGGGTTCGAATCTCAGTTTTGCACTCGAATTTTTTTCCTTTTCTAACCTGAGGCTTTGGAGGATTTTTTTTAAAAGGGAAATAAAGTCCGAATTTCATAACGTTCAAATTCACTTTTTTCCTTCTAATTTTTTCTTTTCTTGTCATGTTTTTATAAAAGTTGCAGTCTACCGTAACGATAGAAAATGGGAAATGCGTTACGGCTGCCGTAACAATAGCCACTGCGTAGTTATTTAGCATTTTGATGTCGATGGGAATTGAACAAATAATACTAATAGGCAGGATATAGGGGAAACATTGTTGCAACCTGACGCCACTTAACTTAATTCCGCGATTGTGTACAATTTACAAAGTCTAGTATTATTGAGACTGAGAGTGAGAGTCAAGAAAATCTTCTAACTTCTAAGTAAGTAGGCCTAGCAGGGGCATAGCACGGTCATTTTTATTTGGGGGGTAAAATTATTTGAAAAGGGCACTTGCACATCCGTTGTGAAATGTAAGAGAGGTTTTTTCTCTGGACACTTGGCCTCTTTAAAATCAAAAGGGGGGGGGGGGCTTGTACCATCTGCCGATGGGGGTGCTGTTCAAAACCGACAATTTTGCACACAAAGTGCCAATATATGGGCTTTTCAGGGCGATACATGTGCGAAATTCTGAAAATGGCACCAAACACGGCAGATGCCACAAAAAAGGGCACCACTTCTTTTTTTGAAAAGGGCACTTGTTCAGAAAAAAAGGGCACTTCGCACAAAAAGGGCACTCTTTACAAATTATGGGGGGGGGGGGCGGGGGAGGGGGGTAAGCATGTTGAAAAAAGGGCATTTGAATGGACAAAGGCAGTCTTTACAAAAAAAATTGGGGGTTAAATACCCCCCTTACCATGCTTACCGCAGGATGACAAGTGATGGCCAGATATGGGAATCTTTCCCTCGTGTATTTCGCTGACCTGGATCATGGGTAATGTTTATTGTTTATGCGATTTCCAAAATTTCTTTTTCCCGATGATTGCAAAATGATAGACCTTCAAATTGGTGACAAAAAATCTCAAAAAATAAGTTTGGTTGTACTTGAATTTATTGAATCAAGTGATCCGGAACTGTTGATGATCCATAACTATCGCAGCTACCGAACTGTTAAACTGTTCACGCATGGAGTCCTTAGCTTTTGTTGAAATTGTCAATTCGTAATACTAAGCTTAATAGTACTGTATTTTTTTATGATTCTTTCCAGCAAATACAAAAGGAACAGAGATGAATTTTACACGGTCAGGCAGACCCGTCTACGTTACCCTGCTTCAGGAGTTCAAACGTTGCCCTCCTCGGTTCTTCAATGCCACTGTTACCGATCGTGGTAACTTCATCATGCCACATGATCCAGCACAGATCAACGTGTGCGATCGAACCAAAGAGGGGAAGTCCTTGTTTCCGGACACAATGGGAGGGTAAGATTTGAATTGGAAAAGTTTCTTATAAATGTGATTGTGTGGTGCAGCTGTGGTCCAGTGGTTAGGCCAAAAAAAAAGTCTCCAGTTTCTGGTATGCGCGTGCGTCGCCGTAGCCATGCGCATCGGCAAAATGAAAAAGTTTTTTTTTCAATGAAAGATGATGTCTCAAAACCGCCAAACTCACTGGTTTGACTGGAATCCTGCTGCTGCACAATTTTAACGTGTTTTTAGATGGGGTTATGGTCGAGAATAAGCTTTATGTGGTCTCTCTGGACTCCAATATATTTGCACCAAGTTTAGTCGGCACCATTTGCAGTCATCAGCCGACATTTGAAGCCAAAAAATCAGGTAAAAAAAAAAAAAAGCCACGTCGCCGCACCACTTTTTGGGCAAGTTCCATACCAGAAACAGGAGACTTTTTTGGGGGCCTTAGGGTGTTTGACTTGTGTGCCGTGGTACATGGGTTTGATCCTGACGGGGAACATGGTGCTTGTGCGATTGGCAAGGCACTTTACTACGATTGCCTCTCGCCACCCAGGTACACGGTGTAGTAACTGGGTATCTGGTAGTCCAAGTAATTAGGACTCTACGAATTACCTTTTTTAACATTTGGACATGGTCGGGTGATAGTAGAGTCCTAGGTACATAGCTGGATTGGTGACCAGTCAAAGTGCCCTGTGATTGGTCTGTCTGATGCTTGCCAGGAAACAGTCTAGCCAGAGCCATGCACAAGTCTACTTTTCCTGAATTCAAAATGGCAGCCTCAAACAAGGCGTTTGTGACAAGGATGTTTCCCGAATTGAAGGTGAAATTTCTCTTTTCTTCCCAAAGGTGTGTACATGTAAACCTAACCACCACCATTTGTATTTCCAATTCCCACTGAAGGCTACAAGGGCATATATAAGGCGGTTTGATGACTGTTTTTTTTGGGTGAAATCTGAAGATTTTGTTTGGGGGTATGAGTGAAAATGGTAAAAAAACGTTATTAGTAACGCAATACGGCTATGTACCTAGGACTCTACTACCGCCCGACCATGTCCAAATGTTAAAAAAGGCAATTTGTAGAGTCCTAGTTAATCAGACTTGGTACCTGGTAGGAAGAAATTCCTTCAATGTTTTAGCACCGTAATGGAAGCCGTGCTAAAGCCAGGGTAATATTGGAGTGCCACTTTGTGAGTTGTTTTTCGACATGCCTTTATTTGTACACGAATTATTTTAAAACTCTTTTAAATATCAAACCAATACTAGGGATAAAGTTAAGATTCCAAGCTTCACAATGATATAAAAATAAGGTACCTATTTCTGCGCTGATGCTAGAGCCCTGCAAAACAAAAACTTTCAGGTATTTTGGGACGCGCTGTAGTTGTGTGAACCACACGTGGGGCATGGGACATCATCTCACAACTCTCTTCTAATTTCTCAGTCTATCAATAACAAACTTCCCAACAACGTGTTCACCGCTAACACACTGTACGTTGCTTACACCAGTATTCGTTTTTCACCCCTGGCTGTATTTACCCATGACATTTCCAACTTGTTTGCATGTGGATTCTTGCAGCGTTCTTGTCGTACATACCGAGACTGAGTTCCAACAGCTTACAGCTCGTTTGTTGGAGAGGCCCATCTTCTTCACAGTCTCTGTGGAACGCCATTCGAAGCAGATGTTTTCCAAAGTCACCCACATCACAAAGGGTAACTACATTTTTGTGTTGAACCCTAACCCCTTGAGCGCTTTTACAAGAAAGTTTATCCTGAATCCGCCAAATCCACCAATTTTGTTATGCAAAAAAAAAAAGTTGGTGCCCTGAGTCCATCAGAATCCACCATTGAGTCCATCAGAATCCACCAGTGAGTCCATCAGAATCCACCAGTGTAGTACATATACCTGCTACACACCAAACATATATACTCGTGTAGCCAAGGAGTTAAACTGTTGAGATCCTGAATCCATCAAAGTCCCCCAAATGCTCAATAAGGAGGTATCCTGAATCCATCTAGATCCTGCAATACTGCTAGGCTTACTGTCCTGAAGCCATAAAAATCCCCCAACTTTTGCAATATGGAGGTATCCTGAATCCGCCGAAATCCTCCAAAACAGGGCTGCGGATTTGGATGGATTCAGGTATGTTAAAGCTAATGTAAAAACTCAATAGGGTAAAAACACTGAAATTATGGTCATCAGACATTTATTGATCATTTACCATATTTGTCGGACCCAGATTTGCATTTAAATACAGTGTGCTTGGTAATGTTTGTGCTTCTAGCTAAATGCAAAGAGGGTTAGGTGCAAAAAATTCACTTGGGAGAGGAGGGGGGGGGGTAGACTTAAAGGTAGAGTATATCATTTGCAGCTATCCAAAACTGATAAAATTGTTGTCGAAAAGCTTACTTGGTTTAAAAATAGTAAATGACACTAAACTCCCTGTGAAATTATTCTTTCTGGCACATGTGCTGTCATTTTGAAGAAAACAGTACAAGATTTCCAAAGATGTGTCATCAAGTGACGCATTTTTGGAATTTTCCGTTACTAGTTTGTTTGTAATTCTGCAAATTTGTGAATGGGTGCGGGCAAGTGTTGACGCACATGTGCACGCGGTTGCTTTTTATTTGTCAGTTCAGTGCGTGACATTTCTTAGCTGCAATGGGCTGCATGATAACGTGTCCCGGACACTGATTTCAAGCGCAATTCAAAAATCAAAGCATGACATGGCAACTTTTGATTTGAAATGGAGATAACGAAGAATACTGTTTTCTCGGAGTATACAGCGTTCACTGAGCTAAAATTCGTCAGGTTAGTTGTCAAGCACCCTTCTTTAGATTTTGAGCACTTTTATTGCTTCAAACGCAAAAAAAATGCACAAATGACAAATGATCTACCCTACCTTTTATAATTCAGTATGTAAATTATTGAATATTTCAGTTGTCAATGTCAATTAACAGCAATGATGATTTTTGTCTCTTATTTGTTAGGTCGGTTGGCTGTGTTTGTTAACACTCAGCATCCTCATGTTCATCATCTGATCCAGTCCCGTCTTGCCCAAGGCATGGACTCCCTGAAACGGGGGAAACACTTTGCAGTCGAGGTAACAGTTTTATTTCTTGCCTTGAGATATTACTCAGTTTATTCAATTTAAAGAACGAAAATGTGGGGGGGGGGATCAACAAATAATTATGTGTCCTTATACATGTGCGGGTCATTCTTCAGAAGGCCTAAGTGTCTACTTTGGCCTTTTGAAAATTGGGAAAAAAACATTTATCAAATGTTGACTTTTTTTCATGGGATGTGATCATTATGTTTCACTGCAAATATAATTAGCGCAGGGTGCAGTCTTAAGGGGATATTTGACCATTGTATCAACATTCCATTTTCGGTGTTGTAGCATAGACAAAAATGCAAATGTCATACCAGTCACACCTTTTATTTGAATGAATAACACAATATTTGAATGAATGTGAAGAGTAAAATTCAAATGAGAGCTTTCAAGGTATGAACATCGAATACATGTACTAACCATGCTAACCAGTGAATAGAGGAGCTTTTAACATGATAAACCCTATTAATTTTCATCCTTATTTTATTACCATTATCTACTAAAGAAAACGTGAAGAAATCATCTCCGTCACAGAACACAATGCACTGTCGTTTCTCTCATGTGTACAAAGACCAAAGCAGGGCTGTTATTTGGTTTTGATCAACTGTTTTGATCAACTGTTGAGGGCGCTGCATAGGTTTGTGATGGTATCTGAATAAATCCTGGGTACAAACATTTTCCTTCGAAAACGAAAAAATTTAGGACTGAAAAGATTTGAGTAATAAATACCTATCGTTTAAGAGTATTTTCATGAAGAAAAGTCTCTCCACCAAATAAATATAACGATGGAATTTTTACATAATACGATCGGAACATGGGTTTTCCAGGGGTCGACATCAAACATCAGAAACTAAAGAACAATATAAACTTTACCCTCTAGCTTTATGATCATTTATTATCAGCATTATGTTTATTAACATAAATCTACAAAAATACCAATGATAAAATTACTCATTTTCCGTCTAAAAGTATCGGGACACGTAAGTAGACACTTAACCCTAACCCACTAGGCCCTTTTGGCCAGGAACCATCCTCAATCCTGCAAAATATTGCCACCATGTAAACATTGGATTCATCCTCCAAAATCATCTGTTATTTCTTGAATTTGTTCAGTGGAGGGGTGACCATTGCCTCAATCCTCCAAAGTCTTCCTCTGTTCACAGCTATGGTTTGAGTCAGTACCAATGACATTTAGAAGCAGTGCGGATGATATCGAGCATAAATGCATGGTGCCATTATGCATGGCTCCATTATGCATGGCTGAACATAAGGAATGCTGGTTAGAGTCTAGGACCTCGACCCATTGCATCCTCCAAAGTCAACTGGCACTTTTTGCCATGCATCCTCAATCCTCAAAAATCCTCCAAAACTGCAATGAGGATTTTGGAGTATTGAGGAGGGTTAGGGTTAAAGCCAGAGTCCATCATTTGCAGCCATCCAAAAAGTGACTGGCGTAATTATTGCTGAAAAACATACTTGGTTGAAAGATAGTATTGAGGGGACTAAACTCCCTGTGAAATTATTCTTTCTGGCAAGCTGTCATTTTGAAGAAATCAACGAAAGAAGGCCTTTCCAACGGTGCGTCTTAAGAATCACCGTTGGAAATTTCCGTTAGTAGTTCGTTTTTTTATTCTGCAAAGCGCGCGCAAGCGTTGGCACGACGCACACGCGCGCGTGGTTTCTATAACTTCGTTGGATCGGTGCGCGACAGTGAGAACATGTTTCGGACGCTGAATTCAGGCCCAATTCAAAACATGATTCAGAAACTTTTGATTTGAAATCGAGGTCCTAGAATGTTGTTTTTCTCGAAATATACAGCTGAAGCCGAGCTGAAATTTCATCAGGTTAGTTGTTCAACACCCTTCTTTAGATTTTGAGCACGTTTGTTGCTTCAAACGAACAAAATGCACAAATTACAAATGATGGACTATACCTTTAACGAAGAATGGCCCGTATACAACTTTCCATAATTCTTTTTAAATGTTGCTGTCCCTTTTTGGTTTGTTTGTACATTAGTTTGACTTCAACAATATCTTTGCGTCCTGGATGCGGGGTATGTATGTGTCAGCAGACCTGCAGTCATCACTTGCCTCCATCCACTATACCGCCGGCTCGGGCAAAGTGACCGTGACCTCCTACAGCGAGCCCAATGAGTGCTTCACCGACCCATGTTCCCTGGTACTCATGTGTATGTTCTGCCTGCCCTGCTGTCTGCTGACCTGTCCCTGCTATAGGGTAAGTGTGCCTTCGTACTTACTTAGAGGGGGCAGTTCCTGTGGGCGTGGCCAGACTCATCTATATCGGGAGACCAGCACCCGATTTCATCAAACTCTTCGTAACTTACGATGCATCGCAGCGATGCGACGCGTCATATCTCTACGGTGCGTCGCAGCTGCGACGCGTCCTGCGATCCATTTCACTAAACACGTCGTAAGTGCGACGCGTCGTAGGTGTATTTATAGCACAACTCAGTGACTGTTTTATGTATTTAGTCAGCGTACAGTAAATAGTCGTCTGATGTTCAACAAAGTGTCGTCGGATTTAGCTTGAAATTTGTTGAAACGTAAAACAAAATGGCGGCCGTGTGATGCAATTTTGAAGGAAAACAAACTCTCATTGGACTGTATAGCTACTTTGAAATTTCAACTCTAATATTCGGTCTAATTCATAATTATTCAATGAATTTTCTATTTACAACTTTACACACTTTGCCTCGGTATTATAATCTCGTTAATGTAATGTTTGTGGCATAAAACTTGCTTAGAAATGACTCTTCTTATTTTGCAATGATCACTAGACACGTCGTAACTTGCGACGTGTTTTAAGCCGTTGTCAAGGAACTTAACGATGCGTTCAACACATCGCAACTTTAGTGAAATGGAAGATACGACGCGTCGCGACGCGGACTTTCAGTCATATTGTTTGTGCCCTAACCCTTTTGTCCTAGTGCAACGATTGCCGGTGTTTACATACTCTCACCTACACCCCAGCATGTTTCTTTATGGTGTAATTTGAGGATTTTCTATTGTTCCTCTTCCCTTTTCCTTTGTTTATACTGAAACTTTTTTGCAACAGCTCTCATTGGTTTTGTACACGTTTTCTAACCGATGAGGCGTCAATTAGGTTCCTTTCCTCAATTCATCGATGATGTTACACTTGTGTGTTTTTCTCGATTTACACCATAAACAAACGCATGTTTGTTTATGGTGTAAATCGAGGATTTTCTATTGTTCCTCTTCCCTTTTCCTTTGTTTATACTCTTTTTGCACTTTGCAACAGCTCTCATTGGTTTTGTACACGTTTTATAAGCAAAGTCGTCCTTGATTTGGTTCCTGTCCTAGATTCATCGATGATGCTGCACGTGTTTACACCATAAACCTACTCTCACAAGGGTGTAAACACCTTCCATCATGGACCCCCTATTGTCCCTCTTTTGTTTGTACATGTACTCTAACTTTTTAGGAAGACCTCCCATATGTACACAATCGTTAATTGTGGGCCTTTGTGAATTGTGGACCCTATCGTCCTCTATTGTTTAACGTCCCCTATTGTTTAACGTCCCCTATTGAATGCAAACTTAAACCCACACACATTCTTGTTCTGTAGTTGTGGGGACTGTACACGAGTTGTCCCATGTTACTACGGGGACCGAAGATGCTGTGGGGACAGCAGAAAGTCCCCACAACTCTGTCCTAATTTGCCTAACCAATAAAAGACTTCCCGATAACGCGGTGACAGCCCGCCCACACATACATCCTTTCTTCTTTGTAGTGTAGCGACGACACTGTGAACCATATACACTGCTGGTCTGCTGGCTTATATACATGTAGCGGGGAGGGGAAAATTGTCGGCTAAAATGAACAAACGGGGGGACACACTACCGAGAATGGGGCATCTAAACTAAAGGCCTAAGAGCAGCTACTCCTATTGAAAACACTAAAATGATGAACATTTACAACTAAAAAACTTCGCCCTGCTACAATGGACCGATCCAGTAAGCTCCGCCCAGTGCGCGCTTGGGCAAGTTAACACGTGCTCCTCTCCAATGCCACGCTGCATTTTCCTTCCACGCGCATCATACGCGCGTGCACGCATGTCGGACTTTAGTGCACGCACGTCGGACATAAATCACGGCTTTGATTGGTCAGAACACCATGGGGCGGTGCTTACTAGATCGGTCCATTACTTCCGTTATTACAAAGACTGTTTCCTTTGTGCTAGATCCACCGTGCCGTGACCGTTGATGACTCTGGTGGTGAGGTCAGGGGACTGGTGGCCAGCTACTATAGTCCCGAGGCAGAGCTGCAGGGAATGCAGCAGGTTCTCGCCGGTGTCCTGCAGATGTTGGCCCAGAATAATGCGGCCCAAGTTAATGCGCCTCCTACTTATGGTAGGTGTGACTACAGCTGATGTGGGCTTGATCAAGGGGGTTGCCAAGGGGTTGTGGTCCAAGATTGATTGGGGGATGGACCGTCTAAACCAAGATCAGGTGTGGTGCTTTATGTTTCTACTTTCAAAAGCTTTTCGACAAATCAGTCCTTCCTTTTTGTATGCTGACATGTGAATGATTGCCTGTCCATTTGCAGATGCTGCAACTGGATCTAATCTGGCCTATGGAGGCTCTCAGGTTGTGAACCGCCAGCCAGGATATCCACAACCCGTGGGTCAACAAGTCGGCTATGGCCAGCCTGGGGTACAGCAGCCTGGCTACGCTGTACCCATGGTTCAGTATCCCGGACACGCCCAGACTGTGGCACAGCAGCCCGGTTACCCCCAACCTGTGGTGGGACAACAGCCAGGTTACGCTCGACCAGTGGTACAGTAATCTGACTAAAAGGCTACCCATGGGTTGACTGACAGGTTGTGTCCAGCTTACGGCATAGCAGCCAGGCTACGCCCAACCCATGGTATCGTACCTTGGCTATGGCCTACTGGTTAGTTGGCAGCCAGGCTACACCCAACCCATGGTACAGTAGCCTTTTTATGGCCTACCTAAGAGTAAGCAGCCAGGCTGTATGCCCAGCCCATGGGTTAGAATATTGGGCTCATTTTGTTTTCTTTGTATGCTTATCACAGTGCGTAAATCTGTGATTTTTTTCAGCTTTGTAAGGAAATCAGGGTGTAGTTTTTATTCACGCTGCTTGTATATTTGCTTTGCACCATTGTAACGAATTTGCAAGTTCGACAAGTTCTTGTTCTTGCGATTCTGTTTGTCATTCGGGAAATTTGCCCAATGGGTGGACAGTTACATTTTGCATGAAATCTCCTGCGGACGGGATTTTTGTTTCTTACCAAAACAAGTTTTTCAACAAGGAAACATATTGTCAAAACATAAATTCACTGGTTTTTTTGTTGTTTTTTAAATACCGTAAGTTGATGGTAGGCGATCATGCCATTTAAATGTTGATGATTGAAAAAAAAATAACTCTGGATAAATCGCTTCTTGTTAATGATGAATGTAATAAGACCAATATGTTGCAAGAACCAGAGAGCCACTTACAGCCTTGTACTGGGGCTACGTACACTACACCATGTCATTAAGACTGTCGCCCAATTGGGTGATAATCACAATAATATTAACAATGTTTCAATAGGCCGACACATAATGTGTCACCTTAATAAAGTAGTTAGGGTAAAAATATAATCGGGCGACAGCAGTCATAATTATGATCCTATATTAATGCTTCCTTCACTGAAATTGATTATGAAATATTTTTTTTAAATGCAAAAGAATAATCTATCTTTATACAATGAAAAGACGTTTAAAAAGCATGTGTTTTTAAATTGAATGGGCTCAAAATAAAAAATAAAAAAGCTATATTTTTCAAACATACCTCGGTGTAGAATGTAATAAGCAGCTTATTAAAGATAATTTTAAATTTGGTAAAAGCTCATTTCCACTTTTGGACGGTAGAGAAAGCTTGTTATATATATATTTTGATACTAAAAGTCCATGTATGCCATACCTATGTTTGGTTTTAAAAAAAATATTGTTTATTTTACTGATTACCTCACTTAAATGCTTACATTTAACAGTAAAAACTTCTGAAACACTAAAAGAATATTAACGAATGGGAGGCTTGTGGTAACACCATGTGAATGATATCTCATGGTGAGTTGTGTGGTTCTGAGAAGAACCAGTTGGTTTAGAAGAATTCTTCTCATCAGAACCACACAACTCGCAAAGAGATATCATTCACATGCTGTTACCGCAAACCTCCCATGCATTGGTCATGTCCACCGTGAAAACCCTCAAGTCTCATTTAAAAGAATATTTTCCAAAAGCAGCTCAGTTTAGAATGTGTAAGCAGCTTGTTATAAATAATTTGAAATTTATTAAAAAGTGACTTCAACTTTTTCGATGGTAGAGAAAGCTTGTTTTATTTAAATTTATTAATGTATGAAATAAATAAATAAATAAATAAAATAAATATATTTTGATACTAAAAGTCTATGTACCCCGGGGGGTATGCCTCACCTAAGTTTAGTTAAGAAAAAAATCTTGCTTATTTTACAGTTTACCTGATATTGAATGCATATTTAAAAGTAAAAAGCTTTCTGAAATACAAAAAGGATATAAGGAATGGGAGGAATGGTGAATGATATCTCTTTGTGAGTTGTGTGGTTCTAAAAGAACCAGTTGGTTCTGGTTCTTCTTCTCAGAACCACACAACTCACAAAGAGATGGTGTTACCGCAAACCTCCCATTCATTGGTCATGTCCACCAAACATTTTTGAAAAAAATCCCCAAACATATTTGAACAAGAACCAATTGGTACAACCCACTGTGGGTAACACATTAACACGGGTAACGGCACCTCAGGAGTAAAGGAACCGAAAACCCCACGTGCCACAACGAACAGTCTTTATCATGAACACCAAAATGAACAAAATGTGGGATTTTTGGATAGTGATTGCGTCAGATTTTGTACATATTAGTAGGTTACGTTAACGCATTACTATTGTATACATGTACTTCTTTACCTTGTTTTGAAACTTGTCACACGGTGTTGGCACTGATATGACCCACATACTACATGCAATCACATGTAGCCTTCACTCGGTCCATGAATCATACAACCGCAAATTTTATAATGCAATGGGGTGGGATCTCATATGCAAATTAGACGCATACGCATCAGTGTTATCAAACAGCTATTCCAAGGAAACTCTCTCTCAAAGCTGTGATACATGCGGTATGGAAACAGTATAATACACCCGGATAGAATGGGCCAAGTAAACTGTCCACCCACCCACCCACCTACCCACCCACCCACCATACCACCAGCATAGTGATCTCAGGCCCACGGCATGTTTTCACGCTGCCGTGGGAAAAATATATTTGTGTGTATATGTTGCGGTTTGTTCATGTTATATGTTTTCCTGTGGGTTTCCTTAGTATAAATTACAGTTTTTCTGCAGGGTGACCGTTAAGCCGATTTTTGGCTAACTTTGACGGATTTTTATTGTTAAAAAAAGAGTTTGATAGAATGGATTTTTTTTGGCAGATTCTGGCAGAATTCTGCAAAAATGGATATTTGACAGAAAAACATAGCAAATTTTTTTTTTAAATTGTACATTTGTTTGAAAAAAATTAAATCTTTTGAAACCAACCCTTGCATAATGGGACAGGTTGTAGGTGCTGAGGTTCACTGGGAACCGGATTTTTTCATAACACAACCGCATTTTGCCTGAAATTTACGCAATTTCATAACATCTTTATGCGACTATAGATTGTTTATAATGCAATTTGCACCTTAATTAAGGCAGTAGTACAACATCTGCATGTGATTTTAATGTTTATAGTGAATTTCGAGTAATTAATGGAAATTTGGAAGATTTTTGATGAATCTGACTAATTTTTGAAATGCATTTTGCGGAATTGGGCCATGACCTTTTGGTCACTCTGTTTTTAAGGGGATGGTAGATTTTTTCTAGGCTCAGTTGATTATCCATTTTTATTCGTTCTAGTGCGTCTTTCATTTGTTGTTGGTTTACTCGGGTTTTGTGTATATTTTTGTGTATTGCCATCGCAATGGGACCCCTTTCAGTCTTTCTTGTTTTTGATATTTCTCAGTCTTTCTTGTTTTTAATATTTTAATCTTTGACATTTTAACGCTGTGCATTGATATTTTTACACCATTTTATTTTTACACCTTGTTTCCTGAAATGTTATATTTGTTACATTTTGTTTATTATAACGTTCACATTGGCTTGTAAGCGGATTTTGGCGCTATTATTGTTATCCAGTATAATAATTAGAACTATTATTATATTTACATTCCCGCTACTCAAATCTGATATTTACTCAGACATAAATGTAGTTTTTGCCGAAATAAGACTCATATTTTGTATTGGTATAAAGAGGTTGTAATTAATCATAACGAAGAGAGCTGCCAACGGGTTTTACAGGGTGAATGGAAATAAAAAAAAAAATAGCGTACTGCTGAATTGCGTTTAGAAACTACAGGATGTGATGTTTGTTTTCCCAATTTTTCCGGTTACAGTGATCAGAGATGCCATCATTATATCAATAAAAAGCCTGAAACACTACTAGAAAACCCTGAAACTGTCCTTACCCCCTTTCAAAAATGTGTTTTCTGGAGTTTCAGACATGGGCATCGCCAGGATTTTTTCCAAGGGGGGGGGGGGGGGCAAAGCAAATTTTTTCCCCAATTTATAATTTTTCCGAGCGCGAGCAGGGGAGCATTTGCCCTCCCCCCCCCCCCATCAAATTAACATCAATATGGCTTTGCACCTCTTACCTTTTTTTTTTCTTTTCGTTTTTCTTTTTCTTTTTTTTTCCGGGGGGGGGGGGAGGGGCCAAACTACAGGATTTGAATGGAACATTCCATCTTCCAACTCATGAAAATATTCTCACTATTGCACTCATAAACATTATTTGTACAACAGCCTCTAAGGCACCTGCAGTGCAAAAGGTCTATGCATGCAACTGTACATTCACAAGACTTTGTACAGTGTTTTTCTATTTTGAATGACAGAAATGGGAATAAAAAAAGGAAATCAGCTGATCCGAGGAAAAGTTGCATGCCTGTATTGAACATCCTTGCTAAGGGAATAGCCAAGGCATTGGGGGGGGGGGGGCTGTTGCAGATAATTCACATTATTCGACACGGACACAAACATTTAACAGCATAAAACTTGGCTGGGACATTCCTGTGATTACTGACATAAAAAAATCATTTATTTCAACTATATTACACAACCCAGACTTTCAAACAAAATCATTAAAATTGTCATTTTCTGTGTAAATATAACCCCATTATTCAATTTTGTGTGAAGCTTTTTTTTTTTCATGAAATTTACACGAGAAAAGAACAAACGCAATCTAATATCAAGCGTGTTGCATGACACTAGAAAGTCTGTAGACAGCAAAGAACAAAAATTAAATAGTTACATCTTATTAATAATACATATGCATATAAAATTTACATAATGAGCTCTGAGCCCACCACCAATCCGATAATGGTAACAAGTGAAGTTATGAATATTCAATGCTCATTAATATGCAACACTCAAAACGGGTGGTGCTTAAATATGTCTTTCTACCACACTATCAAATGTTAATGGTCATACTCGGAGATTTCCTATTATTTCATTTTTTGTTTTTTGTTTTTAAATCAGAAAAAAATATTTACATTAAAAAATTTAGAGTGCATTCCAGGAGGTTCACTCCTATTTTGTTTTCACATTTCAACTGCATGCTAAAATAGGCTTCCAATTTTATTTTTTATGTTCATTTTATACAAGAAATTCGAGTCGAGTGACTCCGGCCTATGTACACATGGCACTGGCTGCAGTTTAAATACAGCAGTTTGCGAAAAAATGGTTTGACAAAAAGTTTTGAAACTTTGGGCTTGTTTCCAGCTGTGGCTGCAGTAGCCACTAATGTATAAACCAAATGGATTACTCCTAACCATGGCCTCGTAATTACAACATTTTTTTAGGCTTCTGAAGAAGAACCTGTATCCATAATGAGATACCGTTACGTTTCCTGAAGCCAAAGCCAGGGACAGATTCGTGGTTTCAAAAACCTCAAAACTCTTTCGTCAGTTTTTTTTCTTTCTAAATCACACCTCTTATTTTCACACAAAGTTCATGAATAGTCATGATTTATGCTAATAATCATCCAAACTCAGCAGTGAGTGAGGGAGTTTGTATTAAATCACAGGAATTGGGCAGAGAACAAAGCAAAAAAAACCCAAAACAACCAGCACTTCATTGCAGAACACTGGCGTTACAAAAACTTCCACAGATTAAAATAAAAGCTACACTGTTTTTAAATCCCCTTATAGGAAAATACGCCTTTGTTAAATAGCCATCCTAACTGATGGTCACACTTTTTTGGGGGGGGGGGGGAACATATGGTAAGAAGACAGCACAATAAACATTGCCATCTGGGAGTAGATATGATGACCAGTGAAAATGGTTTTCCACTTAAAGCTATAGTCCATCATTTGCAGCCATCCGAAAAGTAACTGGCGTAATTATTGTTGAAAAACAAACTGGGTTGAAAGATAGTAAGGGAACTAAACTCCCTGTGAAATTGTTCTTTCTGGGAAGCTGTCATTTTGAAGTAATCAACGAAAGAAGGCATTTCCAACGGTGATTCTTAAGAAGCACCGTAGGAAAATTTAAATTAGTAGTTCGTTTTGTTATTCAGCGCAGCGCGCACATGTATTGGAACGACGCACACGCGCGCGCGGTTGTTATAATTCGTCGGATCAGTGCGCGACGCCGCGTATGGCTGCAATTCAAAACAATTCAAAACATGATTCAGTAACTTTTGATTTGAAATTGAGATCTTAGAATGCTGCTTTTCTCGGAATGTACAGCTGAAGCTTAGCTGAAACTTCATCAGGTTAGTTGCTCAGTATCCTTCATTAGATTTTGAACACTTTTGTTGCTTCAAACAAACAAAATGCACTAATTACAAATGATGGACTACAGCTTTAAGAAGCGATAGCCATAATTTTACTGGCAATTAATGTAGTGACAATCAGGGCCCAATTTCACGGCGTTGCTAAGCACAAAAATGTGCTTAGCACAAAAATGCTCTGGCTTATAAAAGCAGGTTATCAGCCAAACCTCCATGTGATTTTCATGCTAAGCAAACAACAGCTGAATACCAACCACAAGCAATATACATCACGTAGAGTTTTGGCAGGTTACCTGCTTTTACAAGCCAGACTTTTCTGTGCTAAGCAAATTTTGTACTTGGCAGCGCTGTGAAATTGGCCCCAGGACTCGACTGATGGCAAACATTTGGATTTCTGCTGCTGTGTGTTTTTGCAAGGAAATGCATTCAGACTTGCCATGCATTGGTTGCTTGTAGTTTATCCATTTCATAAAATAAAATAGAAAGGGGGGGGGGGAGTGGGGAGTTATTGTCATAAGTTTGTAGGACTAACTACGCATTTACATAATGGTGCCATCTCATAAATTAACGAATAAAATCTTGGATAAGTAATAACGCATATTTAACAACTGTTTCCCATTTGGGTTTTTCTCCATCCTAGTTATTTTTAAGGCAAATTCTAAATATGTGGACAAGTGAACAACTCAATAAAATAGTTCATATCCTCTAGCTATATACACATGAAAAAAAGATTACAATAACACCTGTATAGTATATATATTACAAGCTAATTTGCTGTGTATTTGAGCCGATTAGATTAACATTGCATGCCATGATTCTAGGGTTTACAATCGCGTAGTAAATACAATGAATACTGGGCTGTGCAGGGAGAAACAGATCAAAACGTGGGGTTAAAACAATTTTTTTTAACACGTAGACTTATAAACTATAGACATTACTGAGAGTGGGTGGGAGCGGCTTTCATCCAGTGAAGGGGGGAGGTGTAACACAATCCTTCCAGATCCTCTCATCTTTCAGATCCTTTCATCTTTCAGATCCTCTCATCTCCCAGATCCTTCGAGATCTGCAAGGTGGTTTCTGGAGGATTTCCAAAGGACTAAGTAAGATAAAACCCAAGCACTGCCACTCTACTTGGCATTCAGAGTTCTTACGAGAGATTTAACGTTGGTTTGCTAGACAGTGGCAGATTTCTGGTAAAGGTAAAGGGGGACGAACCTGTGTTCACAGGAACGGAGTGCCCATCTCTCTTTCTTTAGCGATTGGGCCAGACTTATTATGCTGCTGTGGGGGAATCGCCACACCTCCTCCACAGCGAGTCTGTTACCTTCCCAGCATTGAATAATGCTGGTACCTATTTAACACCTGGGTTGAGAGGAGTAATTCAGGTAAAGCGCCTTACTCAAGGGCACAACACGTATGGCCACGGCGGGGCTCGAACCCACAACCTCACGATCATAAATCCTATGCTCTACTGCTAGACCACACGTGCCCAGGATTCAAATTCTACAGAAAATGCCCAAAGAGTAAAAGTAGGAACCCTTTCATCTTTTTCTTTTTCCTGGAAATACTGCGGCCTTATGTTACAGTTAAACATGACCCACTTGAGTGAATTAAGATTTTTTTTCCAACATTCTCAAAGACCTCAAATGAATTGACTCAACCAACACTGCATGCCACTAAAGTAATAATTTCTGACTTTGAAATCTCCAAATGTTGAGACTTGACTATTGTTTTACACATGGATGAGATTGTCAATTCCCAAAAAAATATCTGAAAATTGATGAAATGTCTGAAAGATGAATATCTTTCTATATTAATGTCTTTCTCGCAGATTCAAAAAAAATCTGATTTCGGACAAAAGTCTGAAAAATCTCATGCCTGTTTATAGAGGCACATCACTTGTCCTCATTTTCCCCGTTTTTATGTTAACCTACTTTTAAAAAAAAAACCTTTCAGATCTATAACAGTGTCATGCATGTGTGACATGTCTTCAATCCACGTGCCAGACGAAGCATACACGATGCACTGTCAGCAGGAATCCCAAAACCCAAATCTGCTCCGACACGTCAAACAAATATTATAGCATTACAAGGGATTTAAAAACAAAGAGTGTCTTAAACATTACTAGTGTAACTGCAACGATAAACAATAAATTCATTAAAATTGTACAGTTGGCATAAACTTTAATTCGTTGACTTGGTGTGCACTTGTGCTCTGCAGGGTAAAAAAAAATGAAGCCTTACTAATAGGGCCCTTCTCAATTCATATCCGGGATGAGCTCCAGAGAAGTTCCAGTTGCCGACACTGTATCGGGCATAAGTTGCAGGATTCTGAACAACTTCCCCGCAATCTTCCTGCAATGAAGTACAGTGGAACGCCGCTATAACGAACATCGTTGGATCCACAGAAAGTGTTCGTAATAACGATCGTTCGGTATAGCGATTTTGAACTGCCGATACCCTCTTTTGACCAATAGTGAACTGGCATTTCTCACGAGTGGTTTTCCCTTCTATTCCTCTGGGGAAATAATAGCCATCTATCGCTCTTCAACATTCAAACACGGTGTAACTATGGGTCGTTTGATGTTCGGGAATTATAAGTGGCCCAAATAGTGTTTTATACATGTACAACCTGTAGATTTTTTGTTTAATCTGTTGACTTTTTTCAACAACAATGTTCGGTACGTTTTGTACATTAAAACCAGGAGCCAAGGATGATGTTCGGTATAGCCGAATGTTCGGTATAGCGGTGTTCGGTATAGCGGCGTTCCACTGTATTGGCAAGTGGACCAGTTGCTAATGAAAATTTCCCCGGAACATATCCGAGACAAGAGAATCTGTTGGACAAAGTGAATGATTCTACCCGCAACTTGTCCAAAACTCATCCCGGATATGAATTGAGACGGGCCGTTAAGGACACTCTAAAGCAAAATTGTTCACAGAGTGCCTACGCTCGTGTGCGTTCCCTCTCATTTACAGACACTACGAGTTCCAACATGTTCAGTTGCAAACAAGTCAAGTGAAGTTCTTGAACTGTGCACTTGCGAACCGTGCAGTAAAATTTTAAACATTTCTAAAAAAAAGGGTATCAATGTAAGCATATATTGACCCTCTGAAGTTACGCACGGTCTCTCCCAAGCTTACTGCCTGCAGTCTCACTGAAAGCTTCAGTAAGCAGAAAACGGAGTGCTTAGCAGCGACATGAATTTGGACCGTGCTCAAAGCAGGAGGTTCAGAGATCTATTTGTAAAAACAAAACTGATTGGCCTATACCTTGATGTGACAGTAACCTAACCTACAGGTAAGCTGCTCACAAATTACCTACAATAAAGGTACCACCGGACAGAATTAATGCAGAAAATTTTGCGACTTTTTCTAACTTGGAAACAAAAAAATCTGAAGGAAAAATGAAGATGACGAGAAATATAAAATCTTAACGGAAAGAAAAACGATCACATGACTGTCAGTGGGTAGCCAATGCCAATGCGATTATTACAATAATGATGAATATTAATGGCCCTTTGGACCAATCACAACAGTGCCTCGATGGGGGCGGGGTGAGAGGGGGTGTGGAGTGGGAGGTTACTTATTCTTGGCCAAATCCTTCTGTTTCTTCGATGGCGAATTGCAGCTTCTCCAGGAGTTGTTCGTAACTCTTATACGGTGGTAGATCCAACCGGTTGAAGCTGTACAATAAACATTGAGAAGAAGATCAAAACAGAGAAACAGGAATAAGAATTGGGAAAAGTGAAATGTTGTCAATTATTCAAACACATACAAACAGCAAAGGAATGGAAAAGTGCAAATTCATGAAACAACGTGAATTTTTATTGTAGAGTTTCTCAGTTGTTGGGTTCATTATTGCTGTGCATTTCTGTCCATGCAGTTGACAATTTGGTCGTATTTTGTGCAATATGTGTCCAACTGATCTCTATATATACACTGGATAGCGTACAGAGACCGCAGAAGAAATCCATTAGCAGCCATATTGGGGAGACCGGCTGGTGTTCTATAAAGGACAAGTTGCAGTCTTAGGCTGTTGTGATTCATGTAACATCGTGGTTCACCTGTTTTACCTTTTGTCCACCACCACTGAACACGGGTTACAGTTTTTCAAACGTTGTGGTTCACTTTTTGAAATGCTGCAGTTCACTTTTTGCGACATTTCGAAATATATAATCACGACGGAAACTTGTCCTTTATAGAACATCATAAAATGTGTACGTGATCACAATGGGCATCGACTCTTGATACAGTGCGTTCTATGTACGCGTAAAATGTTCGTATATTGGCGACCATTTTTTGAAAATCAGGGGGCGAACTGGTCAAAGTGCAAATTCAACTACCCAACTGTTGTATGGGCATCTGCTATCCAGTTTGTATATAGAGATCAGTGGTGTGTCCACGCACTGTAACTTTTGTGAGTGGTCGAATAGCGCCCTCTATACCGAGTCTACATGGAATGATCAATGCCTTACCATGTGTGGCTGCGGGGAAGCCAGGTCTCCTTGCCAACCTTCTCCAGACAGAACTTCTGTGGACCGTTACTCCCTGCCGATTAAAAACCAAACATCCATGCAATTATGCTTATTGAACATCACCAAGCAACTTAACCAGCCTTGACTGCTCAACAGACTTTTAAAAAGTCTTCTGCAACAGGCACTACGTTGTGCCTTTAAACTGCTCGAGAAATATTGCCAAAAGTTTAATCAATCCGTCCCAGTGCATGTACCATCTCATACCACTTATACGGTTTCAAAATATATGTGATGCTATCAAGCTAAATGAGTCGTTTGTCGACCCTGGTCAAAAAAAAGTTTATTACAGATTTGAAACGAGCACAATCTCGGCATTTCTGCTGTGAAAACCGCATGCTGATGCCATTTTTAGGTCAAAAATAATGGAAGTCGGAACACCAAGAGATGTGATGAAGTGATGTGATGAAGTGGCCCTATTTTGGCCTGAATCTCCAAATGAAAATTCCCGACAAACGACTCATTTAGCTTGATCGCATCACATATATCTTATACTGTTCAAAACTCACCCATGAGTTCGGCGAAGCCGCCGACTGGCAAGCGACACGTTCCTGTGACAAACTGCAGCAGGCGGGCCCGCTTTTCGTTGTCCATCTCCCGCACGGCGCGCCAGAACCACTGGACCTGTTTGCTCTCCCGCGTGTAGTGGCGATAGATGGTGCTCCGGTACCAGTCTTCCACGTCAAACTCCTGCATGCCACACAGCATCAGCTGAAATCGGACGAAAAAATAATTAACTTCATTGCTAAGGCTTTTTGGTAGCTTTCCTTAAAGGTAGGGTCGACCATTTTTCATTTGTGCAACAAAACTGCTCAAAATCTAAAGACGGGTGTTATTACTAGTTCAGTGAATGCTGTATATTTCAAGAAAATAATATTCTAGGATCTCGATTTTAATTCAAAAGTTGCCGAGCCATATTTTTAATTGTGCCTGAATTCAGGATCCGGGACACGTTCTCATTCAGCCGATTGCAGCTACGCGATGTCACAAACTGAACCGACGAATAATAGCAACCACGCGGGCGTGTGCGTTGTATCAACACTTTCGCGCACCAACTCACGGATTTGCCGAATTACAAACCAACTGCTAACAGAAACGGCCTTCTTTTATTATTTTCTTCAAAAGGACGACATGCCAGAAAGAATAATTTCACAAGGAGTTTAGTGCCATTACTGTCTTCAAACCAAGTAAAATTTTCATCAATAATGGTGTCAGTTAATTTTTGGATAGCTGCAATTGATCTACTCTACCTTTAATATTCCAAAGAATAAAACAACAATGGAGGAGCCAATGGCACATTGTTTTGCTCTTTATCTTCTAAGAGAAAGCCAGCCACATTTACATTAACAGTATCTGGGCTCTGCTTTGTCAACCCTTTAACATAATCCCAAACTCCAAGCGGATTTGAAAGCATCTGCGAGAGTAAGGGCTAACAATCCAAAGAAAGAATAAAAAAAATACTGTTGAAATGATGTAACATTTCATTGTTTCAAAACTCAACCAACCACAGTCCAAGATTCTGATCCATACTCAAACCCCCACACTGTCTAGTTTCTCGGGCTTTTTTCATGTTGTACCATGTTATATTTCAGTTCACTTGTCGGCCCTGGGGAAAAAAAACTGACTACACCATCACCCCAAAGCAATCAACACCGTCACTGATTAGCCTCACATACCTCCAGCTCCCTCTCGTCAAAGTACTGCAGCCACTGCAGGGGTACCACCTCGTTGAAGCCATCCAGGAACGATTTGGTCTGCTCCGCGATGCCGCGGGTGAAACGCCACTCTGTCATCAAACTGAGGTAAACAATGAACAAACAAGATGCGAAACAAAAATTGGTTTACATTTCTCGATACAGTTACCTTGGATGAGCATCATTAATACTAAGATCTTCTGATACAGATATACCCGGGAGCAAGTTGGAGTAAGAACCGTAGTTGAACCACGGTTCGACTTACTTCACTCAAACCCACGTTAGTTGGCTGAGGTCGCAGTCCATGACTTACATAGACCTCAGTGATAATTACACGCACTACCAAACTTTCTTCAAATACTCGCAACTCTCCAAGGTGTTTAAGACACACATCAAACTAAAGCTTATTCCATCACCTTTCATTTTCTGTTAAATTTTTGGCTGGTTAACCAATGACTTTTGGGGGGAAATTCCGTCCAAAGACGATCACCCCTAAAAGTAGTCCCGAAACCCATCACCAATTTGAAAAAAGGATTCCTACGCTCCGTTGCAAAATACAGCAATTTTAGGATTCATTCATCCGAATTTCACAGAAATACGAGCTCGCAGTCCCCTACACAGTTTCCACCCATCTATTTTTAAAAACCCTCAAGTGCATGGCCCTCAAAGTGCTATAATACTGGAGAAGTTGAGGGCATGCAAATCTTGATTTGACTGGTGTAGGAAATTTTGGGCCTATTTCCCTCCTACAACGCTCTCATATGTAGTCGAGAAACTCAATCTACTGTTCACAAGACCACAAGTACCGAACAGTGATCATAAGCAACATAATTCTCTGGTTGGCAGTGTGATGACTTTGAGCCCAGGGTTCTCTGCTCTAGCTTGCCCTACTGCCGGCTTACTTGATGTATTCTTCTTTGTTCTCGTCGCACACCACGATGTCGCCCCCACCCTCCTTGAGTTCCACCGTCTCCAGCTTGCCGAGAATCTCAAAGTCGGCATTGAAGGTGATGCCTAGATCACACTCATCGATCTCATTATCCCTAAGAAACAAAAACGCAAAGAGAAAAGTAACGAGTTGTTAAGTAACCATCAGCTCCATGTGAAACAGATTTTTTTTTTACCGTACTTTATGACAAGTCTATGCATTGTGCATATGGAGATTTCCTACACCAACCAAATCGGGTCCCAAAAAAATTAATCTTGAAGTATCTCCAAAACTACAGGGTCTAGGACTTCAGGATTGTTGCATGTTATTGTCCTACTATCCAGCTTTTTAATCATGTAAACATTGTCTGTTATTTCCCATTTCCAGGCACATTTATAATTACTCTAAGCAAGCCAGTCTGTCAAAGGCAGGGACACGCATGAGAGGCCATGTATGCTTACAAACATTCTTAGCTCAAATTTCAAGCTAGGACAATCTATCGAGTTGAAACAACACTACTTCAGACAGATTCATTTATTCTTCCTATCAAAATTACTGTTGCTATTAGGGGATATAATTTTGTGGAGCATAGAGAGTTAAACAGACTTACTTGAGCCAGCATAGAGATTTATAGAACTCAGGGTCGATACTTTCAAGGTCCTTCAGTGTCAGTTGTTTGTTGAGCATGCGCTTGTAGAACGGCATTGTGAAACCGCTGTAGATGAATTTGCCGTGGTAAAGCGCCTGAAAAAAATTCAAACGAGTAAAATTTCAGTTAATTATCTACTGGACCAATAACTACTGCACCAGAGGCATTTTAACTAGACAAATGCCAAACATAGTGGAAAACAAATTAAATCTTTGGTACCAAAGTTTGTAGAATGCCATAGGTTTCTGACTCACGCACGATGGTGCGTGGGTTCAAACCGTACCAGGGACATGGTGTTTGTGCCCTTGGGCAAGACACTTAACTACAATTGCCTCTCTCCACCCAGGAGTATGAATGGGTACCTGTGAGGGTAGAGGACCGAATGTGCGCTGATATCGGCTGCCGCGTGGTCCCATGGCCTGATGAACGGGGTGATAATTGTAAAGCGCTTTGAGATTATTGATACCATGGAAAGCGCTACATAAGCATTACAATTTATTTCATTTAAATATTTTTTTACCAGAAATGCAACAATATATCCTTCCTTTCGAAGCTTACCATTGCAATGAACCTTCCGACGAATCGGAAGTAGGAGAGATGGTCAGGGTTGACCGAGGAGGCGGGGTTGATCTGCAGCGAGTAGTTGCTCTTGTTGGCATACTCAAAGAGGCAGTACATGGGGTTGAGAACCTCGTGAGATAACATGAAGAACCATTCCCTGGTGGGTAGGAAAAGGGAAAATTAAGGGAAGAATATGAAATTATACAGGCGGTAACTGTAAGTTTACCTTGATGTTTTACGGGGTACCTCAGGGTACAACCTCGACTTACCGCTTCTTAGCTTTGTACTCTTCCCTTAACAACTGTCGCATTGTGTTGAACGCCACGGGGAAGGCATGTGTGATGAGTTTGGTAGCTAACTTGTACGTGTTCATTCAGAAATTAATATGAGAAATGATCACTGGCACTAGTTTTAAGAAATGCAAACAAACCAATGAAATTAGGTCCGAAGTTGCTACAGCTACTTGTAACCTGATGACTTTCAGGTTAAAACAAAAATCAGTTAATCAGTAGTTTTTGATATTTTTCACTGCCTTTCCAAGCAGCCACTGACTTTCAGAAGTATTTACTAATTTACACAAAAGTTTTCCCCAAGCCTTCAGAAATGTTTCAGCGGCTTCTAGAAATATCAGTCGGCTTTCATTACAAAATTCAAAACTATTCAAAGGTACCATTGGCTTTCAGAATGAATATGCTACAGATCTGCAAAGCCAGCAAGCATTGTCATTTTTAATGCATACCGACTTCCAAAAATTTATGTACTGACTTTCAAGAAAAACATGCAAACTTTCTGCAAGAGATACAATGTGGCAGCACCGTACTATTCACTTGATAAACGCATTTCTACAGCCAAGTTTACTGAAGTCCTTCTTACCTTGCAACACCACCATAGTCTAGACCCTCCTCTCCTCTGAATATGATGAACAGCCGCCTCCGCAGATCAAAAGCTTGATGCCTCATTATCTGGGGGACGGGGAAATTTTTTTTGTAAAATAAATTTTAACGTAAATTTTCATTGAGTGCATTCAAGTATACAGTCTATCCGCTCCGTTCACAAGTACCCCCTCACCAGCAAAGAAGGTACAGTTGGGAGTGACCGACCGACGCCATCTTGCCCGACTGCAAGTTTGCCGCGATGCGCGGCCGTACTACTGCGTGTACATAGTACAAATCCCCTGGTGTACGTGCATCACACACAAGGAAGGATGCGCGTCAACCAGCTATATGTCCCACCCATGGGACATTGTTGCTAGGTAAAAGGGCGCCCTCTTTTGTTGGCGCACGGAGCCCATAGGAGACACTTTACAAGCTTTAGCTTCTGCACACCAAAGCCCCGGTATTTTTGTCCAATGGCCAGAGGCTATGGGTTTGTGAACTATTAGTTGGTCAATGTGACCTATGACCCTTGTCACGAGTATCTCAATGCTAGGTATGGGCCTTATTCACGAGTTGGCCATTTTTGTTGAGTTCCCTGAATGTATTTCATTAATTGTTAACTGTTGAATAGGCTGGTGCCTGACTATTTATGTAGGCACAATGCAGCCTTATTTACTGTAATTTTTTTTTTTAATCTGGCTTTAAACATTAGGGAATGTTTAATTACAAATTTTAAATCATTCGTTGAAGCAGACTGGAATTAATTAGAAATTAACTTGGTTTCATTTCTCTGCACAAGTTCCAAAAATCAAGATTTTTACCTCACTTTCAATCCAATATGGCTGACTCTTGAATAAGGCCCATACATGCAAACCATGCTTTAAGTCAATAGGTGGCGCTATTCGTTGTGTCATATTTACCAACAGGCAAATAATTTTGCCAAAAAGATGACAAATTTGCTGATAAAAATTACTAATGAGGGGTGTAACACACACCCCTCCCATTGACACTCATACATGTGTCTTTGACCAGCTTTCGTTAGTAGTCCACAGAGCCCCATTCAGTTTCTACATGGTCTCCACAGAATGCCGGATCGCAATTGTAATTGATCAAATTCAAAGAAGTTTATTTTTTCCTGAGACACTCACTTGATGGAACGAGTCTTCAAAGAGCGTGGTCCTGGAGACGTTGATCTTGACGTGGCTTGGCAAGGCGTTGATTTGACACAGATAGCGGAACTGGCCCAGTTTCCATCGGAAGCTGCGCTCATAGGCCACCGGCACACCGTAGGCACCCTTGGGTCTGTGAAAAAGGAAACGACAAAACAACAGCACTGGTCAAAACATGATAATCACACTTTTTTGATAAGGCAAGGTCTTAAAAAGTTTGCCATTGACAGGTTTGAGGGCTTATTACTGGAATTTGAGGTTACCCATCACAAACACAGACATGTTATCGTTACATACGTAGTGTGGACATTCCTTTGTTTTCGTGTAGTGTAACCGGTGATAAACCTCATTTTACTCACACTGTGAAAACTCTTTCAACCCATTTTTTTTCTATGATGCCCTTTAGTGTTTCTCTTCATTTTGCCACGGATAAACCCAACTCAAAAATGCCTCTAAACCTGTTTTCCAGAGAGGGGGAAACACTGTGCGGACGTGGGCTAGTCCACACAACTTCACTGCTACCTGGTTTATGTGGACCTCTATTGTTTCGGAAGTCCACACAGTGAATGTAATGCTTGTACAAAATTACGAGTAGGAAAATGTTTCAATGGCATATTGAATTTTGTATTTGTTTTCTTTTTGAGATTATTTTCCTTTTCCGTCTTCATGCAGCCCTCATCTCGAGTGGCGTTTTCCAGGGGTGTTACGGTGAACGACAAACATTAGAAATATGACTCACCCTTTGGCAGCGTTGGGTCGTGGGTCGTTGAACGTCGTGGTCTTGGTATTGTGATCTACGAAGTACCTGACGCCTTCTTTTGTGTAGCGGATCTCCCAGTTGTCGGGTAAGGGGTCCTCCTGCATGCTGGCACTGCGAGAAGACGTATCAAGATTATTTAATCAAGATGTGATTGATTCTGATAATTCCAGACGCAAGTGAAAAATACCGTTACCTCCAGAGTGTAATAAATGAAAACTGATGAGACAAAATGAAACTAGCACAACAACAATTAGTTTCAATATGCAGGACGTGAAATTCATTCATAACCTCAAAATGCATTTCAGTACAAATATTGATTGAGTAAATCCATTTTTTGTTTGGACAGATACCGCAGGAGGTTTGAAAATGTTTGACTGACTTTGGCCTTCTGCATTCATCACATATGGCAAGTCTCATTAAAGGGCCCATGACATGAATTTTTCCTGAGGACATATTTTGGGAAGGAATGTAGTATCCAGACGCCACTTCTTCAGTTGTGTACAAAGTCTATGGAGAGTCAAGAGCATTTTCAAAGTATTTTTCTAACAAAATTGGAAATGTTTCTCCGTCCCAGATTCACGTCTTTTCAACATTTTTGACTGACCTTCACTGAGATAATATACGATGCAAAAAGTGGGGCCAGGATGCAGCTTTCTTTCCATAGTTTGTGCAACTTTCTACTCCACTTAAATTTATAAAAACTATTTGACAACCCTTATTGGTTATTAATTTTATTGAAAAGTGCACTTTTTAAAAACACTGAAAATTGTTATGCTTTTCCTGACAAATGAGGGCACTGTTGGTCTGATGTCATTTCAGGAAGACACTGTTCAGTTTTAAGTTTTCTGTGCCAATGGTGACCCCAAAATATGCTCATTGAAAACATGTCAGAAATTTTTGCTCATTGGCTGACTGTCATGTACTGAAACTATAAATCACCAAAGAGAAAAAAATTTACGACAGCAAAATATCAAAAATTCTCGCAATATTTGGTGCTGAAATAGCTGTAATATTGAGATTTCTGCCTGAAATGACTTCACACTTCTGCTCATGAATATGGAAATTCCCATTAGTATAACAACCAAAAAGACACTAAAATACCCTTAAAAATGACAAAATGAAACTTGAAAATAAGGCTAAATGGGAAACACTTTCGAGGACTGCATTAAAAAAAAGGTAACATCACATGGGCCCTTTAACCATTACAGATTGCCATTTTGGTGGAAGACAGAAATGGATTCAAACACCCCAGTAAACATTTTTATCAGTTGTCTGTTTATCAGCCGTAACGTGAAAGACAAATTCTTGCTGCGTTATTGGGGAAACAGGGGAAGAAAACTCACCCTTGCGTCCGTGGATCTTCCCACTGCGTGGTTTTGTTTTCGTGATTCACAAAATAGGTTCGGTTGTGCTGGTCGGTTCGTTTCTCTGTGGAGAGAAAAAGAGACAATTCAAATTCATGCCGATTCCCTCAAAAAGGAGTGTATAAGGTAAGAAATTAAACTCAGTTTGTAAAGGCCAAACAAAAAAAACCTCTCCGGTTTCTGGTATGGAGCTTGCCCAAAAAGTGGTGCGGCGACGCGGCTTTTTACTTTTTTTTACCTGTCTTTTTTGCTTCAAATGTCGGCTGATGACTGCAAATGGTGCCCGACTAAACTTAGTGCAAATATACGGGAGTCCAGAGAGGCCACATAAAGCTCATTCTCGATCACAACCCCATCTAAAAACATGTTAAAACTGTGCAGCAGCAGGATTCCAGTCAAACCAGTGAGTTTGGCGGTTTTGAGACATCATATTTTATTGAAAAAAAAAACTTTTTCATTTTGCCGACGCGCATGCCTACGGCGACGCGCGCGCATACCAGAAACCGGAGACTTTTTTTTTTGGGCCTAACCATGATATATAATAAATTATTCAGACAAATAATCCAAAACTCCTAGTCTGTAATCTCCTTGACCATAACTAGAGGATGGATGAATAAGATTTGAAAAATACATTTTCAGGTTTATTCACTGAGCTCTTAAAAACTCCGTCACAGACATTACTCTTTTCCTGAAATTTTTTTTTATTTGCTGATTTAACTACTGTATGTTTGTTAGCAAAGTCATACGGATGTGGTCTGATACTACGAGAAATACAGACGGAAAAAAAGAAGAGTAAGAATGAATGTATGAAATTAGTCTGGTGCTCACCCCATCCAGTAGGTAGAGGGCCTAGAGGGTCGTTGGCCTCCACACCACTTCCAGACTATAGGAGGGAAAAAGAAAGAATGGAATTCACGTGTAACATGCAGCTCACGTCATGGTTACTCCATAACAATCAAAAAAAGGAAAAGGAAAAAAAAATGCCCAATTTCTACAAAATCTGTGTCAGAGCTGTAATCAGTCTTCAAACATCATAGACAAGAAACTAAGTCTGAAATCAAGTTGGAAGCTTTAAAGGGAAAATACAACATTTGCAAACATCAAAAAATAAAACTACCAAATCATTTTGAAATACCTTGCTGGACTGTTAGTGAATGACAGTGTAAAGCATCCTGTAAAATCATGGCACCTGGTATACTGTCATTTTCAAGAAAAGTGGTATTTTTGTATCAATTTCCAACGCTGGTCCCAATTGACCATCGCACTTGTTTGCAATCGATTACACACCTATGAGCGGGTACAAGCCAGCTAGACTGGTTCCCTGACCTTACAACTCCCCAATGTATGTAAACTGCTGTGTTTCTTCTTATATGGAGTCAGGGAATTAGACTACAGGAAAATGATTGTTTTTCTTGGTTTTTATAGCATTTTCGAACCCAAAACCTCAAAAAAGTCAGTGTAACTATATTTGCTATATATTTCCAACCCCCCAATTCCATCCATTTCTGGAAATTACAGCAAAAGCAAATGATGTATATTCCCTTTAACCCTAACTCCCTAGGCATTTTTGAGAGGATGCAACCTCAATCCTGCAAAATCCTCCAACTGCCTTCATGTAAAACATTGCATGCAGCCTCAATCCTCCAAAATCATGTTATTTCTTGAATGTGGTCCTTGGAGTGGTGACCACTGCCTCAATCCTGCAAAATCCTCCAGCAGTCACTGTCCATATTTCGAGGCAGAGCCAGTGACATCCTGGAGCAGTGTGGAGGATTTCAAGTCTAATCTAGGTCTAAATTTATGCACGGCTGAGCATAAACAACACATGGTCCAGCTTAAGACCTTGACTCAGTACATCCTCCAAAATCAGCCACACGTTTTTGCCATGTAGCCTCCATCCTGCAAAAGCTTCCATTTTGCAAAGAAGAATTTGGAGGATTTGGGAAGGTTAGGGTTATAATCAACTTGAACTGACCGGTAGGTATAGCCTCTGTTGCAGTTGTTGCATAGTGGTGTTCTGCAGGTGGTTGTGCTGTCGTTGCCACTGTTGGAATGTACGTAGGGAGTCCACCGTGGGGCGTTGCCAGGTGGTGGTGCGGGTGTTGTGATCCACGTAGTAGATCCTACCCTGAGGATCCCTCCTCCTCTCCCATCTGCAGCACAGAAAGAACAACAAAATCGTTGGTTGCACCATGAACTGACGTATCGCATTTGTTTTTGTTTCGAGAAAAAACGATTTAAAGTTAGTCATTATTTTGTAGTGTCATTCCATGTACTCCATGTGTAAGAATTCAAGCTGTTTCGTTTTTGGTAGTGAATTATATTTTAAACTATTGTATGCAATCTGTGTGCATCTGAGTTGCTTAGTTTTTGAGAAATTCAGTTCCCAAGTTGTATGTCACTTCGTGAAACAGATTTTTATCATGTTTATCGTATGTCATGCAACGCATGTAATACTGGCCGTGTGCCAGATACGGAGATACGTCAGATCGTGAAACGCTAAATTCACACTTTTCATGTCGACGCTCCTTTGTGACGTCATAGCACTATGGTGATACGCCACTTCGTGGTGCAGATTTTTGATTTTTTAAAGATACGCCGCACAGTCTAATTAGCGTTCTCAGTTAATTAGAACTCAGATTGGAATAAAACTTTCTGAGAATGAGCCCTTTGATGAAATAAAAACGTTAATGACAAAAACTCAATTTGGCAAAAAATCTACATACGCCGGTTCGTGGTGCGACCGACGAAATATATGACCCGACGAAATACAATGGGGCCTTGTCACACTTCATTTTCTATATGCATTATAAAAAGAGAATTATGTTCCACTCATTTTGATGCACCACACAGATTGACATTGTGATGAATATGAACGTGGAAATATGAACAATAGAATACGAACGATGGAAATACATGCATTTCCACCATGCAGGTGCAAGATTAAACACATTTCCACTTCAGGGAATTTTGCCACTAGCGTTTCATGATATCAAAATAAAGTCATTGCGTATTTTGTATACTCCTCCTTTGTTTCTAAAATCTTGCCTAGGACACGATAATCCAGACAACGCCCACTTTTGTTTCACAGGGCTCACTACGAGTAAAAGCACAAAACCATCTCGTCCTTGGGCTTACCCCTGTGGGAGAGGCTGTGGTCTCTCCCAGGTCGTCGTCTGTGTGTTGTGGTCCACGTAATATGGCCGGCTGTGCTGGTCCAACCTCACCTCCCAACTAGTGGGCAAATAAAAGAATTGACTAAGTCATATATTGTGAACAACTTCTTGTCATCAAAAAGTTAAGTGCTCAGATTTACGCTGCTTAGGTTTTGAGGCTTAATTCGTACTGTTCATAGGGGTGAGATTGGGGAAAATAGAAAATCCAAACAATTTCTGCAACTGTTTCTGCAACTGTGTAAAAATGGGTGTCCTCTTGTTACAGATGCAATCACTCAAACCCAAAAGTAAAATCATTGTTCACGCGATAAACGATGTACTTTTCAATTAACTTTTGTAACCAGAAAGATTGACGAATATGTCAACTGTAGCGTTGCATAAGTTGGCATAACTTCGGAGCGCATTTGCTGATGGGCATCGCCATCTTGGAGAATGACATCAATGACGTCTTTTGATACTGAACATTTCGGCTTGGCATTCCTGCCTTTTAAACTAATGACCTGTACTATTTGGTCATTGCTATAAAAAAAGTTCCAGCTTTCACGTAGTACCAAATTCAATGCGTAGATGTTGATAAGGAATTTGGCGGGACAAAAACTGGGTACTTTCTTACGATTTCTCTTCACAAACTGTTAGGTTTCTCTAATACAGAATTTTTGAAACCATCTGAAACCGTCGTAAATTGAAAATGTTGACTTTTTTTGGCAAGAGCTATATTTGAAAAGTTGCAAAAGACCTTTCGTTAATAGGGAAACGACAATAGGGAAACAGAATACGGAAATCGGAAAAATCCAGAGAAACCTCACCCCTGACTTTTACAGGTAAAAATACCTACACAGGAAAAACGTCACGAATTCCAGATTTCAAAAGGGATTCTTTAAAAATCCTGAAATCGGTAAGAATCATGACAAAATCCCGCCCTGTCATAATATTACAGTATAATTGTGGGAATTTGCACAAAACTTTACAACACTGAATTTACCTAAATACAAATGTCTACTGCAACAAAGCTGAACAAGAAGTGAGCATGAGGAGCTCCCAATATTCTGAAGCACTGACTATTGAAATTAAGCGTTTTAGTTCATGAATATATGAAAAAGTGAAAATAAACTATTTGTACCCTGCAGGGAGTGGCTGGCTGTTGATGTCACTGTGCGCTGCCCCGGCTGGTGGGAGTCCAGGGGGAGGAGCAATCGGGGGTGGTGGATTACCAGGGGGTGGGCCACGGACTCCTGCTGCTGGTGGTGGTGGTGCTGTGCTGTTGGTAGCGGTGGCTGGCGATCCCCGCCCTGGAATGGGAAGAGCCCAGAAGAGTGGACAGTGATTTGTTTTATGTTCAAAGTAGGCTGACGTTCCTTGATAAAGGTTGAATGTACATTTGAAAGAAGGACTGACGAGTCTATACTTTTTTTTAATTATAAATAATGGCTCTGTGCATAAACATTAGATGGTGCTGTGTGACTACTTTGTGGGAGGGGCCCACCGCATGTGACGGGCATGTGGGCGGCATAGACTGGTTCCCAGTCCCTCCATTGTCCTTCGGACTTCAAATGTAGGGACCGGTAGCAAGTAATAGATTAGGAATGCATTACTTCCTCCTAATGTATGCAAATTATATGTAAGACTAGCCTAGGTCTGATTCCCACCCCCCTGAATACAAAATCACAACGATAATGTTAGTGCGGAACCGGCCTATTGCAAAATGTTAACAAGGCAACTACCAGTGTGCAGTTTGGGTGGTGATGAGCTTTGATTTTCGCTGAATTTGAAAGTGTCTCTGGCAACTGTCAATCAAGAGAGGGGGCACTACTTTTCAGCATTTGAACCTACGCAGTTGAAATGCTTGTCAGTTTTCTGATAGCCATGTGTTCAACTGTCATCCCCGCGCAAAGCTGTAAACACCATTTTTTTTAAAATAGAACATCCTGCAGCGCATGCGCCAAAGTGATCCAATCGATGGCTTTAAATTGGAATTAGCTATCGGTCCCCATATTATGGGAGGGGAAACCAGTCTTAACAGCGGCAATGCACTCGCACCTCTCAGTGGTTTCCTCTTTGTCTCCGCCTATAGCTTCAGGCTCCATTTTAATCATTTTAGTCCCTGACCTGACAGACTCTAGTGCAATACTGATCCATTTTCCGCTATAGAGACACAAAATCCCGTCACACAAGTCCAACGGTTGGTGTATATCCACTGAGTTTAAATGGGGCAGGACTCTTACGCATCTACAGCTGTAGATGACGCCAAACCAAAAGATGGAGCCAGGGTTTATGATCCAGTACCTACCAGGAGGTGGCTGGGCCGGCCTGCCAGGGGCTCTTGCTGCCGGCGGTGGAGGAGGTGGCCTCCGCCTAACCGCCTGTGTTGCTGCTGCTGCTGCTGTTGCTGGTGAAGCTGCTGACGAGCCAGTTTCTGTGGCTGCAGCTGACGTAGCTGCTGCAGCAGGCTGAGGGGCGGCGCTGTTTGCTGAAGTCCCTGAGATGTTACCTGAGCTGGCAGAGGAAGCCACGGCCACTGCAGCAGCCTGGGATGCGATGTGGCCTGCCGAGGGGCGACCGGCACTCAGCCTCCGGGTGCTGCTGCTGCTGTTTGAGGGGCCGTTTTGAGCAGGTGGGATGTCTCCATTGGGCTGGCTGGGTGGCAGTCCTGAGAACACAGCAAAGAAAAGAGCGACTTCGTGATGACATGATTACCAGAGTTGTTATTGAGTTAGTTCATGAGTCGCTACAAGTCAAAACACAAGTCACCATAAAGTCGATCACAAGTCACCACAAGTCACGACAAGTCAATCACAAGTCACCACATATCAATCAAAAGTCGTCACAAGTCATCACAAGTCACCAATACCAAATGTCATCACAAGTCAATCAAAAACAAGCCAATCGCAAGTCACCACAAGTTATCACAAGTCAATTACAAGTCAATCACAAGTCAATCACAAGTCAATCACAAGTCAATCACAAGTCAATCACAAGTCAATCACAAGTCAATCTCTAGTCAATCACAAGTCATTCCAAGTCACCACAAGTCATCCTATATCAATGACAAGTCAATCATAAGTCAATCCAAAGTCATCACAAGTCTTTACAAGTCTCACGTCAAAGCACCAGCTACTCATACAAAAGGCATTCTTTTGTCAACCCCAAGACACTACTTGTGACCCAATCTGTGTTTCAAAGTGGGATTATCTTATGATTGACTTTCGATTACAACTTCAATGATCGTGACTCGGGAGAGCGACCTGAACGGTCCATGCACACCTGAAGTGCTGGGCCTTACCGTTCTGTATGGGGCTTCCTAGTCGGGCCATCGTGTCGGCGCTGAATTTCAGGCCGTCCAGGACCAGGTGCAGTTTGCCTTTCCTCTGGGAGTTGCTCTTGGCCGTGGGTTGCAGGTCAACGGTGTGCTTCAAGCTGTCAACTGCAAGAGACGGTCAAAAATAAAGATTTAAAGCTATAGTCCATCATTTGCAGCCATCCGAAAAGTAACTGGCGTAATTACTGTTGAAAAACAAACTTGGTTGAAAGATAGTAAGGGAACTAAACTCCCTGTGAAATTATTCTTTCTGGGAAGCTGTCATTTTGAAGTAATTAACGAAAAAAGGCCTTTCCAACGGTGATTCTTAAGAAGCACAGTAGGAAAATTTAAATTAGTAGTTCGTTTTGTTATTCAGCGCAGCGCGCACAAGTATTGGAATGACGCACACGCGCGCGCGGTTGTTATAATTCATCGGATCAGTGCGCGACGCCGCGTATAGCTGCTATTCAAAACAATTCAAAACATGATTCAGTAACTTTTGATTTGAAGTTGAGATCTTAGAATGCTGCTTGTCTTGGAATGTACAGCTGAAGCTTAGCTGAAACTTCATCAGGTTAGTTGCTCAGTATCCTTCATTAGATTTTGAACACTTTTGTTGCTTCAAACTAACAAAATGCACTAATAACAAATGATGGACTATAGCTTTAAAAAATAATTTTAATAATAATTTCATGGATGTTTTTTGACAAGGAGATATAAACAAATGGAGTTTACTTGGGAAACCCACTTTCGGTTTGAACAGCCAGAAACAGTTAAAAATTCAAGCTGGTCTTGACCTCGAGATTCTAACCATTCAGCGGGCGCTTTCTATATCGGGTCTTCGGTTATATACCTGTTATATACACCACATCTATTATTCTTTTACGTTGTAAACTGAGCCAACAAAAGCTGCGGCATACACCAGTGCCTGGCCGTTATTGTATTACAAAAACCGAACTGACCGATCAACCGATCTCAGTGCCTGGCCGTTATTGTATTACAAAAACCGAACTGACCGATTAACCACTCAGTCCAGATTTTGGTATGAAATGACGTCACGATTTAGTAAAGTCAACTCCGATTGGTTGGCGCGCCGGGACACGGAGACACATTGGACCTGAGACAGGGCTTCGTGGACAACGGGTGATACTCAGACTGAGGAAAGGGAGCTTAGAATGAGAAAATTGAACACTGAACACTGAGAACGGGACAAGTCATCGGAGTTACTTACACTGTCCATTATTTTTGGAAAGGAGAGGCAGAAGCTCCAGCTTGGACGAGCCCAGGGCAACGTCGCTCTTGATTGAAAAATGGTTGAATACTTTGAATTCCAGCTTTGTATTGGGCTTCACCAGTCTGTTGGACAAAAAAAAAAAATACGTATTTTGAACCAGCGTTGTGGTTATGTCGACACGGGTGAAAACATTCGTGAGACAAGTTGCAACATCAGACCATCGCACTATTTCGTAAGCCAAACTCGACATACAACATCAGACCCATCGTACTATTTCATAAGCCAAACTTAACATACAACAAACACTGGAAGGATAAGGGCTAATTTTTTCAACACTGCTTCAACATCTCACCACAGATTAAAAGTCAGAGAAGACAAGTGTCCTTGTCCTTTGACACATAATCAACTTTACTCAATGTTCACATGGGTACATATAGATACTCCTCGATATTAATAATAATAATAATAATTTGGGAGGCTAATCATCCTTACTGGCAGCTGGGATGCTGAATTGGGAAGGACGCGGCTACAACGTGGTCAGGCCGCTGGCACGTAAAGGCGCCTATGGCTGCCGGCCACATCGACCCATATATGACCACGGAGCACAGCCTGAGATCGAAAGGGTTTGATTTTTCCGGAGGGGGGAAAACCGGAGAGCCCGGAGAAAAACCCTCGTGGCACAGGAGAGAACCAATGCACAACTCTACTCACATACGTCCCACGGCCGGGATTCGAACCGGGGTCACCTTGGTGAGGGGCGAGCGCTTTACGCACAAGCCACCCATGCCAAGCCACCCATTACTTGAAATTGAATATCATTGATCCATCAGGAAAAGCCACAAATCTTTTAATCCACTGCTTGATCTAAATTTGACCATTGAATAGAAATGAGACATCTATTTAGAGTTTGTTGGATTTACAAAAGCTGTTGGATGGTAGAGTTTAGATTTTTAAACCTAGCAAGAGATTGTGGAGAATTTTGCAGGACTAAACAGTCACAAATAAAATACCAAAGAGAATTTCAGGGCTTACACGGTGAAATGTTCTTCCCAGGATGGGTTCCACGTCTTCTTGACCACCTCTGTCTTACGCGGCGGTTGACCATCCACCGTCATCTCCACGTAGGGGTCCCCTTTGCTGAAGAAACTGTTGGTGGTGTCACGAAGCTCAGCCGAGCGAACTAAAAGTTAAAATACAATGATCATGTGTTAAAGGACACATAAGGACGGTGATAACTATCTATTTATTGAAAAAAAACCTAGCTCAATGTGAAGACAGGGATGGCACCGCCTGAAAATATTCCACCTAAATTTCTGAAATGGTATCACTTACAACAAAGTTGGTTAAAAAAGTATGCCTGCAGACACTCTTTTTAAAAAATTTCACAAGAGGCTGCTGTTAAAAAAAAAATGAAACGGCAACTTTTGAAAATTTGGAAGCCTTATCAATTTCAAACAAGCAATATTTTATTCGTAGGTTTATTGGAATGAATTTGGAGGTTTCGTAACATGTTTTTGTGCTTGTACTTGAAACAATCTGCATAATTTGGTAACCAAAGCTGGAATTTCCTGGAGAATCATGCAGAAGGCTGAATCGTGAATGCCATTTTATCCCTGTGGGTATCCTGTTTGCATAAACACTTACTGAACATGTTAAACCACTACTTGAATTCTCTCTATAGCTCCTCAATTTAACAGACCAAATGCAAAACACTTCAGGCCACGTGAATGTAAAATCCTGTTTTTCATAAGGACTAGTAGGGAAAGGGGTCCTGGTTTTAAGGCCAAAAAAAAATAAGTCGGTCTCTGGGCAGCGCGCGCGTCGATTTTAATCATGCGCGTCGATCTTTTTTTCCCCAAAATGTTCCGCAATAGCTCCAACAGCGCCCTCTATTTCCGCACCTCCTCAATTTTTTTTTACCAAAGAGCACCAAGGAATGGGAAATTGCACCAAGGCAAATGATCGAAAGCACCAAGGCAAATTATGGAGGACACCAATGTACATGAGGACACCAAAAAAGCAAAATAGTACCTACCTTGTCTGTACAATCCAAGCTTGAAGAAAAAAAAAAAAGCAAAAAAAAAAAAAAAAAGCCGCGAATTCCGGAACTTTGGTCTGACCAGAGACTGAATATTTTTGGCCTAACATTCAGTTTCTAGGGTTGCTGCGCAAAGTAAGACAAATTTTGTGGTACGCTGGTTTGAATGGCAATTTCTTGATTTAGAAGAGAAAAGCGGTTACAGCTTTTTACAATGAAAACATATTCATGAAAAAGTAAATGATCATTATGAAAAATACAAGGAAGTCAGCAAGGATTAAAAAACTGGTAATGTTTTTGGTATTGGTTGATAATTTGGTTTTGTTTCAGCATAAAAAAGTAAACATTTGAATAAAAAAAAATACATAACTTTGTAATTTCTGTCAGTCAATGTTGGATTGTCTTTAGAAATATATCTTTGTTCACTTAGATGTTGACATAAATTCCCCAACTAAATTTAAATCGCTTGAATCATGCTGACTCCCCCCCCCCCCTTATCCTTTGCTGATTTTGCAGGTGAAAATCATTACGACACCTTTCCATTTCAATTTAGAGATCAAAGTAAGGCGTCACAAAAATTAAAGGTCCCATGCAATCTAATTTTTTTTAATGTAACCTTTTAAACTACACCTTTGTGTCCCATTTAACCCCTTTTTCAATTTTGCCAAATTGCCATCGTCAAAGGCAATTGGGCGCATTTTTTATTTTTATGCTGATGCCAATTTACATATTCATGAGCAAAAGTGTGATGCCATTTTCAGGCAGAAACCTACATGGTACAGCTATTTCAGCACCCAAAAGTTGCCAGAATTGTGGACATTTTGCTGTCATAAATTTTCTTTTCAACGGTGATTCGTTGTGTCAGTACATGATGACAGTAAGCCAATGAGCAAACTTTTCTCACAAAAGTTTTCAATGAGCAAATTTTGGGTTCACAATTTGAGCACAAAGCTCCTGAACTGAGCAGTGTCCTCCTGAAACGACATCACAGTAACAGCGCCCTCTGTTGTCCGGAAAACATGGAACATTTTGTCAATGTTTAAAGAAGAGCACTTTTGAATAAAATTAACCCAAAAGGGATGTCAAATAGTTTTCATACATTCAAGAGGAGTAGAAAGTCGCAGTCGCACAAAATATGTTCCTAAGAAAAATTCACGACATGCACCCTTTACTCTCAAGAAAACCAAATCTTACTTGTGACGACGAGCTGAGACAGCGTGGGCACTGAGTCAGCCATGTTGAGTGTGCTGCTGGCTTTCCCCTTCAGCAAATGTGATGTCTGGTCTATCTGTAACAGACAAAATGGTACAAGTAAAATACTGCTTTGTCTAGGACATCATTGAAGGGTAGTTTATCCTGGTAACCACAATAAGAAGCTATAACTGAAGTGGCAACATGCCAATGTGCAACTTGTACACACACACACTGAAGACGCATGCACTCAATGTGCACCCTACCAACAGTGCATTTTGCAACTGGACAGAATGTACGTGTTCATTATGCAGCATATAAACTGTATCTTAACTGTGCTTGTTAACAAGCAACGACCCAATTTTCTGAAGAAGAAAAAATCCACGTCTGTGTTTCTATTGAACCGCATCAATAACCACGCACTTCATTCACTTTGACAAATTAGGTTAATTGCTGGTGGTTTTTTTTTTTCAGTCTGAAAATATTGTTCAACCCAGAAACTTGAGAAATGTGAGCTTTAGGCATACACTGGGTCTCCCCTCCCCCCCCCCCCAAAAAAAATACCCTCAAAGGGCCCACTTTTTCACAGCTATTAAATATGTATCGATATTTGTGATGTATATTTTTAAAAGCTGTGAAAAAGAGGGCGCTTTGAGGGTTCAATTTTTTTGGGAAACACTGTACTCATACATGTACTGCCCATGAATGGGAAAGCGATGCAAATTTGCTGTAAAATATGCCGGAATTGAAATGCAACGTTGCATCATAAACACCTGAAGTGCATCACAAACCATGGGTGTCGCCAGGATTTTTTCCGGGGGGGGGGGGGGGGGGGGGGGGGGGCAAAGCAAATTTTCAACAAAATTCCTAAACTTTTTCATTATATTCTCAATTTATCATTTTTCTGAGTGTGAGCAGGGGAGCATTTGCCCTACCCCCCTCCCCCAATCAAATCAACAGCAATATGGCTTCGCACCTCTTTTTCCTCATTTTTTTTGTTTTCCAGGGAGGGGGGGGGCAAGTGCCTCCCCCCTTGCCCCTTCCCCCCTTGCAAAGCCCATGTCACAAACTATGCATTTTTCCTTTTATACGGAGTACAAACCGACATTTACATTGTTACACAGAACAAAAAGCACCCTTCACAATCCCCTTCACTGAATCTTCCAAAATTTCTACTCACCTGTTTTCACCTACAAAGGTGTAACACAGTGTTTACTTGGTGGCAGAGGGGATTGGTTGACCTCTGAATGCTGTTACCGTCCTCAACTAAACAAGAAATGACCGATGGGTACTGAAAGACGAGATATTGCAGCCGCTCACATCCTGGCGAGCACACCTTACACTGGTCAGTCAATCTGTCATGAGACATGATACAGAAAAACTGGTAAATTACAGTACTTAGCCCTCCTGCTATTTAAACAGTCACAGACAATCAAACTTTCGGCGATTCTGTAGTGTAGGGCCCGGTTCCTATAACGGAACAAAATCCACTTTCAAATTATTAGACCGACCAAACTAGTTCGCGACATTCTCAATAAACAGGTAGGTCATAGATAGAGGGCAGGGTTTTTATTTTTGAGGGAAATTTGGGGGTAAAAATGACGATGACAGCGCGGCGACAACACGCAACCCAAAAATAAAGATGGCGATCACCGCGCGATGTACCGTGAGCACGCACGGCGCGCTGAATCGCAAGGCACAAATCCCGCAGGTAATCCTGATTTCTACCCCAAGAAACAAAATTGCAAAACGGGTGTCTTTAGAATTGAAAAAAAATCTGCTTTTAATTGTAAAGGTGAATTTTGAGCAATACAAACATATTTGACTCTAATTTGATCAAAACAAAACAGGGGCCCTACTCTACATGATCGCCAAACTTTCCATCCACTTCTCCTGCTATACTTTTAACACCTAGGCTAGTCACCAGCAGTCAGATCATATGTCAAGCAAGCACTGTGGCTAGTCAAACTCAGTCAACAGACCATGAACAGACAAAGCAGGCAAGTTGTTGTAACAGCTGGCTTATCAATCACCTGCAGTCAATCACGTGTTATTTATCACAAATCGCTATAAATTGTAAGTACATGCATGGTGTTGCACATGAAAGGGGAACTCCCAAACTACACGCCAATGTGACTATAGAGGTCGCTGTTCATATAATTATGGGTCTGTGTAAAACAATGTGGATTTCATGCAAGACTTTCATGCAAGATGGCCAGAGCTTATTGTGCACTCGCACTTTTTTTTTAATTAAGTGTACGGTGCAGCATTTGTTTGTATTTTCAGCAATCTAATAATATGTTTGGTAACATTTTGTGACGTGGCAAAAAGGGCCAACCACAGATTGGCAATGAAAGGTCTATTCAAGATATTTTAATGACTCAGTGCACATACATGAACCACTGAGCGAGGAAACAGCTCTTTGCATGCACATACATGTACATGTACATGAATGCATTTGCTGTAAACATGTACCAGTATACAATGTACATGTACATGTACCTGTATAGTGGCAATCCCATTTTGTTATTTTTTATCAATCCTGTTCATGTAATCTTATCACAATCTCATAATCTGCCGCTAATCCCTGGTCCAGCACTGTAACTGTTAACTGTTAAAACTACAGACCTTCGTGGCCTGATAGTGTGGTGTTGAAGAGCATTATGTATTCACGAGTGGGTTTCAATGGAGGTGGGGCAGGGTTATTTATTATGTTCTGTACATTGGGTGAACTTAAATATAACATGTACTTCCCTGTTTTGAAGCGAACTTTACACTCACATACAATGTGTACATGTTTTGTTTAAATGTATACAAAGTGTTTAAATGTATACAAAGTGGCCAGAATTTGGGGCACAGCATCCCATAGGCCATACACTGTGGGCTCAACAAAAAGCTATCGCAATAATTACAATGACAAAGCCATCCCTCTCTGGCTGACAAATTTCGCTATGCCATCACAACAGTCAAAATCAATCAAGTGACTATTTTTTAACACAATTTTCTTCTTAACTCTCCTATTGTTTGATCGGTCACAGACAGTCAAACATTTCTTCCACTTCCCCTGCCATGCATTTGTATACAGACCAGTGAAAACAGTCAGATAACATTCATGTAAATACTGTGACTAGTCGAATGCCATCAACAGACAAAAGAGGTCACTGGTACATGTAGGTGCAGCTGGCTGCTGGCATATCAGTCAAAGCATGGCCAATTGTATCAACTTAGCTAATAAAGTACGTTGTACATGAAGTGCATTCATGTTAACGTGTACCATAAATATGCTTGTCTTTTATGCAGGTAGTCAAGGTAACAAGGCTTTCAATTTTACTGTAAAAGTCAAATACTGTACACATGTGTATACAGTACAGTGTATGCAATACATGATTAACAACCTTCAAGGTGTAATTACACAGGAGTTTCAAAACAGTGGCTTCTTTTTCAGCTTTGATTTTTCGAAAAAAGATTTTCATCCCTTGGCGAGGGACTTGGGCTCATGTTGGACATGTACCACATGCACATGTGTACATGTGCTGGTGGTTAAGCACAGTCAATTGTAAAACGGACCCCATTTATATGTAAAACCCCTGGCTTGGTGCGTTTAGAGTATGTCCTGTTCTTTAACATGTTCATGGCTGTGACACAGGAGTGCGTGAAGTCATAGTTGTGTGTGTCGAACAATTTATGGGGTGCATCGTATTTCCTCAATCTATAGGTGCATTATGATCTATTAAAGGTGGGTCAAAATTGTTGCTAAATAGCGTTCAAAAAGTATACATTTGTCACTGAGTACTCTTCCCCATGGGGTGTAGAGGTACCACCAAGACCAACTGTTGGACAATGACAAGTCATTCCCGGGTCATGGGGTGCATCATGCAATTGTGCATTACTCAATGACCTGAAAAGGGCCTAAGTTTAACGTTTGTCCTTTGAATGTTGGAAATTTAAAGGTTCTACCATAGAAATAGCTCCATGGTTCTACCTGATTCTTGAGAGAGATGAAGCCGAAGACAGAGCTGTTGCCAAGAATTAAAAAAAAAAAAAAAACAGTATCAAGTGGTGAACAGTCAAGACAGTACAGGAACCTTACCCTATTGAAGTAAAACACGGGTAACCAGGTACCCGTAATGTAGAAATCCATCCCCAAAATTCAAATCCCGGAAGTTGTCTGAAGGGCTTTATAGCTTTACGGTGTAAACGTCATCTTTCGCGAACGTCATCTGTCGCGCGTTAAATGCACAAGTACATGTAAATGTAAAATCTGTTTTGGTTTTCAATGTAGCCTCTTTTTCATTTTGAAAATTCCCCACATCAAAAAAATGGCCTTTAAAACATTTCTTGTTCATTGTCTTGAGAAGTTACCCCGGTACTAAGGATTTTGTTAAGTTGGTTACGGTTACCCGATCTCATAATCTGGAACCGGTTCCCTACATCAGCGGTCGTGCGGTTGGGTACTCGGGTACCGGTCCAATGTACACCCCTAGATACCGTCCGTATTGTCAAAGATACAATTTATTTATATCAACGTGTCACATGTTCCTACCACTAGTCAACACTCCTGTACCTGTATGTATCACTAGGTTACATGGCGGAGTCGTTCAAAGGTTAGGGCTTTGATGTTTGCACAGGGTAGCGATAAGGGATCAAGTGATGGGCTTACGTCATCATTGTCTTTATGAAATCATGATCACACAGCTTGAATTGTGGTCACACGGATGTGTGCGCGCCCATGATTCACTTGACTGTTATGAGTGTTAAGGCCAAAAAAAATATATAGTTCTGCTTCCAGTTTAATACCCGGTCTACCCTATTTTGACAACCCCTACACTAATTTATGGGGGGAAAAATGAAGAGAAAAAAACGAAAACCATCAATTACTACCTTTTACCCTTGACTACATGCAGACACCTCAATATGATCGTACACAAAAAAATTGCCCCCAAAAAAATTTCCCTACCTACCTACCCTATTTGAAATGCCGTGTAATCGGAAGCAGAATTATTATTTTTTTGGGCCTAATCAATATCATTTCTATAAAAGACTCAAATTCATCAAAATTAATTACTGTCCCATCCTTTATATCCACCAGACAGAAATGACATATTGATTTATTGTTTTATTTTTTTCTGTGACAACTGGCAAAAATATACCTTGGGCAAGTTCGCGCAAGAACTATTGTTGACCATTGGTTAACCATAGTTCGACTAAAGTTAGCCCAAACTCTGTCTAGTCGACGGTGGTTGACTACGCTAGTCAACTATTTGGAACCAACCTACTGGGGCTGGTTGCATCGCTGGTAAGCAATAGCCGCGCGCATTCATAACGTACAGCAGGGAGCCAGGGTCCAGAAGTTTTGCGATGACATTTTGACCAGCGTTTGATCTACAGACGTTCGCACGTTGCTATCAGTGCGCAGGCGTAAGGTACGTCACATATCAACCACTAGTCGACTAATGGTCCTTGCCCGAACTTGGCCCTGGCTGAAGCAATTCAGTATTTTAAATCTCCGTACAGGTATTATCAATAAGTATATTATAAATGATACTAAATGTGGAGGCATAATCACGCTGGACGAGTCTTTATGAAAATTAAACAAACTATGAGCAATAATCAGGTATGCAACTGGGAAGTCACAAAAAAAGAGGAACTTCAAATCTTTCCAAGACTTTGTACAGTGTTTTTCTATTTTCAATGGCACACATTGGAAGTGAAAAAAGAGGAAATCAGCTGATCCGAGGAAAAGTTGCATGCCTGAATAATAAGATCATACATGTATGTGCACCACAAGCTTACTACACATCAGCAAAACAGGTGTACATATTACACGTAAATTGCACAATACCCTGACTTTGGATGGCCTTTTCATAATCTTTACGATTGGTTGAAGTTTCACAAAAGACGTCCCGGAAGAGCACGCAGAAAAATAGTGTGTATTTATATGAGATTTATTCTATCAAGTCACAGCACTGCTATGACTATGAGACACAAAATTTGTTGCTTATGTACATGCAATGTTGTGTAAGAGAAGGGGTTTGCCCTGGTGTTTCTGGCAGTGGCTGCAATATGCGCCACAGCACCTTGTAAACCCTTATATAAGGTGCTACATGTACATAATGGATCTCATATATTTCTCATAAACTTCATTTACCTGTCTTTAATAATAGACATAATTACCAGGGCCTTGAGTACCTAATTGTTGGTAGATACGTGCGCTATATAAGACTCCGGTATTATGTACATGTAACACAAATAGGGTTGTGCCAAATATTTCTGATCCATTCAAATTCCACATGGAAGTTGCGACTTTTGCAGGACTAAAGGCAGTATTTGTACAGCTCAATGGTGCTTTATTCCTTTGTACAATAGATGTGCTAGGTTTCTTGCAAAGCGAAGCATTTTGTAGGATTAAGCATGGGTTCCACAAAAAACTGCTGAGGGAGTGAGTTGGGATTTTCAGAACATGGTGTTCCACTGTTCTGTTCTTTGGCAGCATGTTCCGAGACTGTCACAGCAAACTACAGTTACTCACTAAAATTCCTATTCAGACGGCATCATTCCAACATTACAAGAAAAAAAAATCACTATTACTGATGAAAGATTGGGATTCATATTGAAATCAATACATGTTCTGATTAAAAACGCAAATCAGATAAATACTGATATGAAAAACAATAGTCAACCCTAACCCTCCTCAATCCTACAAAATCTTCCTGGCGGTTTTGGAGGATTTAGGATGAATGGTGTTCGAGAAACACAAGGATTTTGGAGGATTGAGGATGAATGGTGTTGAAGCACATGAGGATTTTGGAGGATTGAGGATGAATGCAATTTGAGAGGCAGGACTGAAGGATTGAGGCGCTGGGTATCCTTCATTTGAACATAAGTGCAAAATTTTGGAGGACTTTGGAGGATTGAGGATGGTTCCTAGCAAAATCGGCCTAGGGTGTTAGCATGAACCATATCTACATCCTGTTTTTCAATTCACAGAAGAGTCGGAAGCCCACTTTCCAAATCCTTGACAAATGACCTCACGCCACAAAAAAAGCCACAAAGTACAAATGTGTGTGGTGTCCAATACACGCCCCTTCATGACTGCGTACATGGCCACAGTACATGCATACATGTGCATGACCATGTACATGTACATGTACATGACCATGCACATTTACGTGACCATGTACATGTACATGACCGGAAGCCTTTGGTTCAGCCCACACAAACCCCTGAATCTTCACATAACTGTCCACCACAACTTCAACAGGTAAACAAACAGTCCAGTGACGTATACATGTACATGTACACCCATGATGATGACTAATATGCCATTATTATACAAGTTTCCCTTCGGGTCTCAATGTCAATGGCGGGCCACACTGAACCTGCATTGTAAACCAACTGCTGCATACAGTACACTGACGTGTACATGTACATGGACAAAGATCAGAATGCATTATTTCGGAACTAAGGGCAAAAACTTAGAAGTTACAGTAGGCGATTCCCTCCCTCTTACATTTTACTAACTTACAAATAAAATCATGTGAATGAATAAAAACTTAATTTATTGTAATTTAATGTAATATTTTAATTTCTTTACATTTATTGATTTAATAGCTCTACTATGTATTATTTGTGTTACATTTTTTGTCTTGATAGCTTTTCGTACGCCTTGAAAGACTTCTATACGCCTGAAAATATTTTTTTAAAATTAGAAGGGAAAAAAAAGTTAAAAAAAGAAAAAAAAAGTAAACAACTATTGGTAAACATTTCTTCCACTCAAGATTTATAAAAACAAATTCTTGATTTCTGGTATTCCTATTTGAGTTGTACAGTTTTACCCATGAGACAAAAATCCACTCTGTCAAGGTCATGCACCCCTCCTCCCCCCCCCCCCCCCTTCTTAGCTTCACATGCAAATCATGATAAATGAATCCAATGCAGCCAGCCTGCCTGTACCTGCGGGATAATCCCATGTGTTCGAATCATGCCCTGTTGTACTGTTTGCATGTTGTTGGGTGCATGTACATGTACATTGTGCAATGCCACTATTGTCACCCACTGTCCACTATATTGTACACAGTCAGGTCGGTACCCTTTCATTCAAATAACTGCAGACTATGCACGCGCATCTCCGGGTAACACGTATAACAATCAATATGAAGCTAAGACACTATTCTTAGAAGCAAGAATTGGTGATTTGTTTTCTCAAGGTCACTGCCCAATTTATTTTCTTGCACAAAAATGCTAGGTTTGTGGGTCAGTTACATATTGTAGGTGTTTCAAGGATTTTTCTATAACTCTGAGACTCTCTTCATACTCGGGGACAATCTTTAAGTGCACATTCCGACTCCCAATGAACCATGGATGTTAAAGTACACCCATGCAAATGTAGGCAATTTGATGTTGCACTCTTTGAATCTACCACACGGCTCAAATTTCAGGAATTCAGGAACTAAAGTACTAAACTGTGAATTTGGAGTTAGAGATGCACAATATTTATTGATCATTATTATTTTTATTATCAATTATGCAGGGTTTTTTCTATTCATCTGAAATTGATTTTGATTTAATTCAGATGAAATCAACAACAGCATACACTACACATAACACGGAGCAGTTGATTTTGTCTCTTGACAGTTGACACAATTATTTTGTTACAGTCACCTAATACCAGGATTGGCGATTTAAAAAAAAATTATATCAGATTTTTTTTAAAAGTAAATGAGACATTGTTATTTAAATCAGATTTTTTTTTTTACTTTCAAAATATTGATATGTCAAATAATTTGTCTCAATCTTCTCATGCACCCTTACACCCATCAACAAGGAATTTTCAGGTTCCTATAATACTCTTCTTCCACAAAACTCAATTCAGAATTCGGAAATTTCCAGACAAAAATTCCCAATTAACACTGATACATGTAAATGAAGGACCATCATAGATTGATTTCAAACAGTGATTTACAGATGTAAATCAATGTGAGTAAAATCAGCCAACCCTGACTAATATATGTTTCCTAGTTCCGGATTTTTCCTAGTTCCGGATTTTTCCTAGTTCCGGATCGGTTCAAATGAAAACCCACCTCTTTTGGATTGGTCTCCAATACTACATTTTCTGAAGAAGTGCGTTTTGAAAAGTAAAATGTAAGCTTCTTGATACAAAAATATCTGACTCGCACTTTGACAAATTTTCTCCTTGGTACGTGTGATTTCGAATATTTGTTTGCATTCTACAGTCGCATTAACTCTTGCATTGAATGTTTGTTGAATTAATATAACTTGAAGAATCTCCAATGTTTGAAAATTTGCCAACAACTGAATGTATACTGCCTAGTCCTGGTCTGCGCGTGTACGTACGGACCCAACTACACGCACATAATCAATTTTACGTGACATGTTCTGTGATGGGTCAAAGGTTTTACCGGTCCGTGCATGTTTTATAAGCTGTCACACGGCAGAGGAAAGTTTCAAATACATTTAGGCAAGTTCTCTGTTTTGAAATTTACTGAAATTCTCTTTTAAAATAAACTGAATTTCTAAAAGCTAAATACTACTTTATCAGAAAATCTGCTTGATTTGGGTAGCTAGGGGGAAACCCAGCTCCAAGGCTCATGACATGGGAAATTTGACATAGGAAATTTGCCATGGGAAGTTCGTGTCATAAGCTTTAGAGCTGGGTTTTCCAAGCTACATGTTGATTCGGGTGTTCTGGCTGAAACTGATTTTCTTGCGTGTTAATTTTTACGTAGTGGCTATAGTTACGACAGCCGTAATGCAATTTTCAAATGTTATCGTTACGGCATTGTAAAAACACAATGCGAACGTATCAGATTTACAACTGCCCATCAAACCAGGGCGCTTCGGTAGCTCGATTGGTACAGACTCATTGAGCTGGGGCCCTTGGTCCAAACCCCTGCCGCACTACTCAATTTTTTTCTTATTTTTTTTTCACAGATTTCTGAAGTTTCAGGCTGTTAACCAAATTGTCCTGTTTATTTAAGTAGATTTCATTTTCTTCTTTGAAATCAGTGGCTTTGGAGGATTATCTTTAAAAGGGAAATAAAGTCCGAGAACCATTTGGTTGATAGTCTGGTTCCAACAGCCGAAGACAGTGACATTGAATACTATTACGTCAGGGAATCAGACGTAACGACAACAGTTGGAAGTTGCGTTACAGCTGCTGTAACGATAGCCATGGCATTTTTTTTATGGGCGAAGCAGTTTTTTAACCCAATCCTGAACTGTTTAATTAAAGTACAGATCCGGAAGTAGGAAAAGTGGCATCAGCACTTTTGATGTCAAATATATTCAAAATTAGAAGAGCTAAAATTTGGAAAATAATTGTGAAGTATCTCCATCACTCAACATGTTCAAGGTAAATTTTTAAGTTGAATTTGTGGATTAGGCGAGCAGAATGCAGACTGAATAATGTTTGCAATCTGGAACTAGAATAACGACTGTACGCGATCTTTGCTTTCAGTGAATTTCAGTCGTCTGTTGTCATCAAGAATTCTTGTGACAAATTTGTCATTCAATTTTTAGGACAATATTATTGTCAATGTTGAGTGAATGACTTGACTGTTATAAGTATACAACCAACGGAAAGATTTCCATATCTGGACATCACTTGACACCCTGTGCACAAACCCTATATGAGACTGGTCTGAACATTTTTAAGTGTTTTCTAACTTAGTAAATACTTTAATATTTTCCCTGTTAAACTTTTTAGGACATGTTATCGCTTTCTGATCAACCTGATAAAGATAGCTGATAGGTCACTGCAGGGAAACATTTGTGATGTCCATGTATGGAATTCCCCCCAACCAACAATCATGCCACGGCGATGTAGGGGCCTAAGTCTAATTTTCATTTCATTTCCATTTCATTTATTTATTATGTGGGAAAACAAAAATCATATGGAGTTTACAAACAGCAAATCACATATTTGTGTCACATAATCATATAAAATATAGAACACTCAAAAACAGTCATGACAGTTGCTAATAATAGCTTAGAAAACCCAGCTCCAAGGGAGTAAGGCTCATGACATGGGAATTTCGCCATATCACGTCATGTATTGTTACCATGATTTGTATGTCATCATGCCTTTTCATGGTGAGTAACACCAGTTTTGCCTAGGCGGCTAGGCCTATGTATGTCACTGTGCTGCCTGCTGGGTTTACAAGCTAGCTATTTGAACTGTACTCTGATCTTGACCACAATATCCCGTAAAATCCACACTCTGATTGAGTTTTATAATGTAGATTTCACTTACCGTTTCTGCTTCTTTCCAGTGTCAACACACGTCAAAGGTTTTTTAAGTTAAAAATATGTAAATTCCCCTGTTCGATGGCAGCACGTACTTTACTAATGAGAGTGTACAAACTGTATTTTTACATGGTGGCCAACCCCGTGATGTCACGTGATCACCGAGCCAACCGGTGACGTCGCCGCACCTGTACCGTCATAGGTGGCGCTATTCGTCTTTAGTGGTCATGCCTATTTCTGGCCGCATGGTCCCACCCAAACAATATTTGGTCCCTCCCTATTCGCAAGATAATTTTGTAGCAATGGCATCAAATATTCTTCAGATTTTATTGTTTTATCGGGTTTTTAATCCATCCAATTTATCGCTGCAGTGCCATTTCGTCCAAAAGAAAATCCAGAAATATTAAAAGATAATGACTTTTCATCAGAATGAAAGTTGCATCGGGGCGATGTAAATCAATATTAGTTTTGCCCTTCACCGAAAGTGTTACCTCCCGAGGAAAGTCGGGGAAAAAAATCACTCGGGTGGGACTCGAACCCACGACCTCCTGCTTACGGTGCAGACGTCTTACCACTGGATCACCGAGCTTGTGGGCTCGATTGGCTGGTTCGAATCTAATGTACATGTAGCAGCGGGTACCGCAATGAAACTATTCATAAGATGGAATCTGCGTCGGAATGACTGGTTCTTTACCAACAATGTTTAGTGGATTGTTGAGTTTGTTAAGGTCCATTTTATTGGGCTGAATATTTTGCGCAAATACGGTGCTGCTTACATCTACCTCAGCTTACTGGCCGATCCAGAATTTTCAAAGGGGGTGGTAAAACTTTTACAGGGAGAGGGTGGATGATTTCAACACATAAAAACACCAAAGGTTTGAAGCAGTCAATCAAGATTTGTAATAATAAATAATCACATTCACTTCGACGAACTTGAAGGAATTTTGGTGTTTTTTTTAATGAAGTAAATGATTAACTTGGTTTTAGCTCTAACCCACCTCAAGGCTCAAACCTCCAAAACCCTCATGGCGGTTTTGGAGGATTTTCAGTGGAGTATTGAGGATGAATGGTGTTTGAGAAAAATGAGGATTTTAGAGGATTAAGCGGAGGATCTAGATGAATGGTGTTGAAGCATGCGAGGATTTTGTAGGACTGAGGATGAATGGCGTTTGAAAAGGAGGATTTTGGAGGATTGAGGATGAATGCATTTTGTTGAGGCAGGACTGTCTGACGATTTTGAAGGATTGAGGCGCTGGGTATCCTTCATTTGAACACAAATGCACAATTTTGGAGGATTGAGGATGGTTCCTAGCAAAAAGGGCCTAGGGAGTTAGGGTTCTTTCAATTTAAAGGTCACATTGAGAAGCCGACAGATTTAACTACATATGGTCAGAGATCAGGAATACACATTAAAACACCAATCAAAAACAAGAAAACATGTGTGATTTGAAAGAACAAAGACAAATTTATTGATTTATTATCAGCCAGTTGATACAAACACATAAACTAAAGTCCCCAGATTCACAAATGCAGAAAGCTTGACATTTGGCAATGCATTGCCTTTTAACTGCATTGTCCTGTTTATGGGATGTTTCACAGGATTTTGTGGTTTCTCCATCTCCCTATAGCTCTCCACAAGATCTAGCTACCTTTTCATTTTGTTTCCACCTTCCTGTGAATTTCTAAAAATTCTCTCTACTGGAAATTGGGTTTTCAAAGATCAAATACAAAATACCATCCTGCATATTTATTTTACCATCCAAACCTCTGAACTGTGACTGAAGGAGGCACTACAAAAACTTAGCTATCAAATGCTTTCCCATAAAGAGTCCTTTTTGTATACATTTTTTTTGAAAAAGTTGAACAAAGAAATTGACTGGAGTCGGGTTTGAGCCTGTGACCTCCAGATTGCCGTTCCGGTGCTCTACCAACTGAGCTATCCAGCCCTATGTTGGTGGCTCCCCATTTTGTCACCGTCTTTGTTCAAGGGTTGCTAGTCAGAAGCCATAAACCCGTATATGCCATGTAGCCAGGGATCACGCGCCCAAAGTCACGATGCAGACCTGGCAAATAGCAAATGGCGATCACTCAGAGAGGATACGGCTTTTTATTACAAATTCTCAAATGAACCACAAAGGGAAACAGACTAATACGTGAATTATAACAATTTGTGAAAAGTTGAACAAAGAAATTGACTGGAGCGGGGTTTGAACCTGCGACCTCAATACATGTATATGTATACATTTTACATTTAGCCGTTCAAGTTACTCCGTGGTATCAACAAATCTTCCTCCTTTTTTTCATACAAAGGGTTTCCTGAAAGAAAAAGGGTTTCCCAAAAAAATGCAAAGAATTTCCTTAAAAAATGGACCTAATTAAGCGAACATGACACAACACTACCAGAGTATAGACACTTTCCATTCAGCAGCCCCCTTTGAGGTGTTTCCCAAAAGGAAAAGGGTTTCCCAAAGGGAAAAGGGTTTCCCAAAAGGAAAAGGGTTTCCCAAAAGGAAAAGAGTTTCCCAAAGGGAAAAGGCTTTCCCAATAGGAAAAGGCTTTCTCAATTCAGAGGACATCTTTGAGGTGTTTTTGTGTCATTTGAAACAGTAACAATCAATATTCAAGAGGGCTACTCATGGGTATCGCTGTGGGACAAAAGCGCACAACTCAACGACGGCTGTAATACAAAGGCTTGATGTTTCATATAAAGTCCACTAAAAAAAATGAGAACGTTTCTTGGGATGTTGCTGATGAGATATACTACTGCATCTATTTGGCTTTCTTCTCATCTTGATACTGGTAATGTAGGAGCTTTGTGTCCGTCTGTGATATGAACTCCCAGCCAGTCTCCTTCATGTGGTAAACTGTTGAACAAAACAAAAAACCACACAAACAATATTCACTGTGTTATCAGTTTTGTGTTCACATCTTATAGGTATGAGCAAGTGCAGCGGTAAGCGCTAGATGTATCCTGGGGCAGATTTCACGAAACTCAAGACTTAAGACGAGTCCCCGCTCCAAGATCGATAAATCTTTATAAGATGCATTCTAAGATCTATTTCACAAAACCCATCTTGAGCAAGTCGCATCAAAACCACTGATTCGATGGCTGTTTTATGTTTGTTTTACCACTTGACGACACAGTCGTTAAAAGAAACCCACAAAACCAATTTCCACGCGCACGCGCATAGAAAACGAACTTTATCCAGAAAAAAATTACTCTACTCAATAATTTCACACGATTATCCAAATTAACACACGCATTATTGAGATCAGACAACCCTCAGACCGATATTAAGTAAAGACGAGTTCAGCCACGTTGCTAAGGAAGTTAGGACGTGTTGAACGCCTCTTAAGTTTGGTGAAATCGATACTAGGACGAGCCGCAAGTTAAGATGAGTCACCCTTCCTAAGACGCGTCTTAAAGTTTTGTGAAATCAGCCCCAGGGACGCGATCACTGTACGCTTACGAGGCCCCCTTCAATGGAGAAACCATTGTGCATGCTATTGTACAAAGCGACTGCCCCGTGACGGATTATCTGAACATTAGCTAGCAAAATGCTTTTGCCACTGATGAGGGTGGCCTTTAAGATAGAATTGAAAGCTTGACCGGATTGGTCTCTAGGTTCGTAATGTTGACAGGGACTCACGGTTAACCACGCCTCCACTGTAGGCATCCCGGTGCGTGGCGTGGTAGATGGCCCTCTGACCCAGGTCGTAGGCTTCCTTCACCGTCAGGTCATCGCGATGTCCGCTGTCCAGCACACCGTAGGCGTAGGGTGAACCGGATCCCACGGAGAAGATGTTATGGGTGAGCCTGCTGCCATCGCTGTCCACGTAGTACAAACCGGGACCCTGCGTGCAAGGAGTGGAACCAGTGCATTGCTGACATTAGTGATTAACCCTCAGCTGTTTAAAAGGTCACAAACAGTCAAAGTTTCCTTCCACTTCCTCTGGTGTATATTTAACACACCAATGGGTCGCTTGACCAATATTGACCCAAGTAACAGCATGGCTCAGAATGCATGGCTCAATAAGTGACTGCCACTGCGTAGCTGATTGTGAAAGTAGTGCTGCCTCGCACGGCTGGTTTGATTATTCAATTTACTCTCACTAACGTCTTTTGGAATCCTTCAGGGACAGGGCGTGGCCGTTATGCAAATTAGACTTTGGTAATGTGTCCATGATATGTCAGTTTGTTGTGTGACCGACAAATTAATCCCAACCGTCCCAGATCCACTGAAGTTTTCTCAGGGCCTTTTGGAGTATTTTGCAGAATTGAGGAAGGTATGTGGAGTCTAGCCGTTATAACATTACTTCAGGCGTGATGCCCTTGAAAGTTTAAGTAAAAAAAAGTGTCGACTTAGGCCAAAAAAAAAAGGCTCCGGTTTCTGGTATGGCGCTTGCCCAAAAAGTGGTGCGGCGATGCGGCTTTTTTTGTTTTGTTACCTGACTTTTTTGCTTCAAATGTCGGCTGATGACTGCAAATGGTGCCCGACTAAACTTAGTGCAAATATATGGGAGTCCAGAGAGGCCACATAAAGCTTATTCTCGACCATAACCCAATCTAAAAACACGTTAAAATTGTGCAGCAGCAGGAATCCAGTCAAACCAGTGAGTTTGGCGGTTTTGAGACATCATCTTACATTGAAAAAAAAACTTTTTCATTTTGTCGACGCGCATGGCTACGGCGACGCGCGCGCATACCAGAAACCGGAGACTTTTTTTTTTGGCCTTAGGTTTTGAACAAGGAGGATTTTAAAAGGTTCACGAGGGTTCCAAGCCAAAAAAAGTGTAGTAAATAAGAGATAAATGTAACATAGAAATATTGACTGGCTGTAATTTCAACATGATGCATAATACTTATAAATTAATGAGACTCTTACCGTTTTGTCCCAGCCACATATCATTGTTCCCTGGAGAAAGGAACCAAAACGAAAAAACAAAAATGTTTTATGAATCAAAACAGGACTTAATCAAAACCAATATGTTGCACATAAACACTCTTTAAAGGGAATATACAACATTTGTTTTTGCTGTAACTTTCAGCAATGGATGGATTTAGGGGGTAAGTATTTTATAGCAAATAGTTACACTAACCTGTTTAAAGTTTTGTGTTCTTGTAGTCTAATTTATAGACGTCGGGGAATTGTAAGGTCAGGGAACCAGTCTAGCTCGCTTGTACCCCTTCACAGATGTGTAACCGATTGCAAACAAAATGTGGACTAACTAAATTTGATACATTGGGGGCAGTATTTAAAAAAAAAAAAAATGATGGTCAGCCGACCAACGTTGGAAATTGATACAAAGATTCCACTTTTTCTCGAAAATGTCAGCACACCAGGTGCCATGATTTTACAGGGTGCTTTTTAGACTGTCGTTCCCTAACAGTCCAGTAAGGCATTTCATAATAATTTGGCAGTTTTGTTTTTTGATGTTTGCAAAGGTTGTATATTGCCTTTAAACCAAAAGCATTTGTACCACATGGTATAAACTTTGTATCTATTGAAGAATCCATAAAATCGTTTGAGTGCTCGGGCGCTTTTGGGCGCTTTTGTGTGCTTTTGTGTGGTACAGTGAGTATAGTACTATACAGTGCCATCCACATGTACTTAGTATTCACTTTTTTTCGGCGGGTCGTAATAAATGATCCTATAGGCAATCAACACTTGTCTTACAGTTGCCGTTGTTGCTGCAGACAAATAAGTAATAGAATGTTAAGTGTTGTGTCTTACCACAGACAGTCCCATTCCCTTGTAGTTGTACAGGATGTTGGCCAGTAGCTTGGAGGCTGCTGCTACCGATATCCTCTCCTTATTCCGCAGTTCATAAATTCTGACCAAAACAAATGCAAATATGATCACAAACTTCATTCAGAAATTGTCTCTGAAGGGGGCGAAGTCAAGATTCCGAGGCGTAACCAAATTTATGCTAAAACTTGACTTTTGAACGCTTTTGAACTAGATACGTTTCCATATCTTGCTTCACAAATTTTAATACAAAACAAACTTATAACTAATTGATTTGAGAAATTGACTCACCTGCAGCGTTCCGCCAGGACACGCTCCCAGAACATGCAGTCTGCGGCACCCCCGGCCATGGTGCCCAATAAATAGGGGTTGATCTCGATGACTTTCTTGACAGTCTGCGAGGCTGTAAAATAAAGAACGGATGAAATTGTGATCCATTTTGTTGAAACTTCTCCTGCATCTTCCAAATTCTACACACTCCAGGAAACAAATGACATCTTCACATTCTTTCAATAGGCATTAACCCTCAACCTCCTCAATCCTCCAAAATCCTCCAGGCAGTTTTGGAGGACTAAGGCTGAATCACAAAAAAGTGTTGGTTGATTTTGGAGGATGCATTGAGTCGAGTTCGTAGGCTCTACCCAGCACTGTTTATGTTCAGCCCTGCAAAATTGAGCCCTGAAGGAAAAGTTGAAGGATTGAGGCAATGGTCACCCCTCCACTGAACAAATTCAAGGAATAACGGATGATTTTGGAGGATTGAGGCTGAGTCAATGTTTACATTGTGGCAGTTGGAGGATTTTGCTGGATTGAGGATGGTTTCTAGCCAAAAGAGCCTAAGGGCCGTTAGGATTAAGATTCAAGTCAAGTAATAGTGGCTGGGTTCTACCTTTCCCAACCCTACAAAATCATCTAAAACCTCCTACATGTATACACACATTTTCTTCGCACTTGTAAGCAGTTCAATGAAATTTTATCAAGATCTGATAACCAATGTCCTGCTAAGTGATTTTGTTCTCTGCAGCTTAGTGGGTCAGTGAGCTTACCGATATAGTTGCCCGCAGTGGCCCTTGAGTCGACCGCTATAATGACCCCGTGCTGGAACTTAAAACCTAAGGTGGTGGTTCCGTGGAGAAACTCAATATTTGGAGATGAGCCATCGCCTCCGGAGAAGTTTTTCAGGAATTCTGCAGGCTGCGAATGATAGTAGTGGAAATAGTAATGGAGATGTATTGAGAAATTCTTTTTTGAAACTTGTTTAAAGAATTTTAATTTGTTTAGCTTTCTTTTTCAAAGATTTCAACTGATTTATGGCTCCCAAAAATTGGAATGTGCAGACCGCATTAATTTACTAAAGGCCAAAAAAATTAGTTCTGCTTCTGGATAGCATTCCAAAATAGGGTAGGTATGTCGGGAATATTTTTTTTGAAATTTTTTTTTGGGGGGGGGGGGGGTCTACGATCATTATGGAGGCATCTGTGTGTAGTCTGGGTGGTTTTTTCCCTTCATTTTTCCCATAAAAAGATAGGGGTACATAGGGTCTGTCAGAATAGGGTAGGTAGAGAAACCGGAAGCAGAACTCTCTTTTTTTTGGCATCATTAAAAAAAAATTAATTTTTTTAGAGGTTTCGGATTTGAAAAAAAAAGAGATCGACTGATTATTCAGACCGTTCCAAGCGAGATCTGACATGTGACAAGTGGATTTTCAAAAACGTCTGCTCGATGCTAAGAATGGGCACCTGTTTTTTTTTATAAAAAATTACTAGTTTTGAATATTATGAAGATTATTTCTTTTCTCTTTGTGATTTTTATGTGACAAGAAACAGTTTTAGGTTCATATCACGTTTAGAGCAATCTGTAAAAAAATAAATTACAATATACTAAAGAAAGTTAATCATTATGTTTTTGGCGAGAGCAATTTCGTCATAGACCATGTAGACTTGAAAACACTGGCCTGCAGGCCATTGTTCGAAGCATGCTCGTCGAAAACGATGTTCGTCGGAAAACCACAGGACATACAAAAATGTAATAAAGTGATAGAAGCATGCATAGTTTGGGTTAAAAATAATATTTAAAGTTATAAAAACTAAGTCCCGTATACAACTGAAGCCTAATGCCGTGTGAAAAACGGCAAAGGTTTTTAACTTTACTGCGCCGCGGTGGCAAAAACGATGTCACCGTGCGGGCACGGATGTCGGACAGCCATGTGACCGGCGAATTGGCGCACGTGCACATGCACGCCCGGCAAAACACGCATGGCCACATTGACCGGCCAGTGCGTGCACGGTGCACGGGCCCGGCAAAAGTTCCTCATCTTTCCATTTTACAGAGTTCCAAGTTTTCATTGGATCATGTGGATGATTAATGGCTGGCATAATGGGAGGGAGTCGGAAGAGGCTTCTTGTTTTGTTTGATTTTTGACGTATTTTACACAAAGAGTGGGGATGGGGCGAAGTGGCGGCGGGGTGATGTGGAGATGGGGCAAAGTGGCAATGGGGCGATGTGGAAATGGGGCGAAATCAGTGGAACTGGAAGAGACTGTAAGGCCAAGGGAATGAAAGTCATAGAATACCGTCCACCGCCCGCATGTGCCGAAAGGTGCCGCCGAAATTTTTCATTATTTACAAAAAAAAATCATTATTTACCCAGAATATTAATCTGCCACAACAGTTTACTTCTAATTTCATCAGAATCTGCTGTACATAATTTTTCTATAACACAGAATAGTCTATGTACCACATTGGCGCGAAACCCAATCTGCCCTAGTTCCATAAATGTGACTCAAATACTGATCTGCCCACGCGTACAGAGTACGATGAACACGCGGTCATGGCGGTACATAAAAAATACGTGCATACAATGTATAGCGCGCGGTTACCAGCACTACTGCTGCATGATGATACCAACGACTGCCTGTGGCTGTTTTCCCAAACACTTTCTTAATTAATGTCTACGTATATAGTGACATCATGCAATTTGTCATCCGAACCATACAGCGCGCAGCATGAAAACGACTAGGCCTATCAGTATGATTTGACCTGATTCTGGTTAGTGATTCAGAATAATGAATAATGAAAAAAAGCCTCTTTGTTTTTCAAAATCAGCAGGACGGTATTCTAGTATGACTAATTTCATTGATCCCTCGGCCTAACTTGTTAAACCATGGAGGAATAAAAACACATTTCTCCATGGTTAAACGAATGTCAGACAAGTTGACCGTTGAGACAACTCGACTCGGGACAAGTCGACCGTTGAGACAACTCGACCGTTGAGACAACTCGACCGTTGAGACAACTCGACCGTTGAGACAACTCGACCGTTGAGACAACTCGACTCGGGACAAGTCGACCGTTGAGACAACTCGACTTAATAATGGAAATGTACATGTATACACGTGGAGCGGAAAAATTTGCATAAATCTGTGGCAGGACCGGCGCGGGCGCGGCGCGGGCACACTCGATGTACAGAGGGCGCTCCGATCCGGTGGGCATCGCGTCGCGAGGACCGGGCCCGGCCTGCGCGGCACGCGGGCACACGTTGATGCACAGTGAGCGCTCCGGTGGCCGTCGCGTCGGGCCGCCCGGACCCATCAGCGCGGCGACGCGGCATACAGTCTACCGACGGGGAGGGCTTCCGACTTCTTCCAAGTGGAGATGCTGCGTAGCACTGTGGAGCATATTTTTATGACAATTCATTTTTCAATTAATTAAAAACATAGGAAAGCCCTCGTCGTACTCTTTTGGAAAAAAAAACCAAAACGGCGATCAGCCGCCGTCAAAATCCCCGGTAGGCCTACTATCCCAAAAACTAGGCCCAAAAACATACGAGTCGACTTGTCTTTCCATTTATCGCACATACGGTCGAGTCGTCTCAACGGTCGAGTCGTCTCAACGGTCGAGTTGTCTCAACGGTCGACTTGTCCCGAGTCGAGTTGTCTCAATTACGGTCGACTTGTCTGACCCCCCGGTTAAACCATGGAAGAATTCCTCCATGGTTAAACATGGTAATGCATTTAGGCTAAACTACAGCGATATGATTGCGAACCTCCTCAACTGCTGGGACCGTAAACTTTGGATTTTCAAGAGGATCATCATGCAGAAAGTTCACGTCCATACAATGCCGTGTTTTCGCTCCAAGTCCCGCTCTCTGGAAGTTGAAACCGCACACACTCTCGAGCGCCATGATGACTTTTTGTGTGTGTGTTTTTTTTAATTTTCTGCATATCATGCGTCGTGTAGCGCGCCCTCTGCAGGCTAATCTTGCCAAATAACCCACCGAGGGCGCCCTTCGCACTCCACGGGCCGCGCGCGGAACGAACGTGGACGTCGTCAGCAGGGGGCGGGCCGTGGGGCGCGGCACGGTACGGTCGCGCTGGGGGCTGGGCCGGGGGCGAGGGCTGGCTGGCGGATACGGTGTGTTTTATTTCTCCATGTTGTCACGGTGCGCTAATGATCTAGACTGTATTTGTCACAATGGCGATGATCGGCAAGAGTGGACTGGGTGTGTGCAGAAAACTTAAACAGGTCTGAAGTTTCCACATTTTGTAAGACGAAGAACATGAAGAATAGACGATGTGAAGTGGGGAAAATATTAAACAACTTATTCCTCACATTTAATGTTAATGTTTCACGTTCATGTTAATGTTTGTGTTTAACAAGTTACTTATTTAAAAGGGTTTTGCCCATGGGATTATGTGTTATAGTGTAAGTCTGTTATAATGTTTGTGTTTTTGCAAAATAGGGTTTTTGAGTCATGCTATGGGAGAGCTACTTGACACTGACACTGACAGTAGTATAGATCACTTTTTAGCAATCCCGCAGGGGTGTACAATTATCTTTGTGTAAGGGTTTTAGTCTTTTTTATGGTTTAATGTGTATTTTTTAAACTTACGTCTTTTTTTTATGTCTATACTGTCTGTAATATTATTATTGTTTTTGTTTTACCCATTGTAAATTTGACCTGCGAAATAATTAGTGAAATGAAAATGAATGAAATTCACTATTCAGATCTAAAAAAAAACACCACATTTTTGTTTTGCCCGGTTTTTACTTTTTTTGTAGACAATAAAATGTTTAACAAGATTTCATAACAAATGTAAATCAGGAAAGAATGTTGCAACCTGACGCCACATTTATCTTCATATATCATCTCAACAAAGGTCAGTCATTGCCAAATAAATGTTGAAAAGACATGAATCTGGGACAGAGAAACTTTTCCAAAAATACTTGCAAAAAATGTCTTGACTCTCCAAAGACTTTGTACACAACCGCTGAAGTGGCGTCTGGATACAACATTCTTTCCGTAACAGATATGATGTTCAGATATATAACATAATTGGGATAGTTAAAGAAATTTATAAAAATTAAAATACCCAATTTTTTTTCTCCGTCCATGGTTCAAGTGGACTCCCCGGTCATACTGGTAGTTGATAAACAGTTGTTTGTTCCATGATTATTATTATACATCCTACCTCTTTTTGTTTGGGGGAGGGAGGTTTAAGTCAACAATTTAGATTTCTCCTTTTGCATGCACTATATTTTGCTAAAAAATCCAGGAAGGAACACTTTTTACTATGGCCCAATGGCAGAGAAGGGAATATTGGAAAATATGCTTTATCACACAATTTCCGCAATTTGATCCAACTGACTTTTCTTTGATCAGTTCCAAGCACTTGTCAGCCTGGGCAGAAATCTGTCATCGACGTCGCCGAGAAGCTCTGCAAAGATCTATGAGCTGCGGACCTACACACTCCAGGCAGCACACTTCCGGGATTATCTAGAACTGACCAAGGAGAAATTCCATCTGCGTACGTCTGTCTCCAAGCTGTATGGGTATTGGGTGACTGAGCTGGGAGGCCTCAACGAAGTCAAGCACATCTGGGAGTATGGTACGAGGGGAGATTTTGCATGGTTAAGGCCAATAAAAAAAAATTGTTCTGCGTCCGGTTTCCCTACCTATCCTATTCTGACAGCCCCTACCCTATTTTTTTTATGGGAAAAATGAGGAAAAAACACCCAAAACCATCAATTTCTACCTTTTACCCTTGACTACACGCAGACGCCTCCATATGATTGTACAACAACAAAAAATGGGCCAAAAAAAGAAATTCCCTACCTACCTACATGTACCCTAGTTTCAAATGCCATGTAATCGGAAGCAGAACTATTTTTGGGGGGCCTAATCAACAGTACACTTGGGCTATTCAAAACAGAAGGGGTTGTACAAATTGGTCCAAGTAAAAATAAAAAAGAATTTCATCCCAGCGCACTTTCTTTCTTTTTTTTCCTGTTTTTTTTTTTTTACTCCTACATTTGCAATATATAGAGGGGGGGGGGGGGGTGTGGCCTAGTGGTTAGGGTTCGTGACTCTTGGGCAAGCCGCTTCACCCCCACTTGCCTCTCTCCACCCAGGAGTATAAATGGGTACCGGCATTAGCTGGGGAGTAACCTGTGATGGACCACCATCCCATCCAGGGGGAATAGAAATATTCTCAGTCGTTTCATGAGAAGAAAGCTTGGATAAATGCCGGCCTGATGGGCTATATTGGCTCGTGACCGACTTTACTGCTTTACATTTGCAATTTATAATTTGTCTTTTTGTTTGTTTCCAATAAAATGTATAGCTATGTATGGAAGTTCAAAATCTGGTAGAAAGGGTGATGGCACCTTTGGATGCAAAAGTATCAGCAAAGAGTCGAGAAAATAGAAAAATCCATCCGCCATCTTGGAAAATCCATCTTGGGAAAGGAAAGAAGAGGGCCGCCTCCTTCCCTTTTTCCAACAAGCCTGGACGAGAAACTTTCTTTTTTGTAACTTGGCCTATTCTTATTTGAGCACAAACCCAACTTCATGTCATTTTACGAATGTACCTATTTTGTCCACCAATCAGATAACTTTGCCCACCGGACCGGAGTCAGGCAGAAACTTGCCGCAGACCAATCGTGGATGGAGTCCTACTTTAGTCGGATCGCACCCCACCTGGTCCACCAGGAGAATGCAGTCTTGGTGCCGTCTCCTCTGAAACAAGTGGAAGAATCCCCAGTCGCGGAGGGAGGTGAGTGTGGGCCTTGACGTTACAGTGAAACAGTGACTCAAAATCAGTCCGTTTTCAATCATGCCGCAAACAACCTTTTTTTCACCCATTTATACAGTAACTGCAATCTTTTAAAGGTAGGGTCGATCATTTGTCATTTGTGCATTTTTTTTTCCGTTTGAAGCAACAAAAGTGCTCAAAATCTAAAGATGGGTGCTTAACAACTAATCTGATAAAGTTTTAGCTCAGTGAATGCTGTACATTCCGAGAAAACATATTCTAGGATCTCGATTTCAATTCAAAAGTTGCAGAGTCATGTTTTGAATTGCGCCCAAAATCAGCATCCAGGACACGCTCTCATTCAGGCGATAGGAGCTACACGATGTTATGCACAAAACTGACAAATAATAGCAACTGCGTGTGCGTCGTGTCAATGCTTGCACCCATTCACGGATTCGCCGAATTACAAACCAACTACTAACGGAAATGTCCAAAAATACGTCATTTGAAGCATCTGTGGAAATTGCCTTCTTTTTATTGTTTTCTTCAAAATGACAGCATGCCAGAAAGTACAGTGTCTGATGGGTTAAATAAGATGTGGGGCTTGGCTTGGTTGAGAGGAAAGTTAGCCAGAGGTTTAGCAGACACACATCATCTGAAACGATTCCTGACTTTCTCAAAACCAGTTCTCGCTTTAGAGACAGTCGCTGATCACCAGCATCAGCAGATGCCTCCCTACTTTGAAAGTTGTCGGAAAAAAGTTGAGTTAGCTTTGTCAAGTGCATCTAAATATGGCTCTAATTCTCTTTCCTAATGCCCGCAAACCCTCGTTTCGACCTCTGCCCAGTTCTGTCTCATTTGCCAGAACACCTCATCACAAATATGGAAATTTCTGGTGTGGAAGGTAATTCTGTCCCCTGGTAAAAGTGTCCGGGGGGACAGAATTACCTAGGTAAAAGTGTCCTCCCTGACCCGTTAATTCTGTCCCCCTCCAGGTAATTCTGTCCCCTCCAGGTAATTCTGTCCCCCAGGTTTTTTTGTCCCCCTCTTTTGAAACCCGGAAGGTTATTGTTTTGATGAATTCACTCTACAAGGTATACATTTTGGACTTTTAGTCTGCCCTTCATGAATATAAAAAATATTTAATTTAGTCTATTAGATGATACGTGAACACAATGTTTCGATTCGGAGTACGGTGAAGTCTATCGCGATTCTACTGCGATAGGTCAACACAGCGGCGATGCATGGCGATGCATGGCGATGGCCCTAGTCTCATTGATAGTATGATACAACGTGTCTCCTTGGATTGGTCTGTGTTCCCATCATAGCGCGTAACGAAATTTCCTATTGGACGAATTTCCATTGTAGAGGGAGACGCATATATACACATGTTATAATCACTGCCTCAAATCTTGCAGCATGTACTGGCGCGCGCGACACGCTGCTGCTCTCAGTACATACTGCATGGGGACACATTTACCAGGGGGACACTTTCACCGTTGGGCAGGGGGACATTTTTACCTGGAGGGGGACAAATTTACCTAGGTAAAAGTGTCTCCCCGGACACATTTACCGGGTCACGAGCCGGTAAATGTGTCCGGGGGGACACATTTACCAGGGGGGACAGAATTACCTGTCACACCGGCATCATGTGGGTTGCATCATGTTTATGCAGTTGATTCTCACACAATGCCTCACTATGAGCTGAAACTTCAACAAGTTAGTTGTTATGCACCCTGCTTAAGATTTTGAGCAATTTTGTTGATTCAAGCTAAACACAAAAGGAGGACACAGGGAGCAAATCATGTAATTTTAAGTCACTGAAGTCCATGTATCTGGAGGCTCTATTAAAGCAAATCTTCAGGAAGAATATCAAATTTATCATCATAGTGAGGTACCTTAGTGAAAAAAATCGTGACACAGTGGACAAAAGCACAATTTTTTCACCAAAGCATCTCCATGGTATACCTTTTTGAAAAAAAGACGGACGCAAAAAATTGGATAATGGGAAGGGCATGTATGACGTCATTATGACGTCATCAGCTAATTATTACATGAAAAAAATATAAATTGATAATAATCTTCAGAACTACAAGCATTACAGCAACAAATGTGGTATCAAATTAAAGGGGACAGCAAGCTCTTTCATTTGAGTGGTATGTCATGGGGATAGAATATAGTTAAGGGTGATTTTGTGGGTCAAAAAACCTTTTTTGGTCAAAAGACATGTTTTTTAGGCTAAAATCATGGATTTGGGGTAGTCTCATCGACACTTTGTTTAAACATGCAAACAGTATGTGGTATTGTGAGATGTTGTTTTTAAGTTCGAGAGAAAAGTTCAAATTCTATGCCAAAAGAGTTTTTGTAATTGATTATAATATTAGTATCATAAATATGTTTAAACTTGTTCCAAAGATAAGCGGAAAAGTGAGGCATCTTATAGCGAGCTATGTTAGTAACAAAAATGCTAAGGATCGTTACATTGTATTTAAAAGCACCATTTTTTCACCAAAGCTTTGCCAATGTGTTACGATCAAAAATAGGGTAGGATGCAAAAAATCAGATGACAGGAAGGGTACTTTATGACGTAATAATGACGTCACAATATACTACCGAGCTCGTACAGTAATTAATTGTAGAAAATAAGGTCGTGAAGCGTTGTGATGAGATTCCAAGTAATTAATTTGACATTTTGGGGGTCAGGGAATTGAAGAGTGATATAATCAGTGACATTTAAGTAACAATAAGCTGATTTGCTGTTGCAGTGACGTCACTATTTTCAAATTTTCTTGAAAAATCTAAGCATTTTTGATTATGGATAAAAGTGCTACAATGACGGTATTTGTCATGCAGAAAATAAATTGTGTGAAATTGTGCGGCTCCTTGAATTTGGTCTTTACCACATCCATTTGTTTTGACCATTTACTATAGCTGGAAGACGTAACATTCTTATATGTGTTGTATATTACGGGTAATGAGGTATGGGTTAGGACCCAGACAGAAAGGAACGTGGTAACCTGAAATAGATTAACAGAGTGGCCGGAAATGGTGATGGTACGTCTTTTAACAATGTATTACAAACGGGGGCCGCCCGATAGTCCGAAGGTCCAATAGTCCAAAGGTTCTTTAGTCCGAAGGTTCGATAGTTCAAATGCACACAATTTTCATAAGGGGGGTTCGTTAGTCCGAAAATGAAATAAGGTTCGTTAATCCGAACATTTGATGCAATAGTCCGAAGGTTCATTTATCCAAAGGTTCATCAGTCTGAAGGTTTATTTATCCAAAGGTTCGATAGTCCGAATTTAGAATAAGGTATAATCAGTCCGAAGGTTCAATAGTCCGAAACGAAAATAACAAGCCCGCGGGAACGGGGGGTGCTGTGGGTGCTGCAGCACCCCCAACGTTTTGGATTGGGGTGCTGAAATATGCTTCAGCACCCCCTACTCCCGGGCAAAAATGTGTTCCAGCCAGCAGTGTTCTACGACATTGAAATTGCGCCGCTGCGCTACACATTATGCTTGCTCTAAAAATATCTCCTTCGTTTTGTTCGTTTCTAGTTTTGCCGCGGCTAAGCGCGGCGCTTCGAACGTCTAGCACAAAGTAACACTGTAAAATATCAGGAGGAGGTATTTTCTAAATTTTCAGGCAGTGCAAAATCGATATTTCTCTCAGTGTATCTAAAATCATGACATGTCTATGATATTAATAACCTCGGCCATGACAATGGTGGCAAAGTTTATTATGCTTGCCACGATTTTTTTCATTCGATCTTTCAATAGGGGCAAAGTTCATACCTTTCCCCTGAAGGTTTTTCTTTTCATTTAAAAGTTTCATTGACGTTGCTAGCATTCTGTACTCAACATTAACAAATATCAAGGTTCACACACATCCCAACCTAATAGGAGTGGGACGGGCTTCCATTGAAACTAGTTCCAGTGTAGTTTCGTTTTAATAAAAAAGCTATTCATGTGTTACCCTTTGCAAGTTTTTTCTCATAAAAACTCAGTAGACCGATAAATCCTTACCTAGCCCCAAACTTGCCACCTACCGATCATAAACATAAAGATGCATTTGGTCTGTTAGTCTTTTATATTTGCCATTCCCTGTAACAAACAAATAACACTGCAAATATATCAAGAGCTACATCGTTTAGGCCTATGTGAATATTTTTATGAACAGAAATTCACCCGCTTCCAGTGGAACCATTTTGTTTTAACTTGAACCAAAAAAAAAACCTTTCGGGTTTTATAAGTTTAAGTATATACTTCAGTATATTTCATCACAGTGCATCCAGAATCCAACATCTTCAGGGGCCTTAAAGCAGGCCCCTGGCCCTGTGGCCCCACGCCGTAAGGGCTCAGAAAATCAAACAAAACATACACGACGGAATTTACTAAATGTAAGAAAGCAGCCTAGCAACAATAATATTTACATGCGATGTCATGCATAATGATACAATTCTTTGTCCAGAATTAAATGGAACAAAGAATAGAGATAAAAATACAGGGTTTTTGACTTTTCAGTACAGTAGAAACGTTATAAGAGCAACAGTATATTCTAAACAAAAAAGTGAAATAAATTGTCTTTATAATCTCAAAAAACGTTTGCTAAAAAAGTCATATGAAAGTGGCTAGGAATTGCCTCATATTGCACCACAGAGCATCCATATTCCAAAACTTTTAGGGGCCCTTTAAGCCACGCCGTAAGGGCTTTGCGCTCCGCGTTCGCATTAATTTTATCCGTCCTTTAGAAATTCCAGCACCCCCTGGCAAAAGTTTGTTCCAGCGGGCTTGAAAATAAGGTTCAATAGTCCAAAGGTTCGATAGTCCGAATTGACAATAAGGTTTGATAGTCCGAATTGACAATAAGGTTCGATAGTCCGAAAAGACTCTATGATGGTCCGATGGTCCGAATCGACAGTAAGGTCTGATAGTCCGAATCGACAATAAGGTCCGATAGTCCGAATCAACAGTAAGGTCCGATAGTCCAAAGAGTCATACTGACGAACCGTATTGCCCATTCGGACAATCGAACCTTATTCTCAATTCGGACTATCGAACCTTTTTCTCAATTTGGACTATCGAACCCTATAGTCTATTTGGACTATCGAACCTTCGGATTAATTAACATTCTACCTTTTTATTGCTTATGTGAACTGTTACTATCGTATTTCAGGACAGTCATCATGGATTGGACTGCTTGCATTATCTGCATGCAAACTACACCAGAAAAACTACGTTGTCCACAAAAAGGTTTAAATTGTAACGCCGGCGAAGTATATGCTCAATTCCTGGCTAATGTTGAAGGGTTTAGGACAATAAATGCATTGCCAGTTGATGTAGAATACGGAGCCGAAGGGACAGTAGAAACTTTTGTGGAAAATAATGCCTCGTGGCATCATTCCTGAGGTAATCATTTATGAGATAATCATGACGTAAGACATTGCATTTTAACGAATCATTGATCACAACAGGGGATAGGAGCGAGGGTCAAATGTACATGTACATACATGTTTAATTTAATACATTAAATTAGAAAACATCCCTCATTTTATCAAACTATTTGTATTTAAATCTTTTAAAGAACTAAGAACAAAATTGCCAACTGCACTGATTTCCTTGATCTCAGAAACGTATATTAAATGTAAAAAAAAACGATCCATGGCTTATTCCTAACTAATATCTCAATTGTAATGTATAAGTGTGTAATAATTAGCCGATGACGTCATAATGATGTAATAAATGGCCCTTCCCATCATCAAATTTTGTATCCTATCTTGTTTTCGAAAAGGTAAACTATGGAGATACTTTGGTGTAAAAATGGTGCTTTTGTCCACCCGTGTCACGATTTTATCACTAAGGTACCTCACTTTTCCGCTTATCTTTGGAACAAGTTTAAACATTTAAGATACTAATAATCAATTACAAAAACTATTTTGGCATAGAATTTGAGCCTTTCTCTCTGACTTAAAAACAACATCTCACAATACCACATACTGTTTGCATGTTAAAACAAGGTGTCAAAGTGACTACCCAAAATCCATGATTTTAGCCGAAAAAACATGTCTTTTGACCAAAAAGGTTTTTTGACCCACAAAATCACCCTCAACTATATTCCATCGCAATGACATACCACTCAAATGAAAGATCTTGTTGTCCCCTTTAATTTGATACCAAATTTGTTGTTGAGATGCTTGCAGTTCTGAAGATTATTATTAATTTATATTTTTTTCATGTAATAATTAGCTGATGACGTCATAATGACGTCATACATGCCCTTTCCATCATCCATTTTTTTGCGTCCGTCTTTTTTTCGAAAAGGTATACCATGGAGATGCTTTGGTGAAAAAATGGTGCTTTTGTCCACTGTGTAACGATCCTTAGCATTTTTGTTACTAATGTACCTCACTATCATTCCTGCAGTTAGATAAATAGTCTTGAATAACTTTTTTTTTATGTTCCCTGTGATCAGGTGTGTATGAGTTGTGCCAGTATGAGGCAAAACCAGGCAGTGAGGGCGTCGTCATGCAAGAAATCTCCAAGAAGGCCGAGCTGATCCAACAGGCTGGCGGAGGGAAACTGATGGGGCTGTTCTCCACAGACATCGGCCACAACAACAGTGGTGAGAAAAAAAAGAAATTGTCAAATCAAGATTCAGGGCTTATTTTATGGAGCTTAAAGGCAGTGTACAGCATTTGTAAACATTAAAGAACGAAACTAACAATTTATTATGAAAAACCTTACATAACTGTAAATTAATAATAGTCTCATACATCTGTGAAATCGTAGCACCTGGTGTGCTGTCATTTTCAAGAAAAATTGATTTTTGTATCATTTTCCAACGATAGTTTCGCCAAACCATCTTTGGAAAAAAAAACAGTTATTTTCAAATACTTCCCCCAATTGACCAAATTTAGTTGGTGCACATTTTTTTTTGCAACGATTACATTGTGAACGGGCACAAGCCAGCTAGTCTGGCTTTCTGACCTGACAATTCCCTGACGTTTATAAATTGCTCCATTTCATCTGAAGTGTCGGGTCATGGAACCAGACTACAAGAATAGCATTTTGTCTTGTTTTTTCCCGGCATCCATGAACATAAAACTTTAAACAGGTCAGTGGAACGATATTTGCTATAAAAATACTAAACACCAAAATCCATCCATTACTGAAACTTACAGCAAACGCAAATGTTGGATATTACCTTTATATTGAACTTTGATAGAAAATTAGTGTTTAGCAAATTTATGTAAATTTGCAAACATCAGCAGAGAACCAGTCGGACGCAATATACATTCCATGACGTTTTGGCTGGTAACCATTTTTGCCTGGCAAATTCCTATGCTTGAAAAGAAGCTCCATGAAACAGTAACTGTCAAATTTCTTAATATACTCTTAATGTACATAATTGGAATCTGGATAAGTTATACCTCAAAAAGTGGCTCAAATTATCCAATGGATTTTCTATTCAACAACAATTGACGGGAATAAGTTTTTACTTTGAGTTTGAAGGGTTTTTGAGTTAAAGGGAAAATACAACATTTGCAAACATCAAAAAATAAAACTACCAAATCATTTTGAAATACCTTGCTGGACTGTTAGTGAATGACAGTGTAAAGCATCCTGTAAAATCATGGCACCTGGTATACTGTCATTTTCAAGAAAAGTGTTATTTTTTGTATCAATTTCCAACGCCGGTCGGCTGACCAGCGTTGGAAAAAACTGGCTTTTTTCAAATACTGGCCCCAATTGACCATCGCACTTGTTTGCAATCGATTACACACCTATGAATGGGTACAAGCCAGCTAGACTGGCTCCCTGACCTTACAATTCCCCAATGTATGTAAACTGCTCTGTTTCTTCTTATATGGAGTCAGGGAACCAGACTACAGGAAAATGATTGTTTTTCTTGGTTTTTATAGCATTTTCGAACCCAAAACCTCAAAAAAGTCAGTGTAACTATATTTGCTATATATTTCCAACCCCCCAATTCCATCCATTTCTGAAAATTACAGCAAAAGCAAATGATGTATATTCCCTTGAACACGTTTTGACTTGTAATTTGATGGATTTCACTGTAATTTTTTACAGTGTACCATCTGTGGAACTATGAGAGCTTGGACAAAAGACGAGAGATAAATGATGCGCTCCCTGATTCGGCAAAAGGTAATGTTGACAAAATATTGAATCTTGGGCAAGTTGAATTGAATGCAATATGGTTTGCATCATCATGGAGAGAGGTGCATCAAAAATGATTTGATATTCACCCTCACTGCACGATTTCATTGTGTGAGGATACATTTTTAAAGATGTTCTTGCATTAGATCATCTAAAACTTGTGATGATCATGAGAGCATAAGCTCATTTGAGCAGAATTTCGGTTGACCAAAAAAAAAATGGTTTGGTTCTCTTTAATGATTGAGGCTATTGTATAACTGACACTACAACGTAATTATCACATTCCAGGCACACAGCAATCTGTTTTTTTAACACTTTTGCAGCTAGGGTTATTCAAGTTCATTTGAGCAGAAATTTGGTTGACCAAAAAAAAAATGTTTGGTCGCTTTAATGATTGAGGCTATTGTAACTGACACTGCAACGTAATTATCAAATTCCAGGCACACAGCAGTCTGTTTTTTTTTTAAAGACTTTTGCAGCTAGGGTTATTCAAGTAAACCTTGCATATTTTCAAACAGGATTGGGTGGTGACGAATATCTATGAACTTTCTAACCCACTTTCCTTTGACAGTTACCACGGTAACTACAGCAAACCAAAGCGATTCTCCTATGGCGAATATAACAAATTCTCACATTAATTGTAGCACATTTTAGAACGCCATTAGATGTCATGTAATGTCTTTTAATAATGGTTTGCATGCTCTTGTTGCAGATAACTCCAAGATTCTTAAAGACGTTGTGACTAGCATGTCCAACAAGGTGATGCTGCCATGGCCAGTCTCACCCCTGAAGTAGACTTGTCTCCCTCCATTGGCAGTCCTGTGCCCAACAGTCATGAGCTCGTTCCTAAATTTTCTTGGGTAATTGGGTTTCTTTTTTATGTTTGTTTTAAAAGAAATGTGTAGGCATAGTAAAGGTCATTTTTCTTGGTTGAGAGTTAATATTTGTTGTTCTGAATGTCATGGTAATATCTAAGATTGTATTAATTTTTGAAATCATATACCACTTGTTTCTATAGCCTGCTGAAATAAAAACAAGTGTGACAAAATTTTGAGCAGCTTTCCATATACAAGTAATTAAGATGTTTGAATTCCTTTGATTTGTCGGTTAGTTAGTAACAGACTGTTTGCAATTATTTGAACCGCAGCTGTAAGTCCATGCATCGTGATTGTAAGTAAATTGCAATACTGTATCCATTATGTGCCATAATTTTGATAAAAGCCATAAATATTGAAATATGAAAGTTTGAATGTATTTTTCTAAGTTTAATTTCGTTTTTTTACACAGATGGATTTTTTTAAATTTTTTATTATTATTATAATTATTATTTTATTAAAAACCACAAATCGTGACCCAAAGGTCAAATTGCATGTGATCATAACAATTAAAACTTTAAAATATAAATTGAGAGTACATGTACATTAAAAAACTGTAACAAAAAATATAAATAAAAGAGTAAAGAAATACTCATTCACAAAACTCATACAAACCGAAGACACAGACATGATTAAGTTAAATACCATCACTCCCCCCCCCCACAGGTGAATTCCATCTGGAATTATCTATATTTTTCAAATAAAACTTTTCTGTGGTACTCCAATTTCAATGATAAAGAACTGGGAAATAAAAGTTTTGTCAATCAAATCATGACTTGTGTGCTTGAAGGTATATACCATGCACTTTTGAAACTGCGATTACTTCTGCAGCACTACATTTAATACATTCACTAAATGTTATAGATTTGAGCAATAGATGCTCAAATAAGCCGGTGCCAATTTCATGGTACGGGTGCTGCTTATACAGCTTGTCCCACAAGAACGAACAGTCGAAAATCAACTAATAAAGATATATTGCATGTGAGTTTTGGAAAATTTTCAAATTACCTCTTGAAGTCAGATAACCAATCTATCATACAAACTTTATTTCATTCAAATCGATGCATTGGAACAAACGCTATGCTTCATCGAACTTAAGGGTTGAAAATCGTCTTAAGCCACTTTCCTTGAAAGTGAGAAAGCGCAGTTAGAGAAACACACAAAGGATTTATTTCCTTTGTTCAAGAGTAAAGTGTGACTTATTCTACTGGCTTCGATCTGTAAACTTGATTAATAAAAAAGCTGTATCTTTTGAACAAAACTTCCCAATGAAATCAACTAATAAGCATTTGGAAGACTAATTATTCTCAGCAATACATAGGCCTAAGACACGATTTTGAATACTACCCCCACTTTTAGTTTTCGATAGAGCAGGCAAAGCACATTTTGTACCACCCCGCCTTCCGCTCCCTTTACTTTTCCAGTACATTCTCGATTTGGTGTGTTTTTTAGGGTGGGCAGGGGGACATTTTGCCCACCCCTCCTAATTAATTAACGAAAAATGTATTGTAGAACCTCTTTTTATGTTGGGGGCGGAGCTAGCACTCGCCCCCCCCCCTTCCTTTTGACATCCATGCTTCAGTTGCAATTGAATGTACTCAGGCAAGCAAGAGTGATTCTGAGATCTTTAATTTTAATCTAAACTGGGAAAATTAACTTGGTGACAAGTGTATTGTAAGTAAACTGTGTTATTTCCTGCAAAACTATGAATTTTGAAGTAGAACTGAAAAGTGACACTTTTGACCAAACTGACAAGATTTGCACTTGGTAACAAGTGTATTCTATTTTCCTAGGGTATTCCCAATGAAACTACGGAAGAACTTATTAGTTACCCAGATGGTCACGAAATGCTATTTTAGGCACTTTTTGGGACCCTGTCTCACGGCCGATGTAAGGTTTTTTGTGTGGGACAACCAGTAGTGTTTGCAAAGTTTTTAACCACAAGTTTCAGTCATGGCATCATGATCGTCAGTTATTCTGTATCCATTGTGTGCCATGATTTGATGAAAGCCATAAATACTTAACTATGAAATTTTGAATGTATTTTTCTAGGCTTAATTTCGTTTTTACACGGATGGATTTTATCTATATTTTTATATTAAAAAAATTCTGTGGTACTCCAATTCTGATGATAAAGGACTGCAATAAAAGTTTGTCAGTAAACTCGTGAGTCAAACTTGTGTGCTTGAATGTATATCATGCACTTTTTACACTGCGATTATTTTTGCAGCACTATATACATTTCAATTTAGTATATACATGTACGTGCTTTTTGGGTGTGGCACCTTGAAAAATAGATTTTCAACTTGAATTGTTAGTTTTCTAGCGTTACATTAGTTATGAACTTTCCAATGAGGCATCGCGCGAAATAAAATCGGCTCACGACAAGTAATCAATTAATTTATTTCAACTTTTGCATTAAGAACCGGACGCTAATTCGTTCTGAATAGTGTGAGCAATTAATTACTGAACTGGAGCGCGCCATTTAAAACCACTTTGTCTGTGGTGCAATCTGAGGCGATTCCTGGCCACTTTCATTTGACTTTTTTAGCAAAAGTTTTTTGAGGTTATAAAGACAATTTATTTCATTATTTTGTTTAGAATATACTGTTGCTCTTAAAACGTTTAACTGTACTGAAAAGTGGAGAACCCTGTATTTTTATCTCCATTTCATTCTGGAAAAGGAATTGTATCATTATGTATGTCATCGTATGTAAATATTATTGTTGCAAGTATCTGGTGAAATCGCCCTGAAAATCATCACGTAAACAGAACATATGTTAGGTCAAGTAAAAACATCGTGAAAATGCAGTGACGCCTCCTGTGGAGCCCAGCTCATTAACCGTCGTGGTTCCGTTAATCCGTTGAGCAGTTTATCAACTTTGGGGCCTAATCCCCTCATAAAAAGGCACATTGCCTGTCAATCTTAATTAGGTGATCATGATAAACAGGCTGTTGGATACTTGTAGGAGGACACTTTGTAGCTTTTGTGTACTTGGGCAGTGGGCGTTGGGCAGTAAGTGTAGCTGTCAATCACACTAATCCTGTAATCACTTAGACCGTTAATCTGTGGTTCTCACACCATTACGGACACACTCTCGCAAAATGTGGTCCAGCAGCTTTCTATACAAAAACCTCGTTGGCTCAGGGTTTTGTACGTAAACCTTATCAGTCAGCCGATCACGCTCAATTGACTTCGGGCAAACCGCAGTCCCATCATAAGAAATAAGTTAACAATGTTATCTGGACCATTTTTTCCGAGAGTGTGTCTGTAATGGTTGATGGGCTTTTAAAAAGAACTTTTGCAAATGGGAAAGACACTTTGGAAAAATCCAATCAGTTTGAATATGCTTCATGGATTTCTGAATAAACGAGCACATTTTTAACAGTATTTAATTACTATTATTTTTTGGGTGTGGTGGTGGGGGGGGAGTGGCTAGCTGGGGGGGGGGGTGCCAGACAGAAGATATATCAGAATGGCGCAATAAGACCGACAGCGGGCGCAATAATTTTGATTAGGGTTTCAAAAATTTCTACGCGTCCGAGGCGTTAATTTGCATAAAAAGTGCCCCCCACAATTTTTTGTAAAAAACGAGACCGTCTAGTTTAAAAATCGGTGGAATCGTGCGAATATAGCCGAGGATCATCTCCCTAGCTTTTGGGCTATTATCTAAGAGCAGATTTGATAAAATTAGGGTCCAAAAATGGGTCCTATTTGCAGGAGAAAATGTAGGCATGCCACTGGTAACTTTGGCAGTATGCAGGCTCAGCATTACCGGTAGGCTTCAAGCATTACGGACACACTCTCGCAAAATGTGGTCCAGCAGCTTTCTATACAAAAACCTCGTTGGCTCGGGGTTTTGTACGTAAACCTTATCAGTCAGCCGATCACGCTCAATTGACTTCGGCCAAACCGCAGTCCCATCATAAGAAATAAGTTAACAATGTTATCCGGACCATTTTTTCCGAGAGTGTGTCTGTAATGACCTTCAGTGGAGGAAAGCTGGACCTGCTCGTCCTGCTGTACAGTTATGAATAACAATAGACCCTTGGACCTCAAGAAGGCCCATGTAAAAACACCGTGAAACTGCAGTGAGCTTATCCCCTGCTGAGGGGCCCAGTTTGGCATCGTGAAAATGAGCTTACTTGGCAGTGTAAAAAAGTTTCACGGCGACTTCATTGTAAACTATATCAGTTTCATGGTGTTGAAATTCATAGCGTAGCGGCGCAATTTCATCGGCGTAGAACACTGCTGGCTGGAACACATTTTTTTCCCCGGGAGTAGGGGGTGCTGAAGCATTTTCCAGCACCCCAATCCGGCTGCAGCACCCACAGCACCCCCCCCCCCCCCCCCCCCCCCGCAGTCCCGCGGGCTTGTTAGTGACGACTCATAAAATCATGGCTCAAGCTAAAGAGGGCAAATCTCGAAAGAGAGTTAAGCTACAGTTTTGATGTGATGTTTGTGATGTAATAATCTTTGATGACCCACCCCAACCGCCATAAACACTAGCACGGTCACGGTGGGGGTGACCAGAAAATGCCTCAGATTGCACCACAGAGCATCTAGAATCCAAACATTTCCCAGAGCCCTGTATATAAGCGGGCCCGCCCGCGGCCGGACCCCACGCAGGGCTGCGCGCTCCGCACTCGCATAAAGTTCCGCTTTAGATTTCAAAAAGACCCCCCCCCCCTCCGGTCCCCCCCCCCTCCCAGTCTGTGATCAGGGGGCGGGCCTGAACAAGGTATGTGCACACGTACTGAGCGTTTACGCACACGCAGTTTTGTAATGAGCAAAATAATGTCCAAAACTTTTCAAGTTCAATATGATAGGGCCAAATTTTGACGATTTCCTTTCGAATTAAGTTGAACTTGTGGCACTGAAAAATTAAATCTATTCAAATCAACATAATTAACCATTCATATATTTGTGGCGGTAATTAGAAATGGAGTTAAAGGAATCATATTTTGGGTGTAAATTATCAATTATACACTCATTTTGCGTGACGGTCCGTCCGTCGGCCGGGCACTAATGTTGTGATCATTGCAACCCCCCCCCCCCCCCCCATTCAAAATGGTCTAGCGACGCCCGTGAGAACAAGTCTCCAAGACTCCAACCCCAAGACTGTAATAGAAATTTTGACAATAAAAATATTTTTCCAAGTGTGTGTGTGTGGGGGGGGGGGGGGGGGGGGGATTCAGGCAGAGACAAACGGGACTCATTCAGGGTAGCATAAAATGGCACGACAGTAGAGCGCGTGATGAATGTGCATGACTATGACGTCACTCTTTCTACTGTCGCGCCGCCACCCTCTAGTGTCGTCCCACAAACCGATGATATCACATTTAACAAGTCCTCTTTCTACTGTCGCGCCGCCACCCTCTACTGTTGCCCCACAAACCGATGATCATCAAGTGGGACGACACTAGAGGAGGCGGCGCGACAGTAGAAAGAGGACTTGTTAAATGTAATATCATCGGTAAGTGGAACGACACTAGAGGGTGGCGGCGCGACAGTAGAAAGAGGACTTGTTAAATGTGATATCATCGGTAAGTGGGACGACACTAGAGGGTGGCGGCGCGACAGTAGAAAGAGGACTTGTTAAATGTGATATCATCGGTAAGTGGAACGACACTAGAGGGTGGCGGCGCGACAGTAGAAAGAGGACTTGTTAAATGTGATATCATCGGTAAGTGGGACGACATTAGAGGGTGGCGGCGCGACAGTAGAAAGAGGACTTGTTAAATGTGATATCATCGGTGGGATGCAGCACATACAGTGTGCATCTACATGTATATCTATCAGTACCGTGCGTGATATATTACTCATGAGCTTCTAGTGACGTCATAGTCATGCATATTCATCACGCGCTCTACTGTCGTGCCATTTTATGCTACCCTCATTCAGGCAAAAATCTCGTCACGCCCCCGGGGAAGTAGGAGTATAGCGCCACCATGCGCCCAATTTGTAACATTCAACATGGCGACGTCCATTGGTAAACTTTTGCAATAATTTGATCAATTAAAAAGTCCTACTTTAACCGTCCCTGAAGGTATTATGGTCATAAAATGGTTATAAATCTAGTAGTGCATATGCGTTTTACCCCAAGGACTATCGCATTTAAGAATATACGTTCCATTGATACCCTTTTTAACGCTGGAAATTGGAAGCAAGTTTTGAATCCAATCTGTACCAGACCGAGTGCCGGTGTTTATGAAAGAGATCCGAAAATGGCAGAAGCCAAGTCTGGTACTGTGGAATCAAATCCGATGATGTCGAGGTTGGAATCCGTATCGGAAACAGCTCACCAGGCTCACACTGATTGCGAGGCCAAAACGGACAGAATGCAGTTGAACTTGAAGAGAAAAGAATTTTCGGGTAAAACCAAAAAGGTAATAATATTAAGCTTCCGGAAAAAATGTTGCAACCTGACGCCACTTTTTTTCAATGAAGGTCAGTCATTGCAAAAATGATGATAAGACATGAATCTGGGACTGAGAAACATTTCCAATTTTTTTCTTCATCGCTCCATCATGTCCATAGACTTTGTACACAACCGCTGAGAAGTGGAGTCAGGTTGCAACATTTTTTCCAAGTTTCCTCGCAAGGTGTTTCAGGGTAATATGCGCCATCTTGTTCATGGGGCAAAGACTGAAAGAGAACATGCGCTGCTAGACGCGGGTACATTTTGGAATGACCGCATGATGACTTGGAAGCGCCAAAGTTTTCCATTGATGATGCCTACACAGCAACGCGTGTAAAATTGCCCCGGTGTCGGCAAGATGACGCATATTACCACGAAACTCCTTATTGAGTAATGCTCCAGAGGTATTATCATGTGCAGATGTGTAGTAATATATCCCTGTTTAACAAAACTTAAAAAGCACACACCATAATTTATGGCATAAATATTATTGGCTGCAGTGCAAACAATCTTTATCAGTAAATGGATTTTTCGTTTGTAGACTTAGAATTTTCTGTTGTAAGTTAAGTTACCTCGTTTTATTGCAACAATTTTACATAACATGGTGGAACAATCTAAATGTTGTGTCTAAGGACATCTAATGTCAAGTGTTCAATGATACATTAAGCCTAACCCCCTACAGTGATTTACTAGGAACCTTCCTCACCCTTGCAAATTCCAACACCATATTAAACTGTACACATAAACAGTTGGACTCCACCAAATCCTTGTGTTGGAGTTTGGCTGGATGGGGATCGTTAGGGCTAAGTGATTAAAGTTTGAGTTTGATTTTTATATGACCATATTTTTTTGGTAGAATACATTATTGTTTAGGAATAAAACTAACTGTATCATTCTCCTTTGATTCACAGGGGAAAAAGCTCGACAAGCACCCAAAGAAAGTTCAGAAGTTTTCAAATGATCAGAAGTTCGAAGAAACCACATACTACTTTGATAATGGTTAGTAAAAAAAAAATAATTTAGTCTGTCGTGGGATAAGTTGCTCTGTCCCTTTCTTAACTCAGTATTGACCCTTGACATGGCAGCCATCTTGGGGGTGCATTTTTTATAATCCAAAATGGCTGCATTCAACAGGTTTATGAACCAAATTATACAATTACAATGAAATTAATTGGTATTACCTTTTGTTTCTTACACATTGAGAGATTTTGGCTGAAGCGCCTCTCAGAGGAAGTTTGACCTGAAGGGAATATACATCATTTGCTTTTGCTGTAATTTTCAGAAATGGATGGAATTGGGGGTTGGAAATATTTAGCAAATATAGTAACACTGACTTTTTTGAGGTTTTGGGTTCGAAAATGCTATAAAAACCAAGAAAAACAATCATTTTCCTGTAGTCTGGTTCCCTGGCTCCATATAAGAAGAAACATAGCATTTTACATACATTGGGGAATTGTAAGGTCAGGGAACCAGTCTAGCTGGCTTGTACCCGTTCATAGGTGTGTAATCGATTGCAAACAAGTGCGATGGTCAATTGGGGCCAGTATTTGAAAAAAAGCCAGTTTTTCCCAACGCTGGTCGGCTGACCAGCGTTGGAAATTTATACAAAAATACCACTTTTCTTGAAAATGACAGTATACCAGGTGCCATGATTTTACAGGATGCTTTACACTGTCATTCACTAACAGTCCAGCAAGGTATTTCAAAATGATTTGGCAGTTTTCTTTTTTGATGTTTGCAAATGTTGTATTTTCCCTTTAACACATGAGGTTTGATTTAAATATCTTTTAGGCTTGAGGAAGGTGACACCATATGTGTACGTCTTCGAGACACACATCAAAGGACGATGGATGGGACGCTCGGTGCTTGACGTCTTCAAAGGAGAGTTCAGGATGGAGACGCCAGAATACTACGTGAGCAGTCAAAGCGTGTTCCCCTCTTACACCTGTCAGCCCCGCCCCACAGGGGCTGACAGGGATCCAATAGTTTGAGAAAGGGGGTCTGCCTTTTGACCCCTAGGAACTAACAGTTATGTGATCTATCCAAAACACTTTTCTTGGCAGCTGGTTAGAAACAGGTTATAAATATATTTATAATGAAGAATTTTTAAATTGGTCTATTTTGTGGCACAAGGGTGTTGTCTACAGTGCATGTTATGTATGAGTTGTTTCTGCATACAATAGGGGACGTTGAACAATAGAGGACAATAGGGTCCCCAATGCCTGAAGGCCCTTTAATTCGGGCGATTCACAATGCAGTGCGCCACTAAGAGTTTGCCACGGAGAGCTTGTTTTTCAAGGTCACGGTCGACAAAACATGGCCCATTTGAACGAGTGTCAGTAGAAAACTTGAGCTTATTTGTTATAGATTGGGGCAAAGCGTTCTGCCGCCTTACAAAAAAACTCCATATTGATAAAACGAAAAGAAAAGGGCAAACAGATACTCGAATCAGCTTCAAATGTCCCGCGCTGCGAATTTGTCGACCATCTCCCACAACGCACTGGGAAATATGAACTTTCCGTGGCAAACTCTTGGTGGCGCACTGCATTGTGAATCGCCGAATTGACGATCGTGTACAAAACATATGGGAGGTCTCCCTAAAAAGTTAGGGTACAAACAAAAGAGGGACAATAGGGGTTCCCCGATTGCAGGCAAATACACACTGGGGTGTGTGTATGGCTGTTATGTACTTTAACACTTTCATTTTAAGAACCATGGCATGGGGTGCAACCCCTTGAAACTAACCCCCCCCCCCCCCCCCCCATCGATCCGCCCCTCCCACTCCCACAGCAAATGAGAAAACTAATGCTGATTTTAGTCAAACAATGGGAAAAAAAGTTCTATGATTGTCGGGTCATAATTATTATCGGAATGTGTGTGTGTTTTTTTTTTTTAGTTTTTAAACATTGTTATTATGTTATTATGTATATTCCACAGCTTGCCCTGAACATTCAAAAAAATATTTGGTCACTGTTTACCTCAATTTCAATCCTTTAAGTGTGATCAGGGAGAAAATTCCAAAGTCATTAGTGTCATTTATTTTCCCGATGCAGAAAAAGGCGATAAGTTATGGCCTGATCACCATCAACGGACAGAGAGTCTCAGCCGACAAGATACTACGCAACAACGAGTACCTGCGCTCCATGGTGCACCGCCACGAGCCACCGGTTACCGGTGAACCTCTAGACATCCTCACCATCAACGAGGAGTTTGTCGTCATCAACAAACCGGCTTCTGTCCCAGTAAATACTAGTCAGGTTTTGTGATGTTAATACCCACGAGTGTATTATAGGATTCGTGTTGCTGTGAATAAGGCCACAAAAAAAAGTCTCTGGTTTCTGGTATGGAGCTTGCCCAAAAAGTGGTGCGGCGACGCGGCTTTTTTTTTTACCTGGTTTTTTTTGCTTCAAATGTCGGCTGAAGACTGCAAATGGTGCCCGACTAAACTTAGTGCAAATATTATGGGAGACCAGAGAGGCCACGTAAAGCTTATTCTCGATCCTAACCCCATCTAAAAACACGTTAAAATTGTGCAGCAGCAGGATTCCAGTCTTTCATTGAGAAAAAAAAGCTTTTTCATTTTGCCGACGCGCATGGCTACGGCGACGCGCTAGCATACCAGAAACCGGAGACTTTTTTTTTTTTGGCCTAAACATCAGGAGTCCTTTCTCTCAGAAAGCCAAGACAATAAGGATTTCATCTTCATTCTCAAATTCCAAAGCAATTTTTTTTTTTTTTCTGAACCTAATTTCTACTCATCATAACTTTGATATCAAATAATACACACTTCAAGTTTGATGTCAAAATCCTGCTTTCAAACAACAGTTTAATGTGACGATCACACCAGGCTCTCCTGTTCACGTTGTAATTCTGGTTTCTGGAAACACTGTGACGTCATTGTCCAGTAGTAAACTTGAACAAGTGTCTTCTTGATTTAGACGGTGCACTTTCCAAAGTGGTAATTTGGTATCGCACAGCAAAACAAAAGATGACTTGTGCAAGTTGAATAATGTCGGAAACACATCACAACTTTACCTGAATTCACAATCACAATATTTTGTTGAGAGGGAGAGAATTTCTCCGGTACGGCCTGCTGATTATGAGTTGAATTTTGTTTCTTGTTCTCCAGGTTCATCCTTGTGGTAAATACCGTCACAACACCATCATCTTCATGTTGGGCAAGGAACATGGCCTTACTGGACTACACAGTAAGTACAGTTAACCCCTTAAGGACGGGGTGTAATGGGAACATTCCTCCACACATAGAGCAAGTGGCCCGCATGACTGCACAGCCTTTGTGTGGTAGCGGGACTGCACAAAAGCAGCAGCTGTGGAACTACCCACTAGCCGTGTGCCACGGCATACCACAGCTGGCAACTGCATTCCAATGAGGATTAGCGGCCGCGGCCATGACCGCTTCCCGTACGCATGGGGTTAACCGAATTACCCGTTGTTCCAGGATCATGCTGGAACTTATGTCGAGCCAAATATAACTTTGTTTCCAAACAGGAGAACTTTAATCAGGAAACACTCTAAATGGCTGCAACAGTCGATCTTTTGACTTAATTGCTCAGAAGTATTTCAAATGTCCAACTTTCCATGTACTTAATTCCAATAAGCCTCTGTACTGATGGCGTCACTCTTTGTTTACACATGTGCTTTCTTATGGGAGCATGGTGGGGACGATGGTTTTTTAGCCCCATAGAAAAGCACACACATAAACGAAGTGTGGCGTCAGTACATGGGCTTATTTTAAGAATTATTTGCTCATCGCAACTCTGGAAAGGCCAGTTTGAATTGGTTATGATTCAGTTTTGTGTAGTGTTTTTTTTTACTTTAATTGTACTGCAGCAATAACTGATAAAATGAACTGTGTAATTCTATTTTTCGAAGCAGTTTTTGTATCTGATTTCAACTGTCTGGTTGTACATGCTATTTTTGTCGTTGTCATGTTTGGTTTTTGTTCATGATTTCTTGGCTTTGTTCTTATATTTCTACCCTGTTTCAGCAATACACCGCCTGGATCGCTTGACATCAGGACTACTCATGTTTGCAAGGTACGCAACTTTTAAACAAGTTGAGACTTCAAACCACAGCCGACCAATACAGCAAAAAAAATGAAGGAGTATTTGGTCTAAACTGTAATTTTTCAGGGTTGTTTGTGTAATACCAACGTGTAAATAACAAGTGATTGTATGTAAATATTTCTGGCAAATGTTGCCAAAGTTCAGTACAGCCTTACCCTAAAGTCTTTTTGTTGTTGCAGAACTCGTGAAGTTTCCCAGAGGGTGGATGCCTATGTACGGGACAGAAGGCTCACCAAAGTGTATGTCTGTAAAGTCACTGGAGAATTTCCCAGGTTTGTAAACCATCCTTGCACCAGGGGGTAATTTCACGGAGCTACCAAACACTCAAACACACACAGACAGGTAACCCAACAAATGTTCATTCAATTTATGTTGCTTGTGACTGGTACTCGGGTAATTTTGGCTTGTCACATAAATATTTTGTGCCTTCCAGACCTAAAAACTCCTTTCTCTCTTTGTGTTGTAGCGAGCCCGTAGAATGTTTGGAGCCGATCTGTACTGTATCGCATAAGATTGGCGTCTGCAAAGTTGGTCCAGACGGCAAACAGTGCAAGACATCCTTCAAGCGTCTGAGCTACGACGGCCACACGAGCATCGTGCAGTGTAAGTTTTTGGGTCTCAGGATATGGTATAAACCCAGTAGCAGTTGTATTACACTTATATAATCTTTGCCGGTGCCCAGACGCTACCAATGGATGGAGAGAGAAATATGTTTGTAAAGTGCCTTGCCCAAGGACACAAACAATCGTCCCTTGATATGGGATTGGCAGGCCATCTTTAAAGACTCTACCACAAAATCACAAAATCGTAACTCTTACTTGCCAACCAAAAAATTGAATAGCACTCAACCCTCAATCTTTTTTTCCCCCAGATGTAATCCTTTCTTTCCCAAAACAAGAATTGTATGTGCAGATATTCAGTCTTTGATAATCTATAAAATTGTTCGAAGGATTAATATTGCTTGTGTGAAATTCTTGATGTGAAATTCTTGATTCGACAGGTACTCCACACACAGGACGTATGCACCAGATCCGTGTCCATCTACAGTACCTAGGATACCCCATTGTGAACGACCCACTGTACAACAACCCCGTTTGGGGGACGCAGCTTGGCAAAGGAGGGGACATTCCGCACACAGACGAAGATGTAAGATAAACTCCCCTCATCGGAGTATTCTCTGATCAGTCATTCTGGTTGTACAAAATGCATACCCAAATGGGTTCATTCGTAAAGCAGATGAGCTAGTGTTTTTTTTAATTGGAGCATTTTCCTCATGAATCTAAAAATTAAACTAGAAGTTTACCATTCACTAAACCTTTGATGTCTATTTTCTTGTCCACATGCCTTAGATCTATTTACAGGCCTGGCAAGCAGAGGCAGAGCAAATCCCTTACCCACATTTGTGTTTAAACCTTACTAAAACAGACTTAGATCTGTTTTAGGTTTTATCCGCTCAGCTTATGTCAACCAATTTTGTTAATGTCAATGGTTTGCATTGACGAGGATTTAAAATTCATTAACTCCCTAGCATTTTTTACTAGGAACCATACCCAACCTGGCAAATTCCAACACCATATAGGAAACTGCACACACCTATTTCTGACTTTGTTTCTGGAGGTGTGCCAACCCATTGCAAAAACTGTCACTTTTAGGGTTCTGTACCCATCCTGACAGATTCCAACAAAACATGCTATTGGGGTTTGATGGGTTGAGTTCTGCTAAGGCTAATGGTTCGTGTTTTACACAATGAAGTGCTCCATATTTCTCATCCATTTTTTGGTCGTTGCAGCTACTGACTGAGTTAATCAAGCAACACACGGCAGAGCTGAAATCACAGGTTATCGAGGACCCAGACATGTTCATCAAGACCACAAGACATCAGCTCGTCCCAGGCCACGACGCAGAAAATGAAGACAGAAGCTCAAGCGAGGGCGCTACTTCGAGTGCGATTTCTGCTGTGCGTAGTAACGGGGTTGGTACGACCGATTTGGACAAGTCGACGAGCGATGCCATCGTGGACTTGGGTCAGAGGCAAGGCGAAACTGATGCAGCAATGGAATTAACAAGTGATTCCTCCGACAAGCGGAGCACGGCTTGTTTGGTGTCTGATGAGCATTCTGCGAGGAACGAAAACACGAACAATCCAACAAGTGAGCGTGGGACCACCAACACAGTTGATTTAACAGTGGTTGAAACTAGCAAAACCGGATCCCATGACCAAACAGAATCGTCACTTGAGACTTCTGAAGCGTCGTCCGAGCCGCCCTCGTTGGGGAGTGGACAGGGATTAGAGAGCCCTCTTGAGTCAGAGCGTGAGCTAACGGAGGCAGAGTTGCACAGACTTGTGCAGAGGCTGTGCCGGGAGTGTAAGCTGAAGCTGCGAGACCCTACCCCAGATGAGATGATCATGTATCTGCATGCACTCAGTTACAAGGTTTGGAATTTTCTTGAAATGTATTTAATAAAAACATTATTTAGGGAGATTAGCAAAGGGTAATATTAGATTCTAAAATTGTTTTAAAAAATGAAATAGTCAGTTTTAAACATTTACATGCCGAGTACCGTCTTTCATGAATTTTTGGATACGTTCACTGTACAAACTTTGTCCATTTTTGTGAGAAAGTTTCAGAAAATGTTGGATGTCTGGATCAGTGGAAAATTGAAAAATATGTTCCATTTTATCATGAAAGAGTTTTTTTTAGTTGATTATTTGCTGTTTTAAGTGTAGGTTGCTTAAAAATATCAAACCCCCCCCCCCTCCCCAAACAAAAATGTTTCCCATTTTAATTTAAGGAAACAATATTTAAACAATAAATAAAAACAACATACACTGATCAGTTCTGTATAAAAATCTTTTATTACTCTTTCAGGGACCAGACTTCGAGTTCAGCACTCCGTTACCAAAGTGGGCAGAGGAACACATACAGAGATCATCAGCAAGAGACTGATGACCAAGGACTGATCGCCAGAAATTAATGATGGAGATTTATCTTCAATGTTATCAATGACAACTTTCATCGATTACTTGGAATAGAACCAATGTGTCGCAAGAAGCAATGCTTCCCAAACAATACAATCTCAAGCTTCTGAGCATTGTGTTTGTGCTCTTTTGAGGATTCCTTTGTTTCGTAACACAAATTTTGATAAAAAAGATAAATAAAGTAGCACAAGATCTGCATAAATTGTTGCAATATTTTGTTCCAGTCTTTACGACCTGATAAATACAGAGCAAGATTCAAACCCAGGACCTGGAAATATCACATGAAGCTACTCAAGGGCAAGTTTTTCTGCGTAATAAAATACACGACTTCAGTTGATTTTGCTAGTTTGTCTCTTTGTTCCACTTATCACCTTGGGGCCTCCAGGACAAAATTCACTAAGGGAACCTTTGCGGCAACTATAATTCTTTTGATGCTACTTTGACCTACGACCTCCTGACCCAGGTCACTGTCTAGTATCAGCCTCTTCAGTTCATGTTCGTTTTGAAGTAGTTCACTCCGGACCCTGACTTCTCCTTTGGTCTGGTTGTTTACCTAAAATAGACAAAATAAATTAAAAAAAAAAAAATAACGTACCCCCCCCAAAAAAAGACGTCGAGATTGTGTTGTCAGCTTATTTTTTAAGGTCATACAAACAGAACATCATAGATTATTAGAATTCAAACAACAAAAGCAACTTTCCTTGATTTATTATTACTATCAAAAGTACAAAAGATGGACCAATGATTTTTAAGTGAGAGTTGTGCAGTGATTGACGTATGCAAGTTTTTTAGGTGAAATATCCAGGAATAAAATGTGACAGAGTTTTCTAAAAAGTCTTTTTAAATTGAAAGTGGATATTCTCTGCGTTTCAATTTGAGAAAAAAATAATAATATACTTGAAACATACCTTGACAGTGACATTCACAAATGCTGCCTTTTCCTGGGATTCTGGCTCCAGTGTCGGCCACGACTGCTGTAAAACATTTCTATCCTGGAAATCAAATCAAAATATGTTCATAGCTAATTGTGCCAGAACTTTCATCTTTTTAAAAATATTGGCACCATTGGTACCACCACCTCGTAGGTTTCAACTCCAGCTTGGGTACCCAGCTCAACCCCCCCCCCCCTGGAAAAAAATTGTCATGTCCCACATAAGAACAGTCAACAGTCAAGGAATGCAGGATCACCCCTGATGTCATTGCACACCTCCCCGATCGTGTGTTGCACCAAACGATCGAGAAGGTGTGTAATGACATCAGGGGTGACCCTGCATTCCTTCAGAAGTTTTTGGCCGCAGCACGCACCTTCCGCCACCGTCTCCAGCGCTGCATCGACATTCTGAATATGAGTAGTTTTTTCGTATGGCATTTAAATCTCACCCTCTTGCACAAAGCTGATGGAATTTGCTCTACAAAATTTTGTCATGCCTTGTTTACATGATCTGAAATTTTGGCTTAATTCCATTTGTAAAAAATGTAGTTATTTAGGATCAAAAGTATGACATGTTTTTTTTTTACAAGGAGTGTGTAAGCACAAGCATGTTGAACTTTTGTTACAGATCACCGCTGTGATTGGTCAGACCATCAAAGGGGAGGGGCTTAATATGAGTCCCTAACCCCCTAGGCCTTTTTTTGCCAGGAACCATCCTCAATCCTCCAAAATCCTCCAAAATCGTTAGACAGTCCTGCCTCAAAATCCATTCCTTCAAAATCCTCATCCCAAAATTGTGCACTTATGTTCAAATGAAGGATACCCAGCGCCTCAATCCTTCAAAATTATCAGACAGTCCTGCCTCAAAAAATGCATTCATCCTCAATCCTCCAAAATCCTCCTCTTCTTCAAACACCATTCATCCTCAATCCTCCAAAATCCTCCTCTTCTTCAAACACCATGCATCCTCAATCCTCCAAAATCCTTGTGTTTCTCAAACACCATTCATCCTCAATCCTCTAAAATCCTCCAAAACTGAAATGAGGATTTTGGAGGATTGAGGTGGGTTTTCAACCTACCCAGTGGTAGCCAGTCAAGTGGTAAGGTGCCCCAGCAATGCCCCTCCATAGCTCCGATGTGATCATTGGAGCCATGGGTGCTGTCATGATGCACAGCGCACAGACAGTGTCTTCAAAAGCACGGCTATTGCGTACGACGTCGTCGGGAAAACCCCGTAGAGTGTTGGTGAGTTCCATGAGACGTGTGATGGCAACACTGGGCATGTAGTCGGTAGTGAACTGCTCTGTTACCTGTTGGGAGTCATACAAAATTCATCCCATTGAAAAAAACGAAATTACTATAGTATATTCTGATTAAGTTTCTGAGTTGTCATGTCAATCACATGTCAGACAAAAGTCATTCATTCTCAAGAAAGTCTCAAGCCCTTAAAATGAACTGAGACAAAGGTATTGTTCATCCCGCCCCCTCTGTTCATTTCAATTCAAAGAAAACTCTTCCAAAGTTTCTTTCTTCTTTTCCACTATCCTTCTTGGGAATAATTGAGCAGAATCTTCTCCTGACAATGGCAACAAAAAAACTAGAGTCATGCAAAGCACAAGTTTCTTGAATACTATACTAAATCTTATATGGACAACTGTACCTCTTGAATGGCTGTATTCCGCAGCTTTCCCAGCTTTGTTTCATGTTTCTTTCTCTTCACTTCAGGGACTTCTTGGGACCACTCCCGTTGGTTTCTTAGTCTGATGAATCTTGTGACGAGAGACCACAATCTGTTCTTCCAACGCATCACTCCGGAAATGGCTGAAGCAAATGTTAGAATATTTGCCAAACTAAATTTGTAAACGATAACAGTTTTAAATCGTCGCTTTGAATAATTTTCCAAAAAAGAAAAGAAAAGTTTTTTGTTTCATTGCTTTGAATGTACAACATTTGCAAACATCAAAAACAAAACTACCAAATTATTATGAAATACTTTACTTTTACTGAACAGCTTTTCTCAATGTTTTATTGTACAGTGATTTGTAATAACACCTATTACTCCACATTCGCTCTTTCGTCATCAACAGTTTTGGTTCAACGGTATAACAAATTGAAGAGTGTTCAAACAAAAATAAGTCTTACTTGAAATGTTCCACGGCATGTCATGCTCAGGTGGTATTCCACTCAAGATGAACAACCGGACTGTATCAATCCCATATTGCTTCGCTGTTTCCTCCGGGTCAACGCCGTTGTGCTTGGATTTGCTCATCTTCTCCCATTTGGCGATCAGTTTCTCATCGGTATCCTTCTGCACTGGTTCCTCACCTTCTGGGGAAAAACATTAACTAATTATTTAAGTAAAATTGAACTTAAAGGGTCCATGCAATGTAATGTTTTGAATGCTATCCTTGAAAATGCACCTTTGTGTCCCATTTAACCATATTTTCAATTTTTGTTTTACCATTTTGAATTGTATTTTGGTGTCTTTTTGGTTTTTATGCTGATGTTCATTTCCATATTCATGAGCAAAACGGTGATGTCATTACGGACAGAAACAGCTTTTTCAGCACAAAAAGTTGCTAGAATTTAGGATACTTTGCTGTCATAAATTTTCTTTCCTTTGGCGATTCATTGTTGTATAAGTATAACAATGAACCAATTTTTGGTTCACAAGTGGAACAAAAAACCCCTAAACTGAACAGTGTCCTCCTGAGATGACATCATAGCAACAGCACCCTCCATTGTCTGGCAAAGCATGGAAAATGTTAAATGTTTAAAGAAGTGCACTTTTCAAGAAAACGAACCAAAAAGGGATGTCAAATAGTTTTCATACATTTAAGAGGAGTAGCAAGTTGCACAAAATGTGTTCCAAAAAAAATTGATCACATGAACCCTTTAATTTTGAAGACACTGGAAAAGGTGTTACACTACAAAAATACATTCATGTATATGACTATATGATAATTGTGCATCCCAAGGTTGACATTTGACCCACTAACCTTTGAACTCCACCTCCTGTGGCCTGATGTACTGCCCTGTGGATGCCACCCTGTAGCTCTGTCCCATCACTAGTCCCTGGGTCAGGAGACAGGCGAAGGGTTCCTTGTGAGCCACTAAGCCCTGGTCGTGGAGGAAGTGGTTGATGAAACGGGCGTAGAGTAGATGCATGATGGCTGAAGAGTCATCAAGAGGAAAACATCGCAAGTGAACCAAAACTGAGAAAATTGGTTTCTTAGAGACAAATTTCAAAATAGTAGCCAGGCCGCGAATTTTCTTTTCCCAAACGACATCCGCACACATGGTTATTTAGTGCCCTCTACGATACTTTTATGATACGTACGCAGGTATATAATTATTTTTTTGCCCACGTTTTATCGAGCAGTGCGATAGCTCGGTCGATACAGGGTCGCGATTTTGCACCGCGAGGTTGCGGGTTCGAAACACGGTTTTGCACCCGAATTTTTTTTTCTTTTCTAACCTGAGGCTTTGGAGGACTTTTTTTAAAAAGGGAAATAAAGTCCGAATTTCAAACATTCGAATTCATTTTTTTCCTTCTAGTTTTATATTTTCTTCTCATCTTTGTAAAAGTTGAGTCCAAAACGCCATAGCGTACACCCATATGCGGATGTCCTTTAGGAGAAAAAAATTCGCAGCCAGGCCAGCGTTCCTTAATCCCTTCAACAAAAGAGAACATTGCGGCTCTTGGTTATGAGACAAATTTGAAATGTGTCTTGTGTGTAATAACATTTAAAAGTTTGTTTAGAAAGCATCAGATAGGTAGTCAAGATGTCAGAAGTCATCTATTCTCAAGTAAGGTCAAGGCCCAGCTTAACAGTTAGCAGAAAAGTTGTGCTTACTTTAGCAGAAAAATGTGGTAACTTTGAGCACTATTTCATGATGTGGATGTGCTAACGGTCGTGTGCGCATGGGGATTTCTATTGTTACGTCAGTGGTTTAAGCAAATTTTTCCTCTGAGGTAAGCGTGCCTTTTGCTGTGCTCACTGCTTACGGTCTCCATGAAATAGACGGAGGCTCTGTTAGCAGCAAATCATGTGCTTAGCAGCGCCGTGAAATTGGGCCCTGTTTCAATGAACTAAAACGAGGCATTCCTTTGTCACTGTTCATCCCCTGCTACTTGGGACCTGGTTTGTGATTGACTTGTGATGGACATGTGATTTGAATTGTGGTGGACTTATGCTTGACTCGTGATTGACTTGATTGAAAATAATGAACTTGTGATTTGATTCGATATGAATACATAGTTTTTAAGAAGCTCCCTTATTACACTATTGTCATACCATGCTCTTTGCCTCCGATGTACAAATCAACCGGCATCAGCCAATCAGCTGCCTCTTGCCCAAATGCTGCCTTCTCATTGGCTGCGTCAGTGTACCTCAAGAAATACCAGGATGAGTCCACAAATGTGTCCATGGTGTCTGTCTCCCGCTTCGCATCACCACTGCATTCAGGGCACCTCACGTTGACCCAGTCTGTCGCCTCTGCCAGGGGCGACATTCCCTTTCCAGTGAGGGTGTTTAGTTTGGGCAGCACTACAGGAAGATCCCCTTCCGGAACAGGAACAGCCTTCATGATTTATAGAGAAAAAAAATGAAGCTTATTTTTAAACGTCGGTTTACTAATATATTTCAGTAAGATTTGGAGCTTGGCATGAAGGAGAACTATACCACTAATTGTACTTTGTGAACTCTTACCCCACACTGGTCACAGTTGATGATTGGTATCGGAGTGCCCCAGTAACGCTGTCTGGAAATCAACCAATCAAACTGCCTGGGGCTTGTCATGTGACCTCCTACATTCAGATCCCTTGCATGCTGCATGACGGCCGCCTTGGCTTCATCCACTGTCAATCCTGTGAACTGGAGAGAAAATGAAAGATTTAATCCGCACATCGATACCATTTTCATAAACAACCCCTGGCGAATGAACAACAAGTATGACAACGTATCCAGCTCATGGACACAAGTACTAGAACAGCTGATGAGTACTAGACTGGAAACAACCAGACTTGAAACCTGAACTCAACACAGCTACCCCAAAACAACTATCCCCCAAAATATGTCTTGCCTAGTATTAATAAGAAAGCTCACTGTTATCCGCAAGCTATCGACTTGTTACCCGGCGACCTTTCACCTTATCTGAGTTCATCAGTCTGGCCTCCCCGCTTCCTCTATCGATGACCGTCTCAAACGAGACACCGTGCAGCTCAGCAAACTCTCGATCCTCCCAGCAGAAGCAAGGGATTCCCAGCGAGGACTCCACGTTCTCCTGGAAGGGGAGGCGGCTTGAGGCGAAGACGGGGATCGACTTCTGGGTCAGAGGATGAAAGGCACTGATGCCAAGATTGATGTCTGGAACAGACAAACGCAAGCACAATTGTTATACTATGGTATTAGATTGTGAAATTTCATTTCAGCGGCTGATGTACAGGGTGACCCCCAAAAAATGCAACCCTAAAACATTTGCCTTTTAAAAAAAAACAAGGGAGCGGTGGATTTTTATGTTTTTGGTATTAGATTAAAGCTGAGAGCTTTTTCTTTCAAATACTGAAAAAAATCATGAAAATAGCACTTTGGGTTGCTGAGATAATGCCAATTATGTAAAATTTGTAGTCATTGTTCATCATGTACACACAAAAATACCACAGTATTAAAGGGATTTTCACTGTACCTATTTGTGCATATCCTAATACTTACAAACAACATAGCACATAATATAATAAAAGTACAAATGAATTTGATGGAAATACCTTTTACTTTCCACCTGAACAGGTATCTCATCCTGTTTAGCCCTATTTAAACCCTTTCAGCATCATAAACATGTCAAAGAAATTGCACAAATGAAGGATAATTGCACAGTAGGCTTACAGTCAAATGTTTCACTGTTTGAAGTACTTGTGTACAGGATGAAAAATGACTACTTTTACATAATTGGCATTTTCTCAGCAACCCAAAGTGCTATTTTCATGATTTTTTTCAGTATTTGAAAGAAAAGGCTCTCAGCTTTAATCTGATACCCAAACATAAAAATCCACCAATCCTTTTTTTTTTAAAAGGCAAATGTTTTAGGGTTGCATTTGTTTTGGGTCACCCTGTATAACGACCTGATGGACTCCGCAGAGTTCATCACCTCATGTACCTTGGGTACAAAGCTTTGATCATTCTCAAAGACCTTTGAATCTTTTCGTCTCCACTGCTTTGTACAATACAGCTAGAATAGGCCCTGTGTGTATTATAAGGTAGGTGTTGTAATCCGGAGCGTGCATATGCACAAAGAATTAAGCTCGTCAAAAAAAAAAAAAAAAAAATTTTATACGAACGATTTTTCAGTGTAGTGGTCATTCATTGTAGACCATTCTGGGCACGTTAGCATTTGTATCACGAGGGCCCCCTTGAATGGCGGAAGCATTGTGCTAGCAATTGTTCAGATAATCCATGACAGAGCAGTAGCTTTGCACCGGAGCATGCACAATAGTTTCTCCATTGAAGGGGGCCTCGAGAGTCTACAGTGATCGCGTGCCCGGATTCATCTATAGCAAATTTAAACTGCGAATGCTTGGCATAATTGTGTTATAGCTGTGTTCATTATAGCAGAGTTCATCTGTACGCATTTGAAGCAGTAGGTAGATGCATCAGATCACACACACACACCCGTGTTTGTTTTACATACCTAGTGTGGACATTCCTTTGTTTTCGTGTAGTTAAGAAAAACCAGTGAAAAAAACTCATTTTTCTCAAACTGTGAAAACTCTTTCAGCCCAATTTTTTTTTCTATGATTCCCTTTAGTGTTTCTCTTCATTTTGCCACATATAAACCTCACCCAAAAATGCCTCTAAACCTGTTTTCCAGAGAGGAAAAAACCTTGTGTGGACGTGGGCAAGTCCACACAACGTCGCTGCTACCTGGTTTATGTGGACATCTTTTGTTTGGAAGTCCACACAGTGGATGTAATGCTTGTCCACCGGAGCTCTTGTGCATAATCACACAGTTCTATCTTATGTTTCTGCTCAGAGTCTGAATCCATACCTAATTCTGTAGACTCGATCTGCTTCAACTGCACTCGCACAGCAGGGGACAGACGGTTGAGAAATTCCTTCTTCTTCAGCAGGATGTGGGTGGGTGCTAAGACGATGTGCGATGCGCCGTAGATGAGCTCAGGATGTGCGGTGTGGATTGGGAGGTCCGTGTTGACATGCTGCGTTGAGTCCTGTGGATTACGAAGAAATATGTGGAAACATTTCTAGTGGACTCAGTAGACATGGCTATTAGTGGATTGTAGTGATACGTACAGAAACATGAGTTGACATTAACATTAAAATCTTAACATCAGTGGATCATGTTGAAAAATGTCCACATTTGAAGTTACAAGTGAAATTCATGAACTGTTTTTAAAGATATAGTCCATCATTTGTAATTTGTGCATTTTGTTCGGTTGAAGCAACAAAAGTGTTCAAAATCTAATGAAGGATACTGAGCAACTAACCTGATGAAGTTTCAGCTCAGCTTCAGCTGTATATTCCGAGAAAAACAGCATTCTAGGATCTCAATTTCAAATCAAAAGTTGCTGAATCATGTTTTGAATTGGGCCTGAATTCAGCGTCCGAGACACGTTCTCACTGAGCCGATTGCAGCTACGCGATGTCGCGCACAGATCCGACGAATAATAGCAACCGCGCGCGCGTGTGCGTCGTGCCAATGCTTGCGCGCGCTTCGCCGAATAACAAAACAAACTACTAATTTAAATTTTCCTACGGTGCGTCTTAAGATGCACCGTTGGAAAGGCCTTCTTTCGTTGATTACTTCAAAATGACAGCTTGCCAGAAAGAATAATTTCACAGGGAGTTTAGTCCACTTACTATCTTTCAACCAAGTATGTTATTCAACAATAATTACGCCAGTTACTTTTCAGATGGCTGCAAATGATGGACTATAGCTTTAAGTCACTCTTTTTTTCACATAACAGAGCAATCTTCTGAATTGTACCTGCAGTGTGAAGTTGAAGGCACAGCCACTGCAATCTCCTATCCAATTGGCCTGCATGCTCTTGACACCGGCTGGCCAGTGGGGCAAGTCCTCCAGCCCGTCCAGCAAAGACTGAAGGATTTGGAGAAAGAATTGAAAGAAAAATTTAGAAACTACAACTAACTTCCAGCATCAAACAGTACAAACAGGAAGCAATAACAAATCTTGTGTTTCAGATACAAAACACAATCAGCAACAAAAACATTTAAGTTGTTTTTTAAACATAAGTGTGAACAATTATGCCATTTACTCTCCTGAATCCACCCTTGAAAATCTTTTACTAAGTGAATATTTTTGCCTTTTTGTCTAACCTTGGAGTAGTGTGTCATTTTCAGGAACCATTGTTTCAGGAGCTTTTGTTCGACTATGGCTCCCGATCTCCACGAGCATCCATTCTCGTCAACCTGAATTTAAAGAAGTATAAAATACAGAACTGAAAAAGGAAAATTTCAGTTAGAGGTTGTGTTTTTCAGTAAAACCAAAGTTCATTCATCTCTGATTCAGTAGAATTCTGCTCTAAATACAAAAATCTGAATAGGGTCACAATACGGAAATATGATTGTGAATAAATTGAAACACTAGATTGTGATTTGTACATTTGAATGAAACTAAAGTAAAGTCTGAATATTTCAACTGTTCAATTCTCCCTAACCCTAGTCCTCCCAATCCATCTGGAGGTTTGAAAGGATTTTGTTAGACTGAAGGTAGAGCCCAGTAACTGTTGCAGTTGTATGGGGCTTATTCCCCTTGGAGTGTGGCCTAGTGGTTACGGTCGGTGACTCATGATCAGAGGGTCAGGGGTTCGAATCCAGCTGCTGGCCATATGTTGTGTCCTTGGGCAAGCCACTTCACCCCCACTTGCCTCTCTCCACCCAGGAGTATAAATGGGTACCGGCTTTAGCTGGACTAGCATCCCATCCAGGGGGAATAGAAATATTCTCAGGTTGTTTCATGCTACTGCAACCAAAGATAAATGCCGGTCTAATGGGTTACACTGGAGTTTTTATTTTATCCCCCTTGAAATCTCAAGTACAAAGAATCGGCAGTTTCCTGGACAGACTGGACTATAGACGACTCAGGATGGGTCCTTATAAAATATGCACTGAGTGTTATAGAGCACTGATGCACACAACATATAAAGAGGACTTTGACTCTATCGGTAAAACTATCAGATGAATGTTTGTCTTCTTGACCTGTTCCTTGGCGAGCACGGTTTGATCGACCGGGTCCCAGTTGACCAGCGCTTCTTTCTGATAGGCCAATCCCGCCCTGTACAACTTGACAAAGATGCTCTGCGTCCAGCGATAGTAATCTGGATTGCAAGTAGTTACCTCCTATGTCCAGAAGAAAAAAAAGAGAAAGATTTTGAGACCGAGTTCAGGTTTATGAGACACTAATGAAATGACAACCATTATAATATTTTGTAGGGGTCAACTTACCCTATCCCAATTGAAACACATACTCAGATCTGTCAACTGCTTTTTCATGTATTCTATATTGCTGTTGAGAAGAACAAAGTGAAAAGATCTTATGTTTTATAACCATAGCTACAAACAACAATCAACATCAAGAAGCATTTACTTTTACACAGAAGATTCTCAAAAGAAGAGAAAAACATTCTTGACCCATGGGTGATTAAAAATTCGAAGATGAAACCTAACCCTACGTGATCATTCAAATGAACCCGGATGTTTTGAGGGTTAATGGGATCGAGAAAGGTTTAGCCCAGGTACTATAACTTTGTGGGGCTTGATGGGACTTAACAAGCTTGATGCTCTACAAAAGTTACAGAACAAAAAATGTGCCGTTAAGATTTTTGCAAAGTACAGGATTTGAAGGATTGAAGAAAGTTCCAAGAAAAACTCCCTAGGGGGTTAGAGTCAGAGCAGTTTTTGTTCAAAATCATTACACAAATGTGCAATTTGACTTCACCAAGACTTGGGAATCATGAAAGTCTACTTCCCAAGCCTGCGTCATCTGAAGGTTACCTGTAAGTCCAGTCATCTGGTTTGAGTTTTCTTTCGATGGCGGCATTTTCAGCTGGAAGACCAAACGCATCCCATCCCATCGGATGCAGCACCTGAATAAGACAGTAATTACTATCAGCCTTGCCCATGTTCTACAGAGTCCACATCTCCTGTGGATGGACAGAGTATTCTGTGTTTGACAGTCAAGATAAGACTTTTTTATAGAAAATATTGATATTAAATTGATGTCATCTGCAAGCCTCGTTCTTGTATTCATTTCGTCGTGCAAAGCTTCAAGTCATATGTTGAACTGACTACCTTTCTTTGTTCCACCCACAAGAAATCAAAAGAAAAACACTATGTGCAGTTGTGACTATACTGTGTATGAGAGTCCTAAAACGTAAGGTATTGAAAACATGCAATACAAGAAAATTGGCACCTGAAACAACCAGTCCAACAACCCCTCAGTACTGTATCAATCAACTGTGCCCAAAGAAATATCCAGGATGTCAGGTATATAGTCAGCCACCAGACTCATGACAATGAATGAAGAGGTCAGTCTTTTCAAACAGTTGCACCGGTGTTTGGACATGTACTAGTCTAGTCTTTAGCCTCATTTTGAAATCACCTGACTTCTCTCTCATGTGCAAAATATTGAAGAAAAGTCTCTTTTACAAATTGAATTGAGTCTGCAAACTTGGTTGGTGAAATACAGAGGATCTTTTCTTTGCCCAATGACAATTTTGGAGAATTTTGCTGGCTAATGAGTGAGTAAAGTTGGCCTGATTTAGTTTTGCATGTTTTTCAGCACTCAAGTTTTCAGTCTGACTTGGAACGTAAAGTGTCCTTAATTACAGCAAAAAGGCCACCATAACAAACGCAACTACACCGGACATTCCCCTTTGGCTCCAATGTAAGAGTGCTGGCAGTCCAAACTCACAATAACGAATGACCACAATGCCAAACCATCTTTTGTGGACCCCACCGTGGTCATTATGGGGTAGTTCTACCAAAGTCTTTTCAAACCACTGACCTGTTTGCCATTCAAACGATGGAAGTGGGCAAAGGTGTCGCTGATGGTATAGACTCGGACGTGTCCCATGTGCAGCCGCCCCGAGGGGTAGGGGAACATGGACAGGACATAATACTTTGGTCTCTCGTCCTACAACGGAGGAAAAGTGAAAGTTCAAAAAATAGTTGAATATTAAAGTCAGGAAATGCTCTGCAAAGATCCTTGTATAAATTACTTCAGCTGCATGTTTCTAGAGCACTAGTCCATTTTTGTTTCAGGTTTTTTTCAGAGGCTGGGGCATTATATGACACCTGATGGTCATCTCAAAACAGTGGCTGTTAAATTGGAATGGGTTAGTTTTCAGAGGTTTCCCTTATAGGAGGGGTGAAGAAACTTGGTGCTGCGCCTTTCTTTACAGAGGCTCAAACTCCCTACGAATCCCTTTTTATTAAATTGTTTACGTCATGTTTAAGCTAAACTGTGTATGCTCAAAACGACGCAAAGTACCAAGGAAAAAGGACAGTGTGTTTGCTGCCACCACCGTCTCAAAAGTCTCCCATTAAGGCAACTAAAAACCTTTTTCTGAATTTCTCAACAATTTTGTAATGTGGGTCCATTCAATTAAATTGAATCTGAATTGAAACATATATATATGATTTGTTGACAGAAATGCCGGCGTTAGGTATAACTTTTTTATCAACCAGCTTCCCCCTCCACACTCGACTCTAAATGCTTTCTCTTGTCTGAAATTATATGTTGTTACCTGTTTGTTGAGAGTCAATTCTTTACTGTACGTCTGTAGTTTATCCTTCCAAAATGCCTCTAACTCTTCACGGGTTTCCAAAGAAAACTCGTCCACCTGAAATTTAAGGAATGGTTACAGTTTTTGAAATGTAGTTAGATCTTTTGTTGAGTTCTGGCTTCAAGTTCATAAATGATATAAAAGGCACACAGGGCATTCAAGTTACTGATGAGTTTGATGATAAACCATGTAGTGAAGAATATCTTTTCTGTTTCTGTTTTAGTGTTTTCATAATGACATTTTTTTTTAGATTATCACTTCCTTACCCATTTTCCAGTTTTGCTGTACAAACTTCTAGTCAGTTTCCTCCAAAGCTTCAAATGGCAAAACTTCACTCTTACTAGTGGACTTGAGAGAGGTCGGTGGTAAAGAGCCATCGTTACTGTCCTTTAAGGCCAAATAAAAAAAACATGTTTAGCGTCCTTTTTTTTTCGAAACAACCGGCCAGGCTATTTTTCCGATATGGCCGCCAGCTTTTCTTTTTAAATGGCCGCCACTTGGACTCAAGAAATGACATACCAGCTTTATATGGGCTAGATGTAACAAACAAAGAGGCAAAAATGATGTGGGTTTTTTTGGTTAAAAAAATTAATAAATAAAGGAGGCGGCCTCCAAAAAGGAAGTGGGCAGGGACACTTAACATGTTCATTTAGGCTGTTATCCAAAACATTAGGATAATTAGGTTTTAACTTTAGCTGAATTTTGGCAACGTGCACAGCATTGCCCGCCATCTGGCAGAGTCACACCAATTAATTAAACGGTGTCGGTAGCCCCATTAATGTGGCCAATTTACTGGACTACCTCCGTAAATAAAGGCCACACTTGGAACATGTACCCGAAAATGTAGAAGTAGAACTTTGTCATGTTTGTCAAGTTTTTATTTTCACATTTAGACTTTGTTTGTAGTTTATTTATGCTTCAGAAGCACACTCACCCCCTATGAAGCGATAGAAAATTAGTCCCCCCTTTTTCAGATGTCTATTTTTTGTGTACTTTCGTGTTGGAATTTAGATATGCAAACATGTGCAAAATGAACGTTTTAAAGAGGATGAGTGTGCTTCTAAAGCATAAATAAACTACAAAGTATAAATGTGAAAATAAAAACTTGTCAAAGTTCTACATATTCGGGTACATGTTCCAAGTGTGGCCTTTCTGGTAGCGTAGTAAATTGGCCACACGATTTGGGCTAATCAAAACGGCAGTGTATATTTGATTTAGGACTACTTGCACGGATGTGAATGAAGGTGTTATGCGGGCGTTTGTGTAGTTGCGGACCCCGTTTCTATAAATAAAAATAAAAAGTTACTTTCAGTGTGCAAAAAAGTTAAATTTTTGAGACCTTTAATTACAGCGACTTACCCAGTGCAGTGTTACCTCATGATGTACATCATGGGCGCTGCCATATTGTACTCGTTCAACATGTTTAATACAATGAGAACTTTACAGCTCTGCATCAAAAAACTGTAGTACTAAAGAAAGTACCATGAAAATATTAACTTCAAAAATATATGTGAAAAAATTATTTTAGCTAAATAATGCACATTTGTGTACAAACAATATTAAAAAAGTAATTTATTTTACGTTCGAGACAAAATTTTCCCATAAATCATTGCGCCAACATCCCGTATAGTCTGGTCCCCGATTAATGATTTTGGCACATGTGTAATCTACAATACGATTCTCGTGTTGGTATTGCAGGTTTCAATCATCCTCTTCGTGGGGTGAATTGTGACCCGGTGAGTTGAGGGGAAATGAAGCCTTCAGCATCTGAGAAATATTTCAACCATCAAATATTGTAAAATAAAATAAATATATTTTTTAGTTGGGCACATATTGAGTAATTCTTTACAGTATTTATTTTGTGAAAGCGTGATCTGGATTGGCAGTAATAAGTCATTATCTGTCGGTCATTGGGTCACGATACACATACATCAAAATGTATGTAACGTTATGTGTTTCGGGTTTTTAGATGGCAGTGTATTATTAAGCCGGGCTTTCTAAAAGTAAACGATATTTTGCCGGATAGTCACTGAACATGCGCAGTGACTGTGTTTTGTGATTTTTACCGAGACAAACATTCTTGGGCCATGAGCATAAGCCTTATTGCAAATAAATAGGGAAAAAATTCTGTTGCCGTGTTGGTGGCCCAGTGCAGTGGTATGGAATTCTTTCTGAACACAGGCAGACAGGGCCACTCCATTCTATACCCGCGCATCCATGGCTGTGTGGATGCGCAGTTGGCTCTCGTATTATAGTTCCCTCTATTGATTACAATTTACTTCACGCCCACTCCACATCTGCGCATCCACGCATCCAATAAATCGCCCTCTATTGATTACAATTTACTTCATGCCGACTCCGCATCCACGCATCCAAGACGGAGTGGATAAGTCAGGGTTGGTTTTAGATAGGAAAATAAAGTAGTGATTCCTAGGGTAAATAAAACATCCTCTAATGATGACAATTTACTTTATGCCCGCCCACCCACCCCGCATCTGCGCATCCAAGACATCCCAAACCGTCTCACTCATCAGTATTCACGTACTTGTCAATAATTCACTCTCTATAGCGCCCTCTATTTATTACAATTTACTTCATGCCCATTCACTCTCTATACCGCCCTCTATACATCCACTCAGGGCAACTCGATACTTGTACCATGATCATTCAATTCTAACAACATCACGCGTTCTCTAAAGAGTGCCATTCTAGTACTATGCATCACATCGCATCCAACTACCAAAAAAACATGGCCCTGCATTCTATAGTTGCTCCGGGCCCCTGTTTAGTTTCGATAAAATTAGTGTCATTGTCAAGGTAGCCCCCTAAATGTGGCCAATTTACTAGACTACCTCCGTATAAATAAAGACCACACTTGGAACAACTACCTGAAAATGTAGAACATTGTCAAGTTTTTATTTTCAAATTTAGACTTTGTTTGTAGTTTATTTATGCTTAAGAAGCACACTCGCCCGCTTTAAAGCGATAGAAAATTAGTCCCCCTTTTTCAGACATATACATTTTGTGTAATTTCCAGGTTCATTTTGCACACGTTAGCGTATCTAAATTCCAAAACAAAATTTCACACAAAATAGACGTCTGAAAAGGGGGGACTAATTTGGTGTTCAATCCTCACCTGTGCGTGAGATTTTCATCCTTTCCTTGACACATCACTTGACATGATTTAAATCAGTTGCATATGAATACTTATCTTTCCATCTGAATGCCACAGGTATCAAGATGACGAAACGACGGAATAGCGTCATCCCCAACACCCACTTCCGCAAAAACTGGCAGGAGCGTGTGAAGACATGGTTCGACCAGCCCATGCGCAAAGCCCGCCGACGCAAGAACCGCGTCAAGAAGGCTCTTAAGATTGCTCCTCGCCCCGCATCCGGACCCCTGCGTCCCATCGTACACTGCCCGACCTTCAGGTACCACACTAAGGTCAGGGGAGGACGAGGCTTCTCTCTGGAAGAACTGAAGGTGACTAATGACTTGAATTTCCCATCCTAGTTTTTTGTTACATCAAGCTTTGAAGTTGAATCTATCAAAATCCAACAACAAACTATTTCTATTGTGTCTCAAAAATATGTGTTGGCTGTATTGCACTCAGGTGTTCATAAGTTGCTGTGTGTAACCATTCAGCACTCTAGACTCGAGAAGCATTCAATGGGCAGTATGTGCTTTTCACATTACCCTCAGTAGTCAGATGGTCTCCAGCCCTCCCACTTGTCCGTTTTGTGGGGGCTGGGTGACCGAGTAAACAAAATCTGGCTACCTTCCGAAACCGGAGTAGTTTGCTGCCAATAAGCCATTTGCGAGTTAAAGTTGAATAAAATCTGGAACGGTGACTTAATACTATATAGGAGACTGTTACTATATCACGTGATTCGGGGCAAGCCTTATGCTAGCAACCCCAAGCTCCGGCATTGTCTGGTATCTTTGTGCCATTTTCACCCATTGTGAACGATGAGCGTCTCTTACGTAACTTTGCAAGAGCTTGCCCCGAATCATGTTATTAGCAACCGTGTCTTTGGTCTGGAGAATTTACAGTTGAAATGTTCCAAGCATTCTGAGCAAGTCAGTGTACCAGATGTTTTTCAAATTTAAATCCCAAAGGGTATAGGTCACTGGCAAATGGCTTATTTGTCATCACCCCCCCCCCCTCCCCAATTAAAATTGGTGTGGCAACACCTGAAAAGAAAGTTGTGTCATAGATGAGTACTTGTCTTAAATGAAGTACTTAGGACTTGCGTGCTGGTTGGTCTCACTATTGGAATTTTTACTGCATTGTCTTCTCTCAGGCTGCTGGGATTTTTAAGCGGTACGCCCCTACCATTGGTATCGCCGTGGACCATCGGAGAAGGAACTCATCTGTGGAGGGTCTGCAAGCCAACGTCCAACGTCTCAAGGAGTACAAATCCAAGCTGATCCTGTTCCCAAGGAAGGCCGGCAAGCCCATGAAGGGTGATGCTGAGGTGAGCAATTTTCTTCTTGGCATTCCCCCTCTAAATTTTGGTCTTCGTACAGAATCAAGCGAGGAAACTGATAAGGAATTATTCACAGTTAAGCCATAGTACTACAATTATTTGTAGCATGTTGTCGTTTCATGTTTTTTGTTGTTGGAGGCACTCACCCATGAAAACATTAAGCAAAAGGGTTATCGAAGGGACACCCTATTTGTCCAAAAATCATCATCAGAATCAGAGGTCTGCAGAATTCCCCAACTTAGACCTCCCAATCTGAATTCTTTTGAATTTTCATATTTCATGTAGGACCAAAAAAACAAAATAGTTCTGCTTCCGATTACATGGCATTTGAAAGTAGGGTAGGAAGGTAGGGAATTTTTGTGGGGTTTTTTTTTTGGAAATTTTTTTTGGTGAACGATCATATGGAGGTGTCTGCGTGTAGTAAAGGGTAAAAGGTAGTAATTGATGGTTTTCGGGGGGGGGGGGGTTCCCTCATTTTACCCAAAAAAATTAGGGTAGGGGCTGTCAAAATAGGGTAGGTAGGGTAACAGGAAGCAGAACTGGTTTTTTTTTCTCTCTTAGATCCTTCAAAAAGCACTAGGTGATTTGGGGAGACTTTTGGAGGATTGAGGAAGATTAGGCCAGCCAATGTTGCCTTTTATAGAACTTGATGTCCCTAGAAACTTTCATTCAAAAAAATATATCCCAAAGGATTCCTTCTCAATTGAGTGACTTCTAGGATTCAGGACAATTCCTAAAAAAACAGTGCATAATGTGCTGGGTAACCCTAACCAACTAGGAAGTGTGAAAACTCCCATTAAATTGGAGGATCTGGACTGTTAGGGTTAATAGTTCTGAACCTGGTCCCAAATTTTGACCAAGTTTAATGCAGGTGTCACATTAAAACCAAATTGTTATCTACTCCCCCCCCCCCCCAATTTTCAGGAAGCTGAACTGAAGTTGGCCAAGCAGCTGGAGGGTCCCGTCATGCCCATCAAGCCGGTCTTCAAGCCGGAGAAAGCCCGCGCCATCACGGAGGAAGAGAAGAAACACAGCGTGTTCCAGGCCCTGCGTATGGCGCGCACGGGGGCCAAGCTGGACGGCATCCGAACCAAGAGACGAAAGGAGAAGGAGGAAGAAGAACGCGAAAAGGCCACTCGCAAGAAGTAGAGATGATAAACGTTCATGCTTGCTCTCCTCAAAGACACACCGTAATCACCCTTGACCTGGCTTGGGTCCATTTTTGTTGAGCTGCTAAGCAGAAATTACTGCTCACCAAAATTTTTCAGCTAAGCCTAAATTTGCTGGGAACCAGCTTTGTTGCATAAAGATCACATGACCTTTTGGCTGGTAACCCGTGTTTGCTCAGCAAAATTTTTGTGCTTAGCATCTCCAGAAAATTGGCCTCTGAATCAAAACTCTCCCGGACCTGCGATTGTAGGTTTGGAAACCTGTACCTGTTGGAACACGCTAACCTGTAACTTTTGTTAAGGGAATAAAAAAAGATCTAAGCCTCAAAACAGCTCTGTGATGTGTCTGTCTTACTTCATTTGGTGTCTTACTTGATGTCAGATGTATTTGTAGTCAATGAAATAGTCGTTTGCATACAAGCGTCTATGATATTTGCACAGATTCAACGTTTAATTATGCAAAACAAAACTGCGTCTTGACCTCGAGATTCTGACCATTCAGCAGGAGCCTTCTGTCAAGTCTTCCGTAACCCGTTCTTGTTTTACAAAAAACATGGGAGCAAAACGGACCAATCAACAGCTTCTACATTTCTAATCGAAATGATATAACAGTTTCTAAAGTCGACCCCAATTCACTGATTGACTGGCGAGCGGGGTCACATAAAATTTGCATGTAAAAATATATGAGACGTTCGTTTGTGTGCTCTGCACACGTGAATGTTTGATACTCGGACTGATGTAATTGTAGATCTTTGCAAATTATAATTATTTTCATCTTTTTAAATGGGTTACTATGGCAGTTGTTGACCTTGAATACTAAGGCTTGAATCATTTCCCTGCCTGAAGCCCTGTCGATTTCGTTTTTGCCTTTCCCACATATTTTTCGTTGTCTCCACTAAGTTGGTCAGGAGGCAGGGAGGGTTGTTTAAAAGACTAGTGTCGTGGAGAAATTCCCCTTTTGTGCCACACAACATGGGACGTAAAAAAGCCACAGATCAGGAACTTCATACTGTGTCAAAATTCAAGGTTTTTTATTCTGCACACCAGCACATAATGTTCATAAATTTATGTGAATAGACAAACGTATAGGACATTGTGACGCCTTCAGAAACCTACTTATGGGCTGTTTCTTGCCAAATTCAATGGTTTGACGAGTTTCAAATCGCAACTAAAACAGGCTTTCAGGCCTAACCCTTTGAAACGGAACTTTGACGTTTCTCAGTTAACTGAAACAATTGGAAAGACGTACGTATCTCTTATCCACCAGATCGATCGGTTTAGTGGCTGTCGAATTTAATATGATCCAGCAAGCACAATAAACATATACGGCAATACCACAAAGAAAGACAAATATTCAATAAATTTAGACAAAGTCGTGCTGCCGAGTGTAACAAATAATTGTTTACAAATATACAACTTTAGTGCCAAAAATTACAAGCATTTTTCTTACATAGCAAATGTACACGGTGAATACAAAATGCAGGCCTTTGAGGTTTGAGGTGGTGTTTGTGGCGGGGTCTGTCGATGCGACTTTCATAATAACATCTTGTGACTTTTGTGGCTTTCTTATTTAAGTGGATGATTTCCTCGGAAACGGTTTCTTAGTGATTTAAAAAAAATATATAAAGACGCACAGGCAAGGCTTCAAATATACCTAGTGTTAGGTAACACAAATATGCAACACATTTTTTTTTAAATAATTTTTTGTGTGAAGTTTCTGAAAATGCCATATTTCTCTGGAACAACTTCCACAATATGCAAAAACAGGTCTCAACTCCAATAACAATATTATATATAAATACGTGTACATCTGTGCCGGGTCCACCAGTGTGGTTTTTTTTCCGGTTTTTTTTGCGTGCCACACTACAAAACAGTATCGGTCAAAAAAAGATAAATAACGCAAAATAAGACGTCTTACGTTAATAATAAATAAGAATTCAGCTCTTAGTGCCTAAATAATCAATCTGTAGTGTCTTTGCAGGGGCGGATCCGGGATTCTTGGAAGGGAGGATTTTATGTTCAGCTGCTTTCCCTCCTTAGGAGTAATTTTTACGCAGTTTAGTTTTGAAGGCGGACGGTGCTGATTAGACTACACGATGCGTGTTCGTAAAAGCTTCCATTATTCGGGGGAAAATTAAAAAAAAAAAAAACATGTAAACGAATGGGGTTCAGGACTTCGATAGTATAGACCTTTTTTTCACGAGTCGGCCATATTAAAAATTGAAGGTGAGGTAAACTCTTCGTTTTTGGAACTTGCGAGTACAAATGAAATGAAATAATAGTTCATTGCAAGTTAATACCAGTCTGCTCTGATGAATAATTAAAAATTTGTGATTAAACATAGCCTAATGTTTAAAGCCACATTTAAAACAAAAATGAAAGTGAGGCTTAGAACGCACTACAATCATAAAATAGTCTGGCACCATCTCATTCAACAGTTTACAATTGATAAAATAGATGCAGGGAACACGATCGAAAATGGCTTTCTCGGGAATAAAGGCTATAGGCCTTTCTTTTGTTTGTAAACATTGGCGCCATTTTGTATGGGCTGCCGTAAGCGCATAAATTGAAGCCGTGGTTGGCAACATATTTTTCCAAAAAAGTCCCCATAACCCCATCAACACATAGTAAAAAGGCATATGTAGGAATTATTTTGTAGCTTTGTTGAAAATGTTGTATTTTCAAGTATAAAATAATATTTTGGGGATCTGTAATAACTCTTCTTCATTTTTACAGTGTTGGACCTTCCATAGTTTTGCAGGCCGTGGTTGGCAAAAATGCATAGTGCCAACCAAGCGCAGAATGGTCTATACCCAGCACACCTCAATAGCAGTCTTAGGTATGACGGTGTTTTTTAACACTTGAGGGCGCTGGCTTAATTGCACGTTCCACCTTTTCTAAAAACATTTATTTAAAAAAAGAAGAAGGGGGTATCAGGACCCTTTGACACTCCTTTTTCTTTGGATCCATCCCTGCAAAATTTACAAATAATACATATTTATTTTGGTGAGCCAAGGGTATTGTACAGCCTGCTGTGAATGACCTCCCGGTTGACTTGGTGCGAGAAGCGAGTCTTGTCGGACATGGCTCGGACCAAGGCACTCTGGCTGTCTGCAGTCACGATGTCGTTGATGAAAGTCCCCATGCATTCCAAGCCCCGTAAGCCCATGTTGACTTCAAAGCCTGTATACGGACGAGAAGGATAAGAAAAGACATTGCTATTACCGGAAATGATACCTTAGGGAGACATTACCGTAGGGTTGTGCGGTTGTGCACAATTTTGTTCCCTTATCCTACCCATCGAGCAATCGATCTAGCCTATTTGCGACAAAAAAGTTTTGCCTCTTAATAGAAGTTGTGACATTAGGGAGACATTGAAATGTCTGCCTAATGTCAAGTATCTCCATAAGGTATAACTAATGACGAAAAATGTCTCCTTCAGGATACATTAACAGGAATTAAAGTAGTTCTTCCAATGATATTAGGACAACACCGAGTATGCAGCGTTACCAGCTGCTAGGCTATATCAGATTCGAACAGACAAACCGACCCGGGCAAGCTAGGTGATGGAGACGTATGCACTTGTAGTTAGCAGGAGGTCGTGGGTTCGAGTCCCATCGAGTAAGTTGGTGGTTTTTTCTCACAAGCCCTCGGGAAAACAATAGCATACGGTGTTTAAAAACCTACATCGGTGAAGGGCAAAACTCAATACTAAATTGAAAACCCCTGTTTGTTATAAGTATTTCCAGAGGCGAAAACAGCTACCGGTATTATGTGCCAAAGTTGTCAACGTCAGACTGGTGTCACGTCTAATGCATGACACTAGTAGCGGTAAAAGCGGTATACATGTTTGAATCAACATTTGCGAAACAAACATTTGTTGATTTGAATCAAGACCGGCACTCCAACGGCTTGATATTCGAGAACTATTGTGAATCCGGAATTCCTTCTTGCGAAAATTACACGAAAACCACACATTTTCAAGTTGTGTGCACGTCTATCCTACGTTTAAATTATCTATCCAACTCATTATCATTTCAAGTCGTGGTAAACGCGCTTTCAGAGCTATCCCCCCCCCCCCCCCCAAAAAAAAAAAAACCCGAAAGAAATGCTTTAAGGTAATCAGGAGCGGTCTGCGAGTGAGTCGTGACCGGAGGAAATGGGTTTTTTTCTACATCAGAAAATTTAATAGCAATCCTTAATTTGTTTTCGGAAATTAAATATGCACACCACATATATCACTGTCAGTCGTCATGCATCATGCGCTGATTCCGTATAGTGGGCCTATGTATTGCAGCACGTATCACGTTCATGTATGAAAGGAAAATTGATTGGATTAAGTTCGTGCAATTTGTCAATGTCACCCGAGACGAATTTCATCACTAAGCTGCTTATCCTGTCTGTCTACCAAGAACAGACACAATATGCTTATTGAAAATGGGTGAATATGTATAGCCATACATAGACTGTGGCTGTTTTCAGTAATATTCCTGATGGCACATACATTTTGCTGAGCAGTATTTTCTGCTATAACAGCAAACTTGACGCGTCTGGGAATATAAGTTCGGGCCTATACAGTATGTCCCCAAAAAGTGTTCGTCTGACTATTTTTGAAATAACTACAAACCATGAAGTCAAGTTTGAACATTTTTTGATCATGCAGATACTTCTTATCCTTGGCCTAAACCCCTATGAGTTTCATTTCATTTTCATCACGCCTCACTGCACAATACTGATCACAATGTAAAATCCTGCATGTTGCGAAAAATAGGCTGATGTGTTTTGAGATTGGAATCATTTGCCCTTGAGCATTAAACTGAGGTCTTGCCATGAGGACTGCCTAGCCAGGCAAATGATTCCAATCCCAACCGCAGCCCTTTTCACAACATGAAGGATTTCACACATGCAACTTACATTATAACACAGCACTGAAACTGATTAAGGTCACGGTGCCCAAAATGTTGTTGTGATCAATTGCGGTGTAGTGATGCGTAGCTGATATTCAATGAAAACTCGTCGGGGTTTATAGGCCTAGGATAATGAGTATCTGCACAAGCAAAAAATTTCTAAATTGACTTCATGGTTTTGTAGTTATTTCAAAAATAGGCCGTCGGACACTTGGGGGGACATACTGTAGATTACAATTGGAGAGAAGGAAACGCAGATCACAAACGCAAATCTTCAAAAGTTGGTTGCCCTTCGTGCATAACTTTCAGCTTTGGTATTGCGATTTGCCTTTTTTCCCCAGTTGTGATGCGCGAACTTGACCAGTGACGAAGTCAGGGTAATGGACGAATTACAAATTCAAACCGAGGCTATCATTGCTAAGCCATAATGAGACACTGGAGACCGTTTGCTTTTGTAATCCTCTCCACAAAGGGAAAATTGAGGACCTCGGTGTGAATGCTCATTTAAATGGGATTATGAGGAAGATGAATCAGATATATGCAACAGGGATTGAGGGATTGACAGTAATATAATAATAAAAAAATAACCTTAACTTCATTGGTATTCCTCGGACTCGACGTGTCCCTTTCATTGTCTTATCAAGCAGTTATCGCATAAATCTATGACCTAGTTTGCTATGCTTGAGTAAATTCGCCATATGCTATAACCATCAACAACGTTTAATAAGTTGTTCCGACTGTTGCTATTGGTGTAACATGATTAGATCCATCTGCAATCGAGGGACGAAGCGAAATTGAAATGTAATATCCGAGACATTATTTAAAAAACACAACGCCCCCTGCTTTTGCTCGTCCCTTCAACCATGAATTAGTAATATTATTAATCTTTTTTTTTTGGGGGGGGGGTGGTTAAGAAGTAAATTAGATTCAGAGTAACTCCAAAATTAATAAAATCTAAAACCAAATATTGTTACCTTAAAATGAATACATTGCGTGTGTGTTTACCTTATAAGAAATGTGCTCCATATCGAATAATGTAATTTAGTAATCTACGATGATATTGGGTAATAATAATGATAAAGCGCCTTGAGCACCAATATTGGTTGGTACGTGCGCTTTATAAATACACATTATTGTTACAATGTATTAACATATAGGCCTAATAAATGGGTTTGTTTTGGATGAATTGGGTACATATTCATTTGCAACTAGAGTTTTACCATTATTTTTTCTTAGTTTACTAATTTTAACATTATTTCTCACGAGTATTCTCTTCGAACCATATTGTTGTGATTGTCACTGTACCCGAATCTTGGAAACCGAATAAGGACATTGCTTCACATTTTTATTTAATTAAACTGACAATATAAGGGGACGTTGATTTGATAGATTAAATTCCACACTGTGAACTCAAACTTAAAAATCTGCCTCATTTTCTCCTACTCCGTGAAGAATTACTAAGGACAGGCGCGTCTTTTTTGACAAGAACATTTTTTGAGGTCCATCTTTTGATGATTTTCCCCGCCTCTCCCTTAATTGACAAATTAGTTCCGTGATACATGACGGTCCACCGTAAGCAATACGCGTGGCTGCTCACGGGCAGAATAGCGAAGAACACGTGCTGTGTGTGAGCAGAATACGCATACAAAATCAAACAAAACATGCAAGTGTCAAGTTCTTCGACAGACCGTTTGCTGTTTTTTTTGTTACTGCATGCCACCGATCCGAACAGTTAATTAGCCATCACTGTTTATTATTATTATTCTAACCTTCTCTGACTTGATTATATACTTCTTCTTCTTTCGTGTGAGTTAGTAGTACTGTACATCAGGCTATTTCTTGGAGCTGCGTAAGCCAGTTGATTTGTGCGTCTTTTGGGCACGACAGATCAGTCATCCCGTCAGGAGGTTGGAGGTCGGGGCAGTGGTATAATATATGATCTGCCGTCTGCTCATCTGCACCACAGGTGCATGCCGGTGAATCCCGGAGTTTCCAGCGGTGCATGTTGGCATTGAATCTCCCAACCCCAGTTCGCAGCCGGTTCAGTGTAACCCACTTCCTCCGGGGTAGTTCCGAGCCAGCAGGAGCTTTGGTGCCAGGGGGAACAGTGAACTGCCTTGGGCGAACCGTCCCTTCCCAGCCCTTTTCACTTGATTATATAAACGGACAGTCTGTATTTAGCGCGGAGCCATTCTTACATCTATCGCACCCAATTATACACCGTGTTAAATGATTTGCAGATGATGAGCTCACAACTCCTCAGCGTTTCTTCCCGCCGTTGGGAGACATTCTGGGGGTTTTTCCCCCAGAAGGGGTATCAGGGGCCCAGCTGGGTTTGTTTATATTGCGTATGGATGTGACTTAAGAGACATTTCCAAATGTCAATAGATGATTTTACGAGGTGGAAATATCAGTTGCAACAGACGGAGCAACGGTCACTGTTACTATGGCATTTAGTCTGCGAGTAGACTCCCCACAATGTTTTATTAGCTGTGGGATAGCAGCTCAACAAATCATCATGTCTCTCCGTTATAGTCCGTTAGTTCGTTAGTAACAAACGTTCACAGTGTCTATTGCTCCTGCATATTTTGACCGACTTCAACCAAACTTTCTCAAAGGTATCAGTAGCCCAGCCTCAACATGTCACTTGACCAAACTGGGGTCAAAGGTCATCATGGGGTCACTTGGGTCAAAAACCTGGGGGGGGTTTAAACTCAAAACACTACTCCTTCCAGAAATTACATGGCACAATCACGTGACTCATGCATGAACACGAATTTGTTGACCCGCAGCTGCCGAGATATTTCCGATTGAGCTTGTTTTTTTTTCTTCGATTTCTCCATTTTCGTCCCATCTATCCTGTACACGATATCGCCTGTATACATGATGATGTATATAGTACAAGTGGCCTTCTCATGTTTCACTGCAGACGAACTGACTGGCTGGCTTAACTGTCGCTTGCAAACCGGGCAGTTCTATCGTATAGGATTGTTACCGCGTGTATAACGCCAATGAATTTACTATAAACTCCGGCCCGTTGTGTAGACAAGGTGCACGAAAAGGCATTCAGTGAATAGCCACTCTGAGTCAATCAAATAGAATGTATCAGGTTGACCGTAAGGTCATAGCCAAATTCTGCTAAATGCACATCAAAAATCTGTCAGATTTATCAAAAATCTGCCAAATTCCCCAGAATTACTCGAAATACACTATAAACACTTGAAATCACATGCAGATGGGTAGTATTGCCTTAATTAAGATTCAAATTACATAATAAACAATCTAGTCACATAAAGATGTGAAATTATTGGTACATTTCGGGCAAAACGTGGATCTGGCCACGACGAAGTCCGTTTCCCAGTGAACCTCAGCACCCAGCCAGCCTGTCCCATTATGCAAGGGTTTGTTTGAAAGGATTGAAGCTTTCTTAAACAAATGCACTCAAATTTGCTGTTTTCTCTGTCAAATAACCATTTTTGCAGAATTCTGCCAGAAATCTGCCCAAAAAATCCATTCTGTCAAACTCGTTTTTTAACAAAAATTCTGTCAAATTTAGCCGAAAATCGGCTTAAACGGTCACCCTGGAATGTATACACTCTGGGACCAGCTCTACTAGACTTGCCTAATCGCTTCGGTTGAGCAGAAATTCATTGTTAATTCATTTAGCCACAATGCCTGTGTTCCATCTGACATTCGCCTTTTTCATATTTAATATGCGTCTCTGAAACCCTATCAATATTCAGTGTTATGTAAGCTCGTACACCCAACGGAGGAGCTATTAAAAATAAATCAGCCTTGAACTAAAGCTTGGTTTTCTACAATGTATGTTTTATACCCTTTCGTCCACAAACTGAGGTTTAATGACACGTTGTTTTCTCTCAGATTGTTGCCTTTGGGCAGTTAATTAGAGTCGATTACAAAACAGATGTAAAATTTACCGCCTATAGGCTGAGCTACCTGTGTCCGGAAATGGATTTGTATTGATCCTTGTATAAAGTTCTCGCATTGACAATTTACACGAACTGCTTCCATACTAAGTAGAATATCGCGGAGAACCAGCAACAAGCAAGTATTCATGTGTAAATATCAGCTGGTACTATACTTTAAAGTACTTTTCTTAAATACCATTTAGGAAAACTTTAGCCAGGGCTTGTAACCCAAAAAAACCCAAAAAATGTAATCCTCAGCCGACCAATAAATTTTATCAAAAAAACGGAACTCTTTCGAATTTTGGGTTGGTTATCCCCATCTACGAAGAAAATGCCTTGATGAATAGTTGTGGAGAAGCTGTGCCCATAATGTTGATCTCTTCTCGGCACAAACGCGAATGCGAATTTGTGACGTCATGGCAAGCAATCAAGCTGCGATTTAAAAAAAAAAGTCAACCCATTTCAACTCACCAGCGCAATGTTTATTTATTTTCATACCCTTTCGTCCACAAACTGAGGTAAATGACACGTTATTTTCTCTCAGATTGTTGCCTTTGGGCACTTAATTAGAGTCGATTACAAAACAGATGTAAAAATTTACCGCCTATAGGCTGAGCTACCGATGTCTAGGAATGGAATTTGTATTGATCCTTGTTCTCGCATGGCATTTACAATTTACACGAACTGCGTCCATACTAAGTAGAATATCGCAGAGAAACAGCCAAAAGCAAGTGTTCATGTGTAAATATCAGCTGGTACTATACTTTAAAGTACTTTTCTTAAATACCATTTAGGAAAACTTTAGCCAGGGTTTGTAACCAAAAACAACAAAAAATGTAATCCTCAGTTGACCAATACATTTTATCCAAAAAAAATGTAACTCTTTCGGATTTTGGGTTGGTTATCCCCATCTTAGAAGAAAATGCCTTAATGAATAGTTGTGGAGAAGCTGTGCCCATAATGTTGATCTCTTCTCGGCACAAACGCTAATGCGAATTTGTGACGTCATGGCAAGCAATCAAGCTGCGATTTAAAAAAAAAAAAAAAGTCAACCCATTTCAACTCACCAGCGCAATGTTTTACCGAAAATATTTTCGTGACGTTAAAACAAAAAAAATCCCGTACATTCGCATTTGTTTGGAGCATAAACCGGCCAGTATTCCAAAGAAAACAGCCTTTAGTATCACCAGAAACAGACAGACAAGTAAAACATAAGTGCAGGATCGACCGAGTGATTTTTTTCTGGCTGCTTGCCGTCGGTTAAAGGCAACCCCGAGACCGAGACGTCAATGTAATTTGACAGTTAACCTCAAAGCGCAGCGTTCTATTGACTCCCCTGCCCCAAATTAACCACAATTTTCTTGCATCAGCGCGCGGCGGGAAATGTTGATTTCCCACCGCTCTGAATATCGACCTCTTCCTTGACTCGTTGCTGTTTTTTTTATCACAAACATTTTATTTGTTTTGTTTAATGAATTTTGGGGGCTAGTTGAGTTCGAGTATTCACAAAGAACGTTAACCATATCCTGCCACATATTTTCCTAATTTTTTTAATTAACTTTGTTTTTGTTTTTACATTTTGTTTGGTTTCTTTTTTCTTTTTTCTTTTTAATTTTTAACGCAGTTAAATTCGAAGCAAGTGATGTGCGAATCAAAACGGCTTTGAATGCGAATACCGGTACGTTTCCAATATACAGTTTGTGTACAATACAACAAAATATATCTATACTATATCAAATGTGAGTGAATATTACTTCTTCTTTTTTGTCAAATCAAACTCAACATAAGGAGACATTTTGCCAAGATAAAAATAACAGGTTTTATTTCGAGACAGACAAAAAAATCACGTCCGGCATTACGTGCGAGTTTCCCCGTGACGCGCGAGACTGAGTATCTCAAAATGCCTCGGGCGATTCCAAGGCCTGAATATAACCGGACCCCGTACAGGCACCTGTTTCATTAAGCATAACGTGTAGTGCCTCTCTATCAAGCAATAGTCTGGTTCCCTGAACTGACGATCCCCCGACGTCTCTTGTATAATAGGTACGGTCGGGAAGCCGTCATTCATTCAAACACGCTCGATCGGATCTCGGAAGCTGCATGCGGGCCAACGAATTCGAGTATGAGTCACGTGACTGTGCCATGTAATTTCTGGAAGGAGTAGTGTTTTGAGTTTTAAAAAAAATCAGGTTTTTCTTTTTACCCCAGTGACCCCATGATGACCTTTGACCCCAGTTGGGGTCAAAATGACATGTTGGTTCATGTGACATGTTAGGGCTGGGCTACCGATACTTTTGACAAAGTTTGGTTGAAATCGGTCAAAATATGTAGGAGCAATAGACAATGTCAACGTTTGTTACTAACTAACGGACTAACGCGTTAGTACGTTAGTTAGTAACAAACGGAGAGACATGGTGATTTGTTGAGCTGCTATGCCGCAGCTAAAAATACGATACGACGCGGCAAAGCACACATACTGAAATTTGTATCACTGTGGAGACATTTCTTTGTTCTCGTGTAGTAAAGTTTTCGAGTTTGAAAGTGAAGTTTCAAAATGCTCTTATTTTAACCAGAATTAATTTCCTTGGCTGAAATTCGGACTTAATATCCCTTTTTTAAAACTCTTCCATTTGCGACGCATCAACCCACCTTGGAAATTCCTAGTTTTTGAGTAAAATCTATATATCTATTTCGTGAAAACCTTGTGGAGACGTATTCATCTATAGAAATTGCCCTGTGGAGACGTATACAATCTTTAGTCCCTATAATTGTGTGCACGTCTCCAGAGGGCACGGTGTATCAGATCCTGCATGCTTGTCCCAGTGATATAGCTATACTTGAGACACAACGCCTTAAGGCTTTTAATACAACAAATGAGCAATAAATATGCCTGTACGGAAGCGTGAAAGCATTTTATTGGTAAATTCAATCGTTTTACACCCATACATTCTGCAAAAAAAGGTGAACATGACAATGAAATTACGATAGGTTTCCTTAACACAATAAATTGTATTGTTATGGGAGTGGTAATATGGCGGACGGTGGCGTCAATTCAATCAGCCAATGAGCTACCTGGCAATATCAAAAGGATATCAGAGGACAAGACACCTTTAAAACCCCTCGCATCTCAGTTTAATTTACCTAAGTTGAAATTCAGACTCCGTACGGCGTCGCCTTCCACCGTAACCACCAGATTCTCCTCCTGGATGTAGAGCACGTTCTCCCGTCGATACGACAGCTTTACCTCGCCCAGGCGCTGGTTGCACTGGATGTTGAAGGCCTCAGAATCCGAAATCTTGGGTTCTCGTTTCGTCCGGTACGAGTTGAAAGACTCCTGGAATATGTTCCGCATAATCTGCAAAAGGGGTGATATGAAGGGGAGAAATAAAGAGGGATCAGTGTTGTATAGTGTTGTTCCCTAATTATAACATGGCGCACTTCGACGGCTTCCCCGACTTTCCTCATGCAGTGTTGCCAAACCCCTTTGTTGAAAAACTTAAATTTATTCAGTTAAATACCGGTATTATTACTTTAATAAGGTTTGTTGTTGAACCTTTGTGAACAATTTCAGTTTCATGAGATTAAGTCCGAAATTTAAAAACTGTGGCGTCCGGAAATTGGGCACAAATTCGGCTGAGTGTTCCCTAACGTGGTGCACTTGAACAAATCTCGGAAAATCCCACGTTAACATTTCAGAATTTTTTAGAGTTGATAAATTCTCACAAATCATTATTGTCTCCACTCACATACCCAACTACAAGTTAGTCAGAAAATTATTTCTTATTTTGGGCGCATTTTAAAGGGGCTCATTGCGCGCACTTCGAAATAAAATCGGAAAATCACGCCTAAATAGAATTTATCTGGAACTTCGTATAGCTGGTACGTAAACTCAAGATTTACGAACGGGAATGTTTAGAACTTGATGAAATGTTCTTTACTCTGAAATTTGAGGTAAAAGTATTGCTTTTGCAAGGCACTAGAGGCGAAAAATCAAAGTGCGCAACGTTTAGGGACCCCGCCGGCACGTCGGGGGACATCAACAATACAGTCCGGTCACAGTAAATCAAAAATCCCCTGGTCACAAACAGTGAACGAAGAGTAACAAAGGAATGCTTTGGGGTTTTTTTTGGTAGTTCGTTTGAACAGCTCGTGACTTGACTTGAAACTGGATGACTTGTGATGGACTTGTCAGGACTTGTGATTGACTAGCCTGCAACACCGGGAGGCACAGGATTTTTTTTTAAAGAATAATGCAGAATATAATGATGTAATTTTAGATCAAGGAGACGTACGCATGACTAGACTGTGCAGGGAAAGACAAGCTGCAAAGCTTGAAATTGGTAATATGAGATGCTGGTCATTTCAGTTCATTCTGATTGGGACCAATCCTAGTGAAACACACACAAAAACACACATGCCTTTCTCAATGCTTTGACAGAATCTATCCTGGGCCTGTGAGACTTGGACTTTTTTTTATAATAACATTCGATTGGTGATGAGATCGCTGTAGACTAGACAGTTTGGCGTCGAATTTCGACTTCTCGACAGGGTTTTGTTGGCGCGTTAAATTACCGTAAACAGTAAAGGCTTTGGAGTGCGTTCATATTTGCAGAGTTTAATATGGATTCTAATTGACTGGTGTTTATTGAAGTCAATGAAACAAAATCAACCAATTTAACACTAATTTATTATGTTTCATTTGGTAATATCAATTTTCCCAGACCTAATGGTGCATAGCGACATAACATTGGTAATTCACTGCACAATTTATTAGATGATGTATTGACCCTCTGCATGTCTTTTGACAGCCATCTTTGAGGGCAGGGCTTTTGTTCCATGGCGATGCGCATGAGTACGCCTTTTGTGCTTTCATCTATAAGTTAAAACAACAAAAACACCCCCAAGATGGCTTCTATATTGCAAATGGTCTACCGCCGACTATAATTATTTAAACATGAGATTGCAGGAAAGTGGTGTGTTTTCGGTGACCCGAAGAGTGCACGGTAATATAACATAAATACATCTCTCAATCAAAAAGACAAACTGCTTATTTTTCAAGTTCGTTTTGAAAATTACATTACAAAATATAGCATTTTTGGTATTCAAGTGGGAAATTCAAAACGACAACTACGGATTTGGCAGCCGTGCATCCCCCTAAGGGTGGGCGAATTACGTACGGGCCGTTGGACAAGCCGTTGTTTTGATTGGAAATAACTAACCCGGCGCGTGGCGCTGCAACGGTCCTTGGCATATCGCAGAAATCCCCCAACATATTACCGCGCACACCTCCGCAGGCAATTTCAAGGTACTTTTTATTTCTTCAAATTTAACCTCGTCATTTAATGAGGAACCTCTTCAGGGCCTCTTTCTCCACAACTCAATTTCTGCAGTAATAAACGCCATGAGCTCCGAGGGAGTCGTCGGTGGTTTAAAATGTCCTCCAAGCGATGATTTTTAAGAAGTTGTTTTTGCAAATCACAGTTGATATACCGCGCGGCACTGGCATGACCAACCCTCTTTTTTTTGTTCAATCTCAGTTTCACGAACAGAAGGAGGCTGACTTTTTTAATCAATTTATTTATCATTTTGTGATTTAACACCCGGGTGCAATTTCATGTACATGCTATGAAGAAAAAAATATTGCTTACAGCTAGTTTTATGCGCCGAGCAAGGGTCGGCTGAAACCAGTCTTAAGCAATATACATTGCATTGCAGCTTGGCTGGTAACCTGTATTTGTGCTAAGCGTATGTTTCCTTGGTGTAAGGTTCATGTCACATGCTGTATGGCGTAAAGAAGGCGTGAGCGTTCTTGGTGTGTTTCTATGCATAAACAAAAGACGATAAACATAACACGATTACAATATTTAACCATAGAGCAAGGAATCAGCTTACTAAAGGTTTCTTTTTTTTTTGCAGATTAGCCATGTTTGCGTGAGTGCATTTCTTCCACAATGATAAAAGGGAACACATTGTGTGCATTCACTGTTACTGAATTCTAATAACAAATAAAAGACCTCAAGGTCGTAATAAACAAGTTCACATTATTCTGTTCAGTGAAAACTTCGAATTATGTTTCCTCTATAGCTGGGGGAAGAATCTCCCTATTTATTAACCAGACAATACAGCACTTTGAGTGCTGTACCATCATAACAGTATAACGGTGCATCGTAAATGCTTACAATAATTATTAAATTACATGTAATTTCCTCCTGAATTTATTATGAAGGGACCTTGAAGAATAATGCAATTGAAAATCAGCATCTAGTGATGACAGTGTGTAGTTCGATCTTCCTGTTATAGCGGGAAAAACACCCCGGTAAATGCCAGGGCTATGTTCGTCATTTTTGCACCGTTAATGCACGATCCTGAGGAGAAATGAACGCAACTACTGATGCATTTTGTTGTTGATAAGCATCGAGACGGCTGAGTATGCAGTTCTTGCATGATACGGAAGGCCGTACGGAAGGCCGTCTTCTGCGGTTTACTCAAAGTACAAGTGTGTCTTGATTAGAATCTAATGTTCTTGACCGTTATGTTGGCACTGAACCAAAGATGAGGCGAGTAAGACACGGGTTTCATTCCTTCTATGAATGCTAAACATGTCTTGTGGGCTTGTTGCCTGGGCACATCACTGCATTAATGGCTACCTTAATACAGACACGACCGTTCAAAAGTCGTTCAAAAATCGTGAGCGAAAACAAGAAGGCTTGACGGTCAAAGAAACGGCCTAAGCTGGCCCCTTCGTCATTCTAAGTAGCTGATTGCATCAAGCTTCAAACCGATGACGTAAATGCACGTAGGCCTATAGTTGCAGTAAAGTTTCAAAACATTGCTGTTACGTGTACGCCGATCACTTTTGCTCATAAAAAAGCCTAGCAACCGTCATCCAATATGGCGTTTGGTTTGAAGTGCCAGTAGCGTTACCGGGCAACCATGTCTCGCCAATCCATTTTGCTTGTGTCAATAACTGTGCGACACGCCAGTATGGATGAGCTAACACAACCCAGAATATAACAACTGTTGAGGCAAACCATTACCGGATGGTTCTGCGTGTCGATGTCCTTAATGGTTCCTCTTTGCACACAAACCAGTCGGACCAAAACCGTCCACGGAGCTGAAAATGTTTGGTCTACTGTCCTTGTTGACTTATCATCTACATGCAAACAATGCAAGACAACTGATGGCCGGAATAGGTATACCAATTAGTAATCGGCGGAATGGGAGTGATTTATACGGCGCACCACCAAGAAATTATACAACCGAGAGGCTAAATAATTGCAGATCGAGCCATGTTCCCTGGTCCCCACCGCCCTAACAAAGGGCGCTAATTTCTTTGAGTTCTCATCGGATACAATTTTGTATAGCCAGTGACCCGGGGTCGATCACCACTTCCGTATGCGCACGAAATATGCGTACACGTTTATGTACGTGTACGTACTGTTTATGTCCGATGACCTACTCAAAAATGCTCTGCAAAGCCTGCGTTACCCTCAGACAATTTTGAGGAAGTTTTTGTCGCGCACGATTGAAGCCTTTATAGTTGGGGGAGTGTTTTGTGTGACTCACAATGAATTCCTTTGAACAAGGCTTGTTTATTTTGTAGTACTGCAGTGTAAGCAAACGAAGAGCAAGTGAATAACCAGACTGCCGGTTTAAAATAGTATAGGCCGCGCCCATCCGGGGTGTGCACTTTGAATGTCGAAAAAGCATCCTCGAGACAAACGCTTGGTGGCGCCCTGTAGGGGTAAATCGCTCGAATTAGGACTAGAAAACGAAAGACGCACCGAAGAGTACGATATTTTTTTCTATACTACAGTAGCTCATAATTATGCTGGAATTTGTCGCCTTGCCCTGAATAACAGATTCTCAAATCCGGCTACAAGGCGTTGAAGGACGCAAAACATTCTGTATTGCAGAGGTGTCCATGACAGGTTTACCCGATGACGCACTCACGGTATAGGCCGCGCCTACGCCCCACTATCAAAGGGCCATTGAACAATAACTTTCGAGCCCTACAAGGGGGCTAACTCAGTGAAATGTGAACTTTGAACTGGAGTCAAGACTACTCCTATTTTCTTAAAATTTTAATGTGAACTACAGACATCTGAATGAGCCAGTTCGGTATTCCAACTGCACATACCGGCACATCTTATAATAACGATTTTCTTATTCGGGATAAACAATCCGCAGAATGCGTAAAAAAGAGCCCATTCTTAAAGTTCTCGCGCGCAGTTTAGTGGAACGCCTCACGTACTGAACACTTTTTCTGACGTTGGGTGGCAGCAACTTGGCGAAGTACGGTTGATATAGTCCCCATCCATTACCGTGTGTTAACAACCGTTTCGTTTCCAGAACAGCTTCCAACTATTCGCTCCATTAATAACAGCACAATGCACAAACAAGGGCCTCGTTATAACAGCCACGTATATTTGCCTTTTCAGGGCAGCGTGTTTACTGCGTGAAAGCACCGCAAATGGTGAAGCTAAAATGGGCCTTCAACATTTTACAAGACTGATCGAAGCAGTATATTTTCAAGTGCGAAATGGACTCAAATACAGCTGCCTCGAGAAACACACGTGGACAACCTTTTAAAAGATTTGCGCAAATATGTTCTTCCACGTGCTAGGCTATTTTTTCTGACTTACAGAAAGGACTTTTAACTGCTCTGTATTGCCGAGAATTATACAAAAACCTCACAGCTCTTGCAAACTGCTGCGGTTTGGTTTACATCGTAGTTTACATCGAAATGGTTCTGTAGATGAAGCGGAGAATACAGAGCCGTTCTTCTTCCGTTTATGTTGCACATTCCTTTGCTCTGTCCCCGAGCAATTCTGCAATTATTACCTGCGAACTTCTTCACTTCCAACATCCTCGCCGCGTTCTTTAATACCCCGTATCATCTTTCTGTACGCGCTACAATCAATCCGGTACAAGGTGATGATGCATCGGCCCAATCAGGGATCAGCACCCGCATTGACGGGAGCACGAACTCAACGGAGAAACGTGCCTGCTCCCCGTCTGCCTAAAACCCATGGAGTCTAGTAAATATGCTCAGCGCGCATGGGTGCATGCTGATGGAGCAGGGTAGTTTTGAGCTACAGAACGGATTGATCGGAGTGTTAAGCCTCAGATACTGGTTAATCAATCAACGATCAAAATGACTGTGCCCGGCTGGCGATGTTCGGGCACGTTTCTCGGTTGAAAAAGGATGAAGGGAAATCGCTCGCCGGGCCGGGGAATTGAATTTAAGGGAAGGATTTCGTTCGAAGAAAGTGACGGTCGGGTAATCCGAGGAGGCTATTCGGTCTACAACCTGATGAGAGCCTTCGACTTGCCCTACATCTTCCGATGTCCCGTTATAGCTCTACACTTGCAATGGAAAATTGTCGATGCTTGAAGCCGGGATTGCACCTGCAATTGCTTTATGCCTTCGTGAGCGATCTGCATTTAGTGTTGCTGGAAAGTAGGCTTTCACCAAGGTTCATGTCTTCGTAAACAAGCTTTATAGATGTGCAACAGCTAGATGCTAGTTTTGTCGTAAACAAGCCACGGTCCCTTGTCACCAGTCTCCAGGGCACAGCTATCACAGACGAAAATATGCTCCCTGATCCTCAGATAAAAAGCCATCACCAAGAATACCACTGTCCATGGACAGTAAGGTGCTTTTATAGTTCAGATGGATAGAAGAAAGCCTCAATTTCCGCAGCTAAATCGTTCGATGACCCTGTCCATTCCACCCACCCACGGGCAGTGTATACAGCCACAGGATGATCGCAACCAAAGAGCATAGGACGTGCCTTTAATTATTACATGTACCATCCATCCACGGATGAAACTACGCGAAGACAACTTGAACATCTCCCTTTCCCCCTCCCCGAAACAATTTTTAATTTTGAGGAGATCTCTTCTCGTGTACCCGAAGGCTGAGGCCATCACAGCAGTTGTTGTCAACCATCTTCATTGCTTTCACGCGCGTTTCCTTCAGAATCATCTTGCCAGAATGACCTTTTGTCAGCGCGCCTACGGTCCAAGTCTGCCCGTCAATCGCTCCAACCAACCCTCTCTGTATCGCCAATCCAAACATCTCACTCTATCTCGATGTGCATGTCAGATTACCTACGGATGTGCAGAGCTTTCAACAATATTTTCTTAATCTTGGAGGAAAAAATCTCTCAACATCGCTACCAAAGGAACGTAGGTAACTCTTCTCCTCAACGTTCATTTTAGTCTTGGTTTGAAAAATTGCCACTAAGTTCGTTGGACTTATTTTCGCAGTTAAGGAGGGCGATATTTGTCCTGGAATAATGTCTCGTCAAAAAAATACAATAACTGAACTCATTTATGTCCACACGGGACCATGAACACAATATTGGGGGGGGGGGGGGTCATTTGACTCTAACACCGGATAAATACAGCGTTGTAGTTTATAACATCATTCTGAAATCATTATAGACGATAAATTCAGTAAGCCCAACGTTCTAATTTATTCAAAATGTATACAAAACATGGTGAAGCCTAAATCCTTGACCGATAAAATCATACTTTAAATTTAGAAATGACAGATATCATGATTTAAATGCAAAGCTCGACTCAAAAACATCTTGCAGCTAGGTTCAGGTCGTTGCCCCCCAAAAAAAGGTCCGTGTGAAAGACCTCAGATCGGCATCATCACAAACATCAAACGTCTCTCCTTCAAATGTTTTCTGTTTGTTTATAAAAAAAAAAAAAAAGCCCCCAGGCGCTTGAAGTCAAGAATTCAGCTCGCCCTATGATGACTTCTTATCCGGGCGATCATCTTTCACTTTACCGGAGCTGACGCCTCAAGTTTTGAGGGGCGCAAGGGAACTCCTTGGCCCGGGAATTATGAATCCCCAGCGATATACCGGGCATGTTTAAGGGGGAGCTCCCGGGGAGGAGACCCCAGCTCCTGGTCAAGTCCTAGACGGTTCCCGGTTGACTCCTCATCAAATCAATTCCTGCCATGAGCTGATAGTTATCGGTCATTTTTGGCCCTCTTTCCTTAGATGCGATCCGAGCTGTGAAAGACATACCTTCCCGTCAGGAATCACAAATTGAGAGCACGACACACCCGTAGATTTAAGTAGTTTCAATTTAAGGAGTCGATGCCAATGTTGAATGCGATAAGATCCATCAGCAGACTGGGCTTTTCAAGAGGTCGTCAGGGACCAAGACCCAAACCTCCATTGTATACTGTGCAATTATGAAGCATACAAATGCACCAGTTGGCAAAGTACATTTTTCCATCTTCTTGTAAATAGACCTATAGATAAGATAGAGCCCTCTGTGTAAATGAAATATTTCACGAACATTGGAGGGCATGAAGTTAGCGGGTTTGGGCATCATTTCGAATGTTGTAAAAGCCTATATTTAGGAAATGACACAGAGCGTTCCATCAGTATAGTGATCTTTATCAGTTAACCAAATGAGGTTCTTTCACGAACCGAATGGAAATAAACACTGAATTTGTCTGATGTTTTGATATTTGTCGTTCATTGTTGTGGACATTAATTATACCTTATCTGTCTGGTAAGGCAGGTGTACCGACAACATGGATCGATTATGAGCTAAACATTAATTAAACTGGCTGCACATCTCATTGATACAATGACAAAGCTCGGGATACACAGAGCCAAAAACTATTTTTTTCGCGACAGAAAATCGATATTGCCCTGCTCAAGTCAACTGTCATGTTCAACACTTTCCCCTCGATGCCAAGTTGTGATTAATTCGCATCCTGGCGAGTCTGCTTCCTAATGTAGCGTGATTAATGAATACCGGACTTGACAGGAAGGGTTTTTGAATAATACTCCATCAACTTCTGAGTGCTGCAACGCTAAGTGCCGGATCCTTTCAACGTGAATGCTTCCAGCTAAAAGCAAAAGGGCTCTCGTAGTGTAAACTTCGTCCGGTTCACGAGGCATTGTTTTTTAGATTCCCTTTCAAATATTGCAAGAATGATTGACGACGATGTCTCTTGTCGACACTCGAGATTCTGCATGGAAACATTTCCAGTCCACACTCGATACTATCCGGTAGTTTAAAAGCTACAAAGACAAAGCATTAAAATTCAGTAAATTCTGCATATCCGGGACCATTTGGAGCTTCCTCCAACCACTCGCAGGCGACACCTCAACAGTGTCCAGAACTGTGATTGATGTTGACTGGCCTTCTCACGCGAGAGCCCGTTTGCGTATTTCAAACTTCGGCTCCATTTTTTCGTCTCCGACTCAAAACAATGTAAAAGTCTTAAGTGTCGTACCAAAATCAACATAATTCTATCTAATGTCACCTCATGTATTGCGATTTGATGTTTATTATATTCAAAAGTGCCAAGACACTGCAGTTTGCATGGAAGTCTGAAGAAACCCTGAGGGAAGAACGCTGAAGAAAATAATTTTCGGTTTTAGAGGTGGGGAAAAACTCCTTTAGGGTATTCCAGGGAAAACCCACGGAGTGTTAGGAAATTAAAATCCAATAAAAAAAGAGTGGTGGAAGGCGAGGAAAGTACGCTGCGCCAAACTGACTAACCAAAATGGACGCGTTTGCACCGTATAATGCTCGTATACTATCCGCGAAGACGCTTGAGTGATTGTGTGTATCAATGCGTGTGTTGTTTTAATGCCCATCAGAAAGGTAAATATGGATGAAAACACTTGCAAGATACACTTGTTGTACACTTGGTTTCATTCGCATTTTGACTCCACCCGTCATGATAACCCCAAGCTTCAGTTGCACCTACCATGGTATCCGGCGTTATTCTGAGCTGCCTGACTAAGTGGGTATCGCACTTGTGGCAGACGAGACTGATGTATCGATGTCTAAATGTGCCAAAGATCTTCAGATAGAAGGCAGCCCGGCTCAGGTCCGGGAAACGGTACTCGTTGCCGAAGCCTGACAGATCCAACTTGAGCTTGTTCACCTGCAACTCTGGCGACGGCACCTGTTGGTGAATCAAACATTCATTACACCGGTACTGCACTTGTGTTTTTGACTGATTTTCCAATTCCAGATATGGTAATTGTGGATTTGAATGGAGCTTGTTTGATTGGCTATAGAGATACTCGTTTTTCAATCTGGGGTCCAGGATAAGAAACATGCTAATCATTATAGCCGAATCTCGTGTAGTGTGATCTGATGGTGACTGGTTTTAGCTAATGTTTGTTCAGCACACAATTTCGTGAAGCAATATTTACCGCACAGCACACCCTGCTGACTTTTACTTTATGCTCAGTTTGTGGTTTTCTGAGACATAGGTTTATGATTGTTGAGCCCTGAACTTTCGAAAGAGGCGGTTGAAGATGAAGCATCACAAGACATCTCCTACATCCCATCCACTTGGATCACTCCCTTCGCATGACGTCACCCCTTCATGTACCCCGGCCATCCCTGAGCGAAGCAACCTCCACTTGTTCAATGGATTTTTTTTCTAAGAGTTACCTGCGGTAAGTCTTGCCTTTCCAATGAGCAGGCAGCGCCGAAGGATTTGCAGGACTCTACGACGAACTCGTCACTGACGCCGAGTAGGTTACAGCTCTGTCCGTGGATGCCGTCCGCTATGATGACTAGAGTCCGACTGGTCGGCGAACCACACAAGGCAGCCACTTCTTCTTTAAACTGTAAAGAGAATAAGACAACAACAAAAATATTAGCATAAACTTTATACTCCATCCAATAAACGTTTTCCAGGTACTAGACTGGATCCGATTGCATGGAGGAATTGATGGATTCGGTTTCGCAAGAATAATCACAAAAACGCCCAGTTTTTAAAGGATGGTTGTGTGGACGTTTATATCCTACTTTTATATGCCCTTTCTAATTAATATAATTTCGTTTCCAACGCGTTTTGTAGCCCAATTGGGCGCTTTCCAGGTCGTAATGCCCTTTAAGACTGCTTCTTATCCTCGCACAGGAAGAACAATTGCAGTCAAGTATCTTGCCGATGGACACTGGATGGAGTGCACCACGATCCCTTCGCTAGGATCGGATGACAAAAGCCACACATCACGAGTCGGCACCCGAGCACCGATACAAGTATCCGTATAAGGGTACTTCTGCACATCCTTCAGAACCACAAGGAGTTCTAGCATTACACAACAGTATGCAGCAAGGAATATTAAAAAACACACACACACGCATGTTTGTTTTACATACGCTATGTGGACATTCCTTTGTTTTCGTGTAGTTAAGAAAACTCGGTACAGAAAATAACTTTACTTTAACTGTGAAAACTCTTTCAACCCATTTTTTCCCTATGATTCCCTTTAGTGTTTCTCTTCATTCTGCCACAGATAAACCTAACCCAAAAATGCCTCTAAACATGTTTTCCAGAGAGGGCGAAACGTTATGTGGACACGGCTTAGTCCACCTAACGTCAACACAACCTGCATTATGTGGACATCTTTTGTTCACAAGTCCACATAGGGAATGTAAGACAAGCTCACACACACAAACCTATGTGCATTGGCTTTTGGAGAGTGTATATCCTACCATCTCATCAGTATATGCGCAGATAACGACGGATAGAACATGCTTTTCGTAAAGTTGATTTTACGAAGATTTTACACACTGGTTCTCAGAACCGAAAATAACCCACAATAGGCATTTATGTCAAGGTGTGTCACCGAAAGATTCAACCTTTTGTTAATAATGTACGGGCGGCGAGTGGAAAATTTACCTGTTAAACAGACCGTACATTAAAAAGATGTAAAAAGATTTTTTAAAAGAGAACTTTGTAAAATGCTTCTGGTGCAGTTTAGCGCTATGTATTCAGCCGTGGGTTTTTTTGGCACTGAACTGTGTTAATAACTTTTAGCAATAGCTAGCTCGCGGCATGCAAGGAGACACGTAAATTTATAATTTTGCCACCCACCCTTGCACGCGAGGCTTGTCAGATCGCACTACGGACTATCGGAGTAATAGGAACTCGATCCTTCGCACTCCCCGGTCGAGTTTTCCCATCTAGCCCCCCGATATTCCGCGCCGATAACCCTGTTATTCCTAATCAGCAAAGATGCCGGCAAGATATTGGGTGGACGGCTGTAATTCTCTACGGAATTCCAAGTTGTGTATGTCGCTCATAAAATGCACCCGGAGTTTTTCGCCCCCCTGCAGTATAATTATCTCGGTTGATACGAAGTACCACGAAAGATGCGACCGCGCGAAGCTTCCTTGGGCGCGCGCGGTATCTCTTGAATGATCGTCAGCACACTGAGGATAATTGAGATAGGTGTGATTCTCCGGTTGAAAAGAAATAGGACATTAAGCAGGCTTTGGCAATATGAAGCTTGGGGTAGGAATGCTGCGACTAGGGGGAAGGTTTGGTTTGATCGTAATCGCTTGCTGAGGCAATGCGTTGTTTTGATTTGGGTCAACAATATTATTATACTTCCATAATGGGTCAGCTACGGTCAAGTGCATCAATTAAAATGCGGTGAGGATTAATGCATGCTGTACAGGTTTTCTATGGACTTCAAAGGACTGAAAACGCGCATCACACTCTGTATACAGACATGGCACTTGTTTCTAATTCTCTGGATTGTCGTGAGGCGGCAAAATTGCTCAGTGTTAACAAACAAACGCCAGCCGAGAGGATGCGCGGATTTTGACGTTATAGCCACTTTCTTTTTTTAAAGCTCCATCCTTGTTTGCGGACTTGAAGCATTGTGTGTTTGTTTATGGCGCAACAGTGAGCGCCAAGTCATTTCAAATTATACTCAAACCAAGCCAAATGGCCAAACGGGATTTCTCAGGCAATTTTCAGTGATACATTTCGAGCCGTCCAAACATAACGAGTGACGCCAGGCGGATCTCGGCCGTAAATGTCAAAGATTGTATACGGTATGTTTTGGCTCGTCTGCACTTCAATGTTGTTCCAGAGGCACCGTTGTCAGGCGATCTGATGAATCGCAAGACATTAAACGGAACTCTAATCAAAGCACTCTGTAATTGTCTAAACATTCCTTGTAGACTGGTTCCCGGTCCCTCCATATTGCTCTCTAAATTACAAAGAGTGACAATGCACTCCATTCGAGTGAAGATTCACTCCCACAGTCGGAAACTGGGGACTAGACGTTTTAGAGTGAAATTTGTTCAATCGTAAAGATCGAGTTTTCACTCGACCTTTCAACTGAAGTGGTTCTTTTTTCAGACTATTTCAATCGAAAATGAGAGTGATTTTCACTCTAAAACGTCTAGTCCCTAATTTCACTCTTTGGGATTTAGAGAGTGTCCTCCGTACCTCGAATATAGGAAGGTAGCGGGTGCATACCTATATTCCCCAATGCCTATGCTCCCCAATACCGATGTTCCCCGAAATCCTTACCCTAACCCTAACCTTGACCCTTATCCTGAGAGTCCTAAGGATTTCGGGGAACCTCGGTATTGGGGAACATCGGGTAGACCCCGAGGTGGCTAGCATTCATCCTGAATACATTACACGGTTTTCCTCCTAATGTATGCAAACTATATGCAGGACTAGCCTTGGTCTGATTCCCCCCCCCCCCCCCCCCCCATGAATACAATATCACAAAGTGATGTTAGCGCGGAACCAGCCTATTGCAAATCGGCAACAAGGCTACAAAATTAATGTGCAGTTTTTGTGGTGATGAGCTTCGATTTTCGCTGAATCGAAAGTGTCTCTGGCAATTGTCCATACAGAGAGGGGCACTACTTTTCAGTAACCGATGCAGTTGAAATGCTTGAAAGTTGCCTTCGTGGAGACACTGGCGATGTTGCCTACTGGTTTATGGTAAGAGTCCGTTTTTAAAGCCATGCGTTCAAATGTCATCCATGCACAAAGCTGTGAACGTTGTTTTCAAATATAATGCTGCGCACCAAGACCCTTCTAATACGCCACATTTTTAAAGCCATAAGCAATGTATCAAATTTGCTTCAATCTAAATTAAAAAACTTATAAGTTGTGTAATTTTCGAACTATAGCATTGATAAACTGCTGTAAGTAGCCCAGGATTCAGGTCTGTCTGTACCCCCTGTATGGCGTTGTTCCACAGCGCTCTCATGCAATCATTATGGCATATTCAACAACCCTCAAACATTCCTTGTGTATATTTAAAAACGTCTTCTCGGTGATTTAATTAACCTGGTACTCCTCAGAAACAAACTCCAGTTAATCTGGGAGGGGGGGGGTTCTTCTTCTTCCCTTTGATCGAAAAAAAGCTACAGAAATAACCGCGGCGAAGTATTAAATGGAGCGCAGTGGATTTTGTTACCACAGGAACGCCGATCGCAGCAGGTGTCGCACGAACAAAAATCGATGCCGTGTTCTGTGAGCTTCCGACGGTATGGTCTCGCCTGATGGCCGTGGTAAACCCTGGAGCAGCTTCAGTTTCGGCTCTTGTATACGAGTAGGAACTTCTGCCTGGCTGAACTCACAAAGAAGGAATGGTAGGACCATCGGATCAATGCGGTTCTTTACAAGTATCGCTCAAGCGAGATGAATTTTAAGACGGGAGGGTGTTTCAGCATCTTTGAACGAGGACATCACATGGACAAAACCCACAAGCACTGCAGCGCATGCAAACGCAGCTGCGGTTAGAAAATGAGCTTTCGATTTCTGACTAACTTTCAATTTTGTGACCTGGGAAGCTATCAAACAGCATACGTTTCTAACCTTATTATATCGCTTGTACGAGATGTATTCAATTTTGTATTATCGCAGTAAACAGTGCCTGGTGTCAGTACAGTGCAATCAGACAGCATCCGCTCCCTTAAGCGCTGCTGTGGGTACTGCTCGACAAATCAAGGATCAAGTTCAATCACTGGTCTGGCTACTAAGGCTGCGTCCCAATCTCTTATCTATGTATTAACAGCAATTCATAAATACCTAAGACAGTTTACGCATTCCTATGGTCGAGAGCCCGTCACGTGGCCGGTCTTAAACAAATGATAAAGACATGGCTAGCTGGTCTTTAACACTTTTCCAGTGTCACAATAAAATGTGGACTCCTAAAAATCCAGTGCCTCTTATCGTTTCATTGGTTGAACGTTCACAATCCTCACGTAGGCATGCGCAACACTACCAGGGAGTCAGAATTTTAAAGTTCTAAATTCAAAACGCAACGCGCCAGGTGCGTTCTGCGCGACATCGCGCAGAACATGATACGCGCGCGTCAATCTCCATAAAAGGGTTGTTTACATCTTACTCGCCAGCTGAACACTCCATTATTTTGCAAGAGGGATGTTTCAAAAAGCATAAAGTGAATTTGTTGAACAAAATCGGGATGTTTTGAACGAATTATATGATTTTTTCTTACCGAAAAGGTATTTAATTATCGGGTAATTATCAGCACCCAGACTCTAAGTGGTCTTAAACAGAGTGATAAAAACCTCCGAAGCACCCATTTATTCCCTTATTACAACTTTGTGGGACCATACTGAAAATGGACATAGCCGTAGTTCTATAGACGCAAGTCGATTCGTGACGTTTGTTGCGCATGCGTGCATGTCTCATGCTAATATTGGTTACCAGCGATGCGACCACCTAGCCTACTCCAAAATTGAGACTAAACTAGTTCAACCATCGTTGACCAGTCATCATTAGCTCAAAATATGTCAAAAACTTAATATTACTTCGGTTGTGCACTATTCGGTCACATAACGATGTACGTTCTCAGACATCCAGTATAGAACCTTTCCGGCCTGCAGACTGA